AGCGTATACAGAGAGGCCGTTCACAGCGGAGGCGGGCTCGGCGACGGTGTTGTCATTGGATGAAAAAGAGTACCTGGGCGGCGGCAGCGCGTCCTTGACATCTCCGTCATGCTGAAAATGCACATGAGCTATTGACGAGCGGGCTAGTGATCATTGGTATCACACCTCATCTATCTTCTTGTCAAGGAGAGGCTGGGTCTCGTGCTGACTAGAAACCATCTTGAGGATGCAAGGAAATTTCTAAGTGAGAGTGGGTGAAGAGGTCCATATGCGGAGGCTTCACATGTCCTATATACCAAAAGACCCATACAGCCTCGCATTGAGTGGCAGGTATGACGAATGCAAAGAGCTGGTGAAGCCGACGATGCTTGCCGGGCGTACGCGCAAGTGGGCTGCACAGCTTGAGACGCGACTTTGTATTGAGCTCGGAATGCCCCCGAGCCTCGGCATTCTTCCGGCGACTCAGCCTCGTCCCAATGAGGCCTTCGGTCGTTACCAGGCGCCATTCAGTCAAGACGAAAGGGCGATCTTGGCAGGCCGGACTTTCGAGTAGTGTAAACCTGCCTACGCAATGCAGGTCCCACGGCTTAAGCGCCCAGGTTGGCTATGGTTAGTACGGCCATTTAGCCGTGCAGAACAGCCAGCTTGTAGCACATTCAGAAGGTTGATGGGCCATGCATGTGAAGGAGATGAATAGTAGAGTATAGTGTAAACACCTAGCAATTAACTGGTAGCAGGAACGAACGGGTCGGTAATGCGCACAGACGGCGCCTCCACGATCTCCGGTAATGTGGCAGCGAGCTCCTTCGTGCCGGCCGGGAAAGGCAAATCATCAACAGCGCGGGGCAGGACCTTCTCGTACAGGCCCTTCGCCTGCGCGTGTGCGCCGAGGGCTTGGAGCTTCTTGCGCGCGTCGCGGATCATGACGTGGGCGTCGTCGACACCGGGGACGCAGCCCTTGACGAAGATGAGGTCGAGCGCGTTGTCGATGCGGACGACGTAGAGATTCTGGGCTGTTCTCCTCTTGTTGCCCATCTTTCCGGCCATCTTCTTGCCGGGCCACACGCGACCGGGGTCCTATGGAATACTATGTAAGCTGCAGTACTCGTCGTCTGTGATGTTTTACGCACTTGGTGACCACCAGTAGAACCGGCAGACCGATGAGAGATGGAGACACCGTGACTTGCACGGAGACCCTTGAAACCCCAGCGCTTCATTCCACCCTGCGTACCCTTTCCGATACTATCCATACCGTCAGTACATGATTCTACTCATGAGCAAGGTATACGCACGTGTTCGCAGTCACGTCCACATACTGCCCCGGTACAAAATGTGCAGCAGCAAGAGTCGTGCCTTCAATGCCCAGGTCAATCTCAGCACGAGCTACTGAATATGATGAACGTACCTATTGGCAAGTGCGCGTCCGGCGTGACCTCGAACTCCTTCACTATCCGTTTCGGCGCAACGCCCGCCTTCTCAAAGTGCCCCAACATCTGCGCCGTCGTGTTCTTCTCGGAACGGTCCGAGCCAGCCAGCTGGACGGCGTGGTACTCGCTCTTGTCCCTCCGCACGGTCTTGATGTTCGCCGTCACTTGGCAATTCTCGAGCTGTATATAGTATATTAGCATCTATATAATCACCCATGGTGTATATGCGCACCTGGAACACAGTGACGGGTACACGCTGGCCAAAGCTATCCCAGATGGAAGTCATGCCGCGCTTGCGCGCGAGCACACCGGTGCGGACCGACGTGGGCGACCATTTGCTCGACGTCGAAGTGCTGGCAGCCTGCGCTGCAGCAGCTGGTGCGGGTACGCTAGTGTGTATGTGGCGACATGGCGCCTGAGCCTTTTGAGCGAGCGACCACACCCGGAGCATGGCTACAGCAGACAACTCGCGTCAGAGCGCGTCAAGCGCCAGTCGAAAGTCGCGTCGGAGTTTGCCGCGCACCTACTTTTACGAAAGGTGGGCTTTGCGTTCGACCATCATCTCACCTTCGCACATGGAATGGACGCCTGGGTTCCCAATGTTTCTGCGCACTCGCAGGCCTCCGGACGGAAGAAGTCTAAGATAAAGCAGGCTGATGCCGAGGCGTCTTCGAGGCAGCATGTTGTTCTCGAAACTGGCTCTCGTCCACCCCTTGTCCTCAGAGAAGCGAGCAAGCGGCTCGAATGGTCAAGCTTTCTTAGCCCTGATTCCGGTACGATCAAGTAATGATATGCTACTACTCTACTTCTCATCATGTAATCTCGTAGCCAAACGGCTGCGTACTGTCCGAAGCAACAATGCACACCCGCTATTCCCACCTAGCCGACCTGTGGCACCTTCGGCGTCTGGACTACCGCTCAGACAAAAAGCCGAACAACAGGTCCATACTATCTCCATCATGATGTATAACTGACGCTGACGACCTGTAGGCGCATGCTCTCAGGACATTCTATCCCGACGTCGATATACCGTCGGACTTCATGCGCGATCAAATCACGGCCGACGCGCATTACACGGAGGCGCTTGAAACCTTCGACCCGTTTGCGGGCAACATGATGGATGTAGTCTATCATCCTGGCACTGTACAGGGAACTGGGCTGCTTGCTTTCCCCATGGGCGAGACCAATGCCGACCTGAGTGAGTCTATCACGATGAATGCAGGTCAAGAAAGTACACTGATAAACGCTCGTTAGACCTATCACTGGTCGTGGTTTCTAAGACAGGAGAAGTATCATTCAAGCCAAACACGAGAGTAGCCCAGCACTTCAGCACCCCCATACGCAGCTTGCATGTAGAACAATCTACGGACTCGAAAGGTAACGGCATCACTGGCAACCCTCTAGCTCTGCTCGTCTGACCACCGCTCAGGCCTTGTCGTCCGGACGATGTCTTCTGCACACGTTTTCCAGATAGGTCGAACGGCCGATCTGAAAGAATTGGCTAACTTCAATCGCATAAACCTCGGAGACCGCTTTGCTGCAGATGTCAATGCAGACTTGACTGCGGGGGTAGCTACGGTGGTCAACGATGTCGGTGAAATCTATCGTGGGCGCTTCGGGCAGTCGTTCGATAGCGTACGTAAGAGTGGAAAGGGCTCGTCACTTGATGGTGATCGTTTCTATCGCTTGGGGAGGAGTCGCATTGGTGACAACACCTTCGTGTTATCTGCGGGCTCTCTAATTAGTATCGACTTTCGTGTAAGTAACGCCTGATTGAACATTTGTGAACATGGCTTGACTCTCATTGGCGTGCAGACAGGAGACGTTGGGCCATCCTTGTTCTCACTCGAAGACAAGAAGGACGTCCTCACTTCGCTAGCGAGCAGCTCTCACCCTGGAGACAACCTCGTCCGACTGACAACGACCTCCGAGATTGTCTGGCTCGACGAGCGCTATGCCGTCCGACCAGTGTTCTCATACAAGCACGGTCGGGCCTATGATCGGACTTTACAAGCTGCCATCGTCAATACCGGTCCTTCGCCTCGCACGATACTGCACTCTCGCAAGAACAACCTTTTGTCAATCTACGATGTCTCTCAGTCCGGTTTTGACTTGGTTCGGGAACGCTGTCTTCCGTATACTCTGGCGACCTCTGCTGGGCATGAGACGCATTGTGGCTTTCACTTTCTTGATCCTCCCTTCGGCGCACAGTCGGATGCGTTACATGTTCTCCGGCTCTCGACACGCGGCGCTATCTCCCAGTCAACGCTTTCATGCAGGGAAACATCGGAAGCCGATGAAGACGAAGTTGTGTCGGACGTAGTCGTGGAATGGTCCAACGATATCAAGGAGCTTGAGACTCGCGTCGGGAAGATTGGTGCCGGGCAGAACCCGATGAGCAAGCGCAGTCATAACGTTGTGGATTTCCGGCGGGAGTATGATGGTACGTCCAGCATCGTATCGTTTCAACGACCTCGACTCATTTTCCGCTCAGAGCACTTCATGCCGCTCACGTCTAAGGATGAGCCCTCCGCAGACGAACTTGCCGATACGCTCGAGAAGATGCCTTATGTGTGGCAACACTTCGACGAGCCTCCTCATGGGATGATGACGCTGTGAGCCCCAAGTGCGCAGTGTTTAGTACACATCTAACCCGTTCTTGCAGTTCAGACATCGCACTGCGTTCATCAGACGTAGAACGAGGCAGCACACGCGCCGACTCCCTCGCGCAACATTCTCTCTCCGGCGTAAGAGGATACCGCGCCGTCGAACAGCAACGCCTGCCCACAGACCAATTGGCTCAGCGCGCACCATGGCACACCAGTATCGCCCCCTTCCTCCAGCGCTACGTCCCGGATGCTCCGGGAGATGGCACATTACCGAACCTCTCGAAGTACAACCTGAAAGAGGACGACCATCGCTCGGGCGCATCGCTTCGCCGCGAGCGCACGGCGGCGCAACAGCTCGCGCTCGATCTAGCGCTTTCGTCGCATGTCTACGCGCCTCATGCATTTACTTCGACCGCCGAGGAGAAGGCGCCGCCCGCGCCTCTGGAGGACGATATCGACGCAATGTCCCGCGCAGCAGGCGCTATGAAGCTCGCAGACGACGACCCAGCGTCTAAAGTCCCCCCAGTCCGCTTCGGCTTTCTCAGACCTTCATTCAAGCCCGATTCCTCCCGCAAGAAACGGCGAACTGGTAGCAAAGCGCGCAAGAATGCCGAAGAGGGTGGAGAAGAAGGCGAGGAGGAGGAGAAAGACCACGAGATCCCGTTGGGCGTGCGGTTGTTGTTGTCGGAGTGGGAGGTCGGGACGGATCCGGAGAAGTATGAGTATGTTGATCCGTATGGGGTTGATGGGGAGGCTCCGCGGACGGTTTTGACGCGTCAGGGTGCTTCGGAGTCGCAAGCGCCTACGCAGGGGCAGACGCAGCAGAGTATACCAGGACCATCGCAGGGTCGCGTCCCCCCAGTAGTTGCCGCTAGCCAAAGACTCGCGACAGTCGCCAGTCAGCGACCGCCCACGATCATGCCGAGCTCGCAGCCGCCCGTCATCCAGCGCGCGGCACCTCCGACCGTACAGCGTGCAGGGCCAAGTACGCTCGGGAAGACGCCGAGCATGGGCGCTTTCTCACTCTCGCAGACGCAAGCGGAGCCCAGCCAAACACAGGCTTCGCAAGCATCACAAGTCATGCCGAGCACGCAGGTCATGCCTGGTCCGTTTGGAGGACGACCGGGTGCACGGACTGGATTGGGAGCTGGAGGGGCGAAGAAGCCTGTGAAGAAGAGGAGGGGAGGGTTCTGAGCGGGGATGCTATCGTTATCACTATGTATCAGACTGCAAGTGCCACAACTGCATCGTTTGATGATGGGAACGCTCGCGCCAGTCAATCGGCGCTTCGGTGTTAGCCGCAGGCCACTTCGGCGAACGCGGCCGCGCCCTTGTTTGGCAGTTATCAAGCTTGGTTTGGTCCCACCACCACCGCCACCGTTGCAGCTGGCTGCCGCTTCGCCTCTGGGAGCTTCCGCCTATGGTCAAGTCAAAATCAAAGGGTGGCCCTGCATGGAGGCCGTTGAAAGGAGCCCTGTACAAAGCCATCATCCGGATACATTACTTCGGCGGCAAGGAACACGTACTGAAAGCCCTGACTGGACGGCCACCGTTTACTCAGAGACTTACAGAAGATTATGATCGTGCATTGGAGTTACGGAAGGACTTGTTTTATCTGAACCTCCCCGAACTTAGTCTATTCGAGGTTCGCTTGAATAAGCATCACCATGACTGTGTGGAACTCTGGTCCAGAGAAGTGCATCACGGCGATGATGTGAGTGGTTCAAGTCGAACCGATTCAGGACGCCCCTTTGAATACATGTTCTCCTCATGACAGGACTTTCAACGAACGCTAATTGATGTTGAAAAAGACATCTGGGCTTGTCGAGATGGGTATCTCCAGGAAAAAGAGATGTAAGAAGCGATCTGCGCTATCGGATCCGTCACTTAAGCGCTGACGAAGACTTCTTTCACACTGATTAGCTCTCAGATACTGCTGTGAGCATATCAACCCTTGCATGAAAGAGAGAATGTCCACTGACGAGATCCATCGGCAGGTTTTTCGTTCGATCTAATTTCGTCGATATTGCTCCCAATTGGAACCCCGTATGGCATGTTAGTAGCACAGATCGCTCGTCGACCGTCCTTCAGTCGCCTTTCGGCCATCAACCTGGGCCATCAACATTCACTCGATCCTCGAGCCCTTCACGCCTTTCGGACATGTCCGGGGATGTTCAAACTCCTTTACACTCGCTCTTCCCTGCTTCGCCACCCGTGCCGATTCCAACCGGACCGAGAAACCGCTCTGCTACTCTCATACCATCTGCGAGATGGGTCGAGCGCTCCAAGGCTGCTAAAGAAACTGGCGATCAACCCGTCAGAGCCGTTACGCCCCCCACCAATGGGAATGCGGTTCAACACGGCGCAGAGAATACCCTGCCGGGCAATCATCCAGAGAGCTGGACATCCGTCCGCCCCCATCTGGAGGACGCACTGAAGCCCTTATTTGACGAATTCCCTCAAGCACGTCCACCGACTACAGCTTCGCCTTTCGGTAGGTCTATCTTGCTACTCCCAAATGGTCGCAGGAATTGAACATTTCACAGTGATGTGCAGAGCGATCAAGACAGCGCTCAGCTTTCATCAGACGAATGGCATCCAGCAATCGGCTTCAAATTCAAACGCGTCAGAGGCCCGTGTGCGAGAGCTTGAGGCTCAATTAGCTGCAGAGCGAAGCGCTCGCATCGAAGCTGAGGCGCAATGCAGGAGCGCCGAAGCTGATCTTGATGTCTTGCGAGAAGCGCACGCGCACGCACAGGAGGAGCTCGATGATCTGCGTACTGAATTCAAAGCGCCTGTTCTCGTGCCCGCCATATATCAGGCATTCCTCGGCATTCATGGGATGACTCGAGACCTTAACGAATGAGGGTCGCAACTTATGCTGGCTTTTTGCGCCAGCCAGAAGAACCGCCGCTCTCACCGAGGGCTTCGTGGGCCTATGCCTAGGGAAGAAGCAACGAACGCTCTTCTGACTGGGGTCTCCGATGCAGGTCGCATCTCCGTATAGGCTACATCTACTGCGAAGAGGCCGCAAGTGAGCGCAGCAATCACGATTGCACCGCGTGTGCCCGTCACTTGATACCCAGGCGATCGAGGTGAAGGGAATATTGGACTTTGGGGAATGTGTCTGCATGCCATCATTGATATCTTTGTACTACCACGCTACTGTATCGCTGTGTAACTGCTCTGTACTTGCACCTGTATATCAACGTACATCTACACGATCTTTCGGGCCGGCATAGCCGGAGGGAACGGCATGACGTCGGCCGAACATTATGGCAAGCGCCTAAACGTACGCCCACAACGCGAGACGCCGGAATGTGACTTCGCGAACCTGGAGTGTGCAAGTGACCACCTCTATAGCTCCTCCCGAACGCCCATCGACCTCCGAACCGACTTCCAAATACTCGTCGCACGACGTAGCCTTATACTGCAGCTAAACTGGACTCACGGCCAGCCTCGACCGGCCTCTTATGGATGGGCAAAGGTGCGTGTGCGCTATCGTGTGGCGGAGAGCAGCGCCTGACCGTGTCGCAGTCCACCAAAACCCGCGTTCAACTCTGTATTCCTTAATGACCTCATCAAAGGCGCGTTTGTAGTATCATATGACTATACTCGGAAGCTGATGCTCGATGTCTGTCCAGAGCACAAGCCGGTTGTGTGCGCCCTTAGCGCGAGCTACATATCCACGTTTGCGGGATACCCAGTGCGTCTTCACGTGATATACTACGTGTATACACTCTGACGCACCGTATTCAGCTTGACTCGCTCAAGTCGCGCTTGCAGACGATTAAGACGCGCATAACCGTTCCTCAACTTGCCGTGCTTGTCTACAAGGAGGAGGGTTTCCTGGGCTTTTATCGGGGAATATGGATCCCGCTCTTGACCATCTCGTTTGTCCGTGCGTACGCTATGTCTCGTTATCTGCGTTCTGTCTGTTCTGACATCTATATCCGTAGGCGCCGCGTCCGTACGTGAATCCTTTGATGTCGAAAGGCGAATGCGCCTCTGACCGCTGTCTTTCCGCAGTTTACCATATACACGCGCACAAAGGAGTATGTCCGCGACCATAACATCCTTGATCAGGGCACGCTTGCTGGAGCAGGTGGGTCTGGCGGTCTGGGTGGCGCATTGGCAGGTTCCCTCATCTCCTTTAGCTCCGCACGTACGTATCCAGCACCGCCTGTTCCGAAGTCGCCGAACTCACGCGATTCACAGCGTTTGAGCTGGTCAAGGTACGAAGACAGCTCGAGTTTGCTATCGCGGCAAGTCGAGGCGTTGCTTTGCGTAAAGCGCCGGGTACAATTGAAGCTGTACGGGAGATTATGCGCGAACGTGGACCGCTGGGCATGTACAATGGCTTCAAACTCCACTTCAGTGCGTGTATAGATAAGAACGCAACCGACAAAGTACTGAAACTCTGTCCTCAAGTGCGCGATACGCTTGGAACGTCGCTTTACTTCTTAGAGTATGACTCTATGCGACATATACTGGGCCGATTGCCGTCTGGCGAGCAAGGACCGACACCGCCATGGCTGCCCATTCATGCGTCGCTTGTACCATTCTTCTGTGGCTCATTGGCTGGTGTTACCAGTTGGGCTCTGATATATCCGTTGGACGTGTACGTTTGCGCTCTCAGGTACCCGTTTCAGAAACTCATCAGTCGCTCAGTGTCAAAACCAAGGTCCAGCAACGAGCGCTTGCCGGAGAACGATATCGTGGAGTCGTCGAGACTTTCCGCCGGCTAGTGCGAGGCGAGCATCAGTATCCTTTCCCTACGCTCCATCCACTTATACACCCCACAGGTCCAGATCCTGAGCACCCCAAACCGTTTATCCAGGGCGTCGCACGAATATACCGTGGACTGGGCGTCAGCGCTCTCCGAAGCGTCACGACACACGGTCTTCTCTGGACCTTCTTCGACCTCACGAGCAACTGGATCGACGGCCTACCATAGGCTCTCCCAGCCACGTCCAATGTATAACTTATGGCGATCCCCGAGGTTCTCCTGCTGCATATAAAGCTACTTGTCGGCCCACTGAACGGCTCTAATTCTTATACTCACGCTTTGCACCCTGTATTCACGATGGCAAACATGCATATATCCACATCTCTTGTGCCATAGTCTGAATTGGCAGTATCGCTACCGACGGATGCAATCGTACTTGATGTATAGTGTCGAAGTCAGACGGGCGGGCCCTTCGATGTTCGTGCATTACGCAATCATGTATAGGCTGACAAGATACGGATTCTACAATAGGATCTAGGTGAACATACAGCAATGCTATAAATGGGGATAGGTTGGGGGTAGGTTGTGCACGAGAGGAATAATCTAGGGAGTACACATCAGTCAGAATTGCAGTAGCACCGGAGTAGAAGCCTTACTCACGATGAAGATATAACATCATGCAAGCGCTGTGTGTAGACGCGCTGAAGGGTGGCAATCAGGAAGCCATGAGACCCGCCATGTCTTTGATTCCAAGGAAAGCATCCATCAACGCGGGTGTAATGAGAGGTTTGATATTTTCCGCCCGTGACGTCTCGAGTTCAGCGCGCATCCGGGCCATCTCGACCTGCCAGCCTTCTCTCTCCTTCGCGTGAAGCTCCTGCTCCTTCCGACGCTCTTCCTCTACGCGAGCCACGTCACGCTGTAATCGTTCTTTGTCCTTCGAAGCGGTCGAAAGAGCTAATTCTTGCTGCGTAAATTTGTCCAGGAGCACTGCGAGTTTCGACTCCGCTTCATCCTGTTTCGAGCGAGCGACGGCTAGTTTGGCCTCGAGAACTCCTTCCTTCGTCTGCGCTGTCGCGCGCGCCTCTTCGCTTGCTGAAAGCTTGATCCTGCTTTCCTCAGCCTGTAGTACAAGCGTGTTGACTCGACCTTGTAGGCTCTCCTTATCAACGCCGAGTTGCATCGAACGTTCAGCATATACATGGAATAGGACCAAGACAAGATCACGAATTCCTACGCCTCGTGAGCATCTACCGGGCCAGGGAACAGGATGAGTGAAAAACTGTGCTTACTTGACGGGGGATCGACTGATGAAAATGAGTAGACTAGATGAACTTTCTCGAAAAATGGTCTCAGTTGTTTCTCGAGGCGTTCGCTTTTAATACTCCAGTTTGCGTCCGATATCCGAGCTCCATCCAATAGTCGGAAACAGTACTGTAGTGCAACTATAGAGATTCCCAGTACGGGGTCCGGCGTCGAAGGTGGAGGCGGATCCTCTACGGCCATATAGATGGTATGCGATGAAGTTGAGCCAGAAGGCATCGGTGTGAACGGGGCAGGCGGAGCCCGGAAGTTAGCAGAGAGAGGTGCGGATGCTGAAGTGCTGACAGCCGGCGCCGGGACGTGAGGTTCATAAGGCAGATATCCCAAAGATGACGATGCTGAAGGGGCAGTATGATTTAAGGCATCCAAGCGCCACCAAGGCTTCCACGCAGGCGGTAAATCCTCGAAACGCTCCGGAAGATAGAAGCTGTTGCTTTGGTTCAGACGACGCTTCGCTACGGCCGAACGCAGCATCAATCACATACAGTTGTATACTGAGACTGGACAGTGTTTCGGTTAGCAGGAGCCGGAGTACCGAGTCATCAGACAGGGAAGGGAATGGACGTACATCTGCTCGTCTTCCAAGTCGTAAGGCTCCATATTCCGACAAAGGACCTTGTCGAGAGTGTTGTGCATGTGCCCGAAACCTCTTTGATCCCACCACCATAGCTCCAGTGTATCTTCAGAGAAGTCATATTGCCAGATATTCTCTGCTTTGACCGCAGGTATCCTGAGACGAGCCAACTCATCGCGAAGTTCTGCAACGGCGCTATGCTGGCCTTGAGCGGCAGACATCCTGCTGGATGCTTTCGACATGTTGTACTTGATGAGACATACGATGTTGAAGGGTTCGCCCCGATCCGGTTCGAATAGCATAGGGAGGACTACCCAGCAGCGCCCAGTAGTTGTGGTGAAAGTCAAGGGGAGACCTGCAGACTTGAGGCACCCGGACTCAACTCGGACTGAAGAAAGCCTTTCTGATCCGCTGCCGCGGCGTCGATCTGTTCAAAGCTGACGACAGACCATAGCATATACCGAGGTTATCAAACCACCTTGAAACCAGTGTGTTATTTAATATGACATGTCGTATAATGACCGAAAAAAAAACTGTTCAAGGCACATGTGGAGCTGCCCCAGTGAGGCTCGAACTCACGACCTTCCGATTGCTTAATAACAGTCGGACGCTGTAACCAACTCAGCCATGGGGCATGGCAGGTTTAGCTTTTGTTACTTCATATATTATGGGACAGAGAACAGACTCACGTCCAGCCAATGGCTGAGCCAGGTCTAGCCAAGATCGCATCTCCCTTCCCACTGTCTCCGATGCACCCCTTTGCGCCCACCACCATTAGTTCCGGTAGAGGGCCTCGCCCACTGCGTCAGTAACAGCACCCTGGCCGTGACTCCTGATTCGTACTGTATCCATGATTGGCCTTCCAGAGACTCGAATGCGCTGGAACTGAAGTCATCTGTCTGCATGATCGCAGACATGCTTTCACCTCTGACCGAACAAATGAGCCTCGAGCACCCCTCGCGCACGCCACTGCTCTATCATGATTGATATCGACTGGTGCATGAGGACCGTATGTCGTGCACTTCAACGATTACGCGGTCGTTGACCGAGGAGGTGACTCCGACTGTCGACATGGTTGAACCGGGAACATGTTTCACCCGGGTGCGCGCCGCCCGAGCCGCCTCGGCGGGCTCCGTCCGCGCCCGGCTCCTCTGGGCTCCCGGTCTGCGCTCGGCATGGCTCTGGAAGAACTCTGCGACAAAGGCAAACCATCTGCGGGTACTCGGCGGTCGTGCTCCTAGGTATATAAGACGCGCCTCGCGCAATGCCGTATCGCGTGTAATATCACTCCACTTTTCGTGCTTTCAAGCACTTGGACTTGCTCCTCACACTTTTAACCACTATGACTACGGAACGACCCCCAGAGTATCCCGCCGTCGCGCACCACTCCTATGCGCCCTCATCCGACGCGACGAGGCATTCTAACCCCTCTTCATCTACGCTCGCCACACTCGAGCCCTCGCATGCGTTCCCGCCATCCCATGCGCCCGGCAGCCCCGATCTGTCGTACCCATTCGCCACGACAAACTTGCCACCAGGTATCACCGATGAGTACCGTGAGGTTGCCGAGTCTGGTCTCGTCCACCCGGGCGCGGAGCTCATGCGCGCTGCGACCCGCGTGCCGACGAGGGATCCGGAGATGGCGAAGCATATGAAGGATATGAATCTTGTTGTGTTCAAGCCGAATGATCCTGAGGATCCGCGTACGTGGAATACTGCATATCGATGGTGTACGTCTCTTTCTCCTCTCCAAGTGCCATGCCACCATATTCATCCTCGCCTTCACACAGATCTGACCGGTCTGGTCGCGATGGCCGTCGTTTGCGTTGCCTTCGGTTCCGCCGTCATCACTGGCGATTTCGGAGACATCGAAGAAGAGTTCGGCGTCAGTGAGGTTGTCACTGCGCTGAGCGTCTCGCTCATGGTCGTCGGCTTCGGGTGCGTCACTCTCCTATGTACACCCACTACGAGCGTCACTGACTTATGCTTACAGACTGGGACCTCTAGCATGGGGACCGCTATCCGAGATGTACGGCCGCCGATGGCTCTGGATCTCATCATTCTGGATCTACACCATCTTCAACATCCAGTGCGCACTCGCACACAACATCGGCACGCTCCTGAGCGGCCGTTTCCTCGCTGGCCTGTTCGCGAGCTCTGCGCTCGTCATCGCCGGCGGCACGATCTCCGATCTATGGGATAACAACGAGCGTGGATTCGCTATCGCGCTCTTCGCCGCTGCGCCTTACGGTGGACCTGTACTCGGTCCTATCGTTGGTGGTTTCGTCGGCGAGACGATCGGCTGGAGATGGATTTTGTGGGTCAACAGTGAGTATCCGTCCTTATCTAATCGCATCATTCCGGCGCTTATCTTATCATCTAGTGATCTTCGCGGGTGTTATGTCTGTGTTCCTCAGCTTCATCCCCGAGACGTACGCCCCCGTCATCCTCAAGAGGCGAGCGCGCAAGTTGCGAGAGGAGACTGGATCGGACAACTATGTCACTGAGCAGGAGTTGTTCCCTCGTCCCTTCTCAGACTTGCTCATCGAGACGCTCATCCGTCCTTTCGGTGCGTTCATCTTCAGCAGTTCAGATCTGCGACGTACTGACCGTCCACACAGGCATGTTGATCACCGAGCCCGTCCTCCTCCTCATGTCCCTCTACATCGCCATGATCTACGGCCTCCTCTACGCCTTCTTCTTCTCCTTCCCCGTCGTCTTCGGCGAGGACTACGGCTGGAACGACGGCCTCGTCGGCCTCTCGTTCTGCCCCATCCTCATCGGCGTCGCCCTCGCGCTCTTCGTCACTCCATGGCTAGAGAAGAAGTACCTCGAGCAGGCGCGCAAGAAGGGCGGCAAGGCCGATCCCGAGGACCGGTTGCTGGGCATGATGATCAGCGCGCCGTGGATCCCGATATCGCTGTTCATCTTCGCGTGGACGTCGCCGCCTATTGTGCCGCCTGGAGGCGGGCACTGGGTCGGACCCGTCAGCGCTGGCATCCCCTTTGGATTCGGAATGGTCGTCGTGTACTTTAGCGCCAACGCGTATTTGATTGATACGTGCGTACACTCTCTCACACGCTTGCGTTCCATGCATGATTAGAGCTGACTGTCATGTTGGTTGATAGGTTCCATACTTGTGTCGCATCCGCGCTTTCGGCCAAGACGGTCGTGCGTAGTGGTGCCGGCGCGGCGATGCCGCTGTTCATGGTGGCCATGTTCCATAATCTGGGGAACGAGTGGGCCGCTACGTTACTTGCCTTCTTGGCCCTCGCAATCGTGAGTGCTCCCTCCTTCCTCTCCAGCATCAAGGCAGATTGGCTGACGGTGAATGCAGGTACCTATACCCTACGCCTTCTACTTCTACGGGAAACAGATCCGTTCCCGCTCAAAACTGGCCGGAGCGGCGTAAGGCTGCCCGAGAGCTGGACTATTGACATGGGCTCGATTGTTTGATGTTTTCTCCTTACCGCTTTACACGCTTTCGCACTTTCACGACGCAACACACTACCTCTAGATGCACACCGTAGATTACTGTAGATACCACGCATACTTCTTTAATATGACATGTCGTTTTCCATCTCTCTTTCATGCGCGATCCGAAAGACTGAGACTGACATGAGACTGACATCGAACTTGCGCAACGTAGACGCGCTGTTGACGCGCCTGGGCAGTCCAAGGGCAGTCGCCTGCACGAGTAGTTCACAGCCTAGAGCGATTTACGCGCTCGGTGAATGACATTTCATACACGCAGTGGGTCCAAAACCGGGACAGAATACACGCCGGAAACGTGTGTGCCCACTTCCAAGACGCGGCCTGACAGGACTGATCTGACGTCGGCCGTTCTGAACTTTCGCGTGGCCATCCTGCCCCGTCCGTGCCTCGACGGCCCTCGATCTTGGCTTATAACGCCCATCTCCACCCCAGCCCTTTCACATCAAACACTCTACGCAGCGCCTCACGATGCCCACGATCCGCGAAGTCGGCGACGACGAGGTGCTATCCGACGATCAACGTTCAAACGACGACGCATCGGACTCGGACGCCGAGCACGAGCCCACCGCCGGGCCCTCCACCCCTGCCAACTCTACTTCAAATGCCACCTCGAGCAGCAAAAAGAAAAAGAAGAAACGCTCGAAAGTCGCGAAAGCGCTGAACAAGTTAAAGGGCAAGGAGGTGCCGGACGCGGTGGTGGAGAAGGTGATGGACGAGGTGCAGAAGACGGGCAACCCGGAGCTCGCGGGGATGGACGAGGGCCAGCTGCGGACGATTTTGGAGCAGCTGAAGATTAATGATGTGTTGCAGGGCAAGGCGGGGCTGGGGGGGAAGAATAAGAAGGATACGGGCGATCATAAGGTGTGTGTGATCTACTCTGGTTTGGAAGGTGTGTTGAGGCGTGGGGGTAGTTCTGGTCTACGCAGCCCGTTACTCAGTTTGGTATGTTTATATATACATGTTTCGTAACTTCAATACTCATGTATGAACAGGCGAGGAGGTGGAAGAGGAAGGACCGCTCGAGCCGTCCAAGCCGCGGGACCAGGTCAAGCAAGAACCCTACGCGCTACCCAAAGAATTCGAATGGGCGACGGTCGATCTCAAAGAGTCCGACCAGGTGCGCATTCCCTCCCATCGCCCCAACCTCTACTAAATCAATACATCTCAAGCTCAAAGAAGTCTACGAGCTGCTGTCCGCGAACTACGTCGAGGACGACCAGGCGTCCTTCCGCTTCGCCTACAGCCCCGAGTTCTTCCAGTGGGCGCTGATGCCACCGGGGTACCACAAAGAGTGGCACGTCGGCGTGCGCGTAAAGGCGAGCAGGAAGCTCGTGGCGTTTATCTCCGGCGTGCCCTTGCGCCTCCGCGTCCGCGGCAAGTGCGTATACCCTCCCTCAAACCTCTTATAGATCGAGCCAAGCTGACGGAGTGTGCAGCGAATTCGACTCGTCCGAGATCAACTACCTCTGCGTGCACAAAAAGCTGCGCTCCAAACGCCTCGCGCCCGTCCTGATCAAAGAGGTGACGCGGCAGTGCCACCTCAAGGGCATATTCCAGGCCATATACACGGCCGGCGTCGTCATCCCCACGCCCGTGTCCACGTGCAGGTACTTCCACCGCACGCTCAACGTGCCGAAGCTCGTCGATATCAAGTTCACTTATGTGCCAAGGAATATGACGCTGGCGCGGATGATCAAGCTGTATAAGGTGCCGGGGGAGCTGAAGTTGGCTAGTGGAGGGAAGGGTGAGGGGAAGGGGAAGGGCGGGTTGAGGGAGATGGAGGAGCGGGATGTGCAGGGGGTGTGGGAGCTGTTTGGAAGGTATATGGCGAGGTTCGATATGGTGCCGGAGATGAGCGTTGAGGAGGTTCGGCATCAGTTTATGAGTGGGCGGGGCGTGGGCGAGGTGGGGAAGAATAAGCGGCGGGATAAGCAGGTCGTGTGGACTTATGTCGTCGAGGTACTTCCTCTCCCCTCCCTACCACTTCACCTTCAGATTGTAATGTTGATGCGTCGACGCAGCACCCCGAAACGCACAAAATAACCGACTTCTTCTCCTTCTACTCCCTCCCCTCGACCGTCATCAACCACCCGAAACACGACTTTGTCGAGGCCGCCTACCTGTTCTACTACGCCACGGACGTCGCGTTCCAGGAGGGCGCGGACGAGCGCGGGCTGCTGAAGCACCGGCTGCACGACCTGATCCAGGACGCGATCGTCGTGGCCGAGCAGGCCGGGTTCGATGTGTTCAATGCGTTGACGCTTATGGATAATAGCAGCTTTTTGGCCGATTTGAAGGTGAGAGATCGATCCGATGCTTGGAGAGGAGGACGATGCTGATAAGGTCTTTGTATAGTTTGGCGCTGGAGACGGCTTGCTCAACTTCTATCTCTACAACTGGAGAACAAAGCCCTTGTCAGGATACAACGCTGTCGGGGACAGACCAGCAGGACGTGGTGTAGGCGTCGTCATGCTGTAGAACACACTGTCGCATCTCAATACCTCACGCACTGTACACAATATCATTCTATTGTTTAAATCGTTCATCGCGGTCGTAAGTTACAAGCTCCAAAGCATCTAAAACAGGCGAACTGTTCGTAATAATAATACAAAATGAGACAGCATCGCTCCTCAATATTTTCAATCGCTATCGATCTCAATAATCTCATCATCGTCGACACCCCAATCGACCTCCTCTTCCTCCTCAGGCGACGGTTCGCGCGCCTTACGGCGCAAAGCGGGCACACTTGCCCCGCCGGCGCCGACTGCGCCGTTGCCCATAGGCCGTCTGGGTGCTGTGGGCGCGGCGCCGAGCGAGTGGCCGCTGGTGCCCCAGTTATGACTGGCCGCGGGTGATTTGTCGTTCTCCTTCGCTTTGCCTTTGCTTGCGGAGGATGAATTGGAGCGGCCTGTGAGGGAGTTGCCGCTGCCGGCGAAGGGGACGGGCTGGGGATAGTCATCAATACGAATGCAGTGGTGAATGCAATGCATGAATGATGCTCACCTGCGTTGGACTGCCGTCCGCCTTGGGCTCAGGAGGCACATACGCCGGCACATTAAACCCAAAGAACAGCTTCCCAAACGGCAAGTTCAGCGGCGCCGGCACGTTCTCCTCCTTATCCAGATCCTCATTCGACACCACAAGATGCTTATCCGTCCTCTGTATCTTGCTGCTCTCCGGCACCTGCTCCACGCCGCGATGACTAATGCCCCTCCCCTTCGTCTTCCTTCCCGCGAGCGTCTCCCCGCGCCCCTTAAAGCTCTCCCAACTGTCCCCGTCCTTGCTCACGGCCGTCGCGCCCTTGCTCGTCCCGGCGAACTGGCCGCCCATCGAGCTCTGCGGGCGGCTCGAGCCGGGCGTGCTCGCGCCGACGTCGATGTTCAGTTTGGACGCCATTGTGGCGGGCGGCGCGGGCTTGGGGCGCTCGGGCTCGACGTAGCCGACGGGCGCGGCGAAGTCGACTTCGAGGTCGGTGTCGATGACGAGGATGCCCTCGCCGCCGGGCGTGGCTTCCATTACGAGGAGGCCGAAGACGATGGAGTTGTAGGAGATCTCGATGATGTCGCCTTGGGTTAGGGCCGTGAAGTTGCGCATCGCTTGTTCCAGCCTTTCCGTCGTAATCAGTATGATAACTAGACGCGATGTAGAGGGAAGAGGGGGGGGACGTACACGGCCTTGGGATCGGAAATCTCGAGGAAATGCACGCTCTGGGCCTGGAGCTTGACGAACTTGCCCTTCGGGAGCTCGGTCCCCGTTATGCGGATAGGATCGCCCTCGTTCAGCCGTAAGGTCTTCATCATCCAGTACGGCAGATGCACGCATCCCTCGTCCGCGATGAACTCGAGCACGCCGCAGTGCGTGGACGCCGCGGGGTTCGCGGGGTTCCGGAGCTTGAACTGCCAGGGCGACTCGATGTCCAGCTGCGTGAGGCGCGCGAGGGCTGAGGGGGGCATTACAACTGCAATATATTGTTAAATGAATATGATATTGAGGGGGTGGGCATGTGGTTGGACGCACTCTTCCCGCCGTAAGACAGGTTCTCGCGCTCGCGGCCGGGCAACATCGCGACGCTGTACGCCTTGAAATATTCATCGTACGCGCTCGGGTTCGCGCCGCCTTGAGGTCCGAATCCGGCGCCGAGGCCTCTGTGAAGTGAGCAAAGTCAGGATTATTGTTGAGGGAGAGGCATCAACGCGTCATACTGGGCCATCTGGGCGAACAAGCCTGCTGGGCCGCCTTGCCCACCGAACTGTATATATTTTGTGAGCATTGGTTTCGGAGAAGCAGGAGTAGGTAAACATACGAATGCCATAGTTAATGCGAGTAGAGAGGGAGGATGGTGGTTGAATGCAGGTCGGTGTGGGGCGTACGCGTCGCGTCAAGATATTGATCGCGTGGTCCACGTGCAGACGCGCCTCGCGTCTCGCGCGTCTTTCCAGTTCTGCAGCCCTCACCCTTCTGGCCATCATCCGTCATGTCTGCTCCAAAAGCCGTAGCGCCTGCGCCCCATACGAAGGCTTTCAATGACAAGGCGCGCTTGAATAGAACTTTTTGATGAGGTTTTGGGATGGCTGACGCGGGTGATCGTAGGGCAAGCCTATGGAAGTTCGCCTGTCGAACATGGTCGCCGCAAAAGGTGCGCTTTACTCGCAATATTTGTATACAAGGTTGCTAACAGTATGTAAAGCGATCAGCGACGCGGTTAGGACGTCTCTCGGCCCGAGAGGAATGGACAAGATGGTGCGTGTCATTCGGATAGATCATTTGCATCTACTTGAACGCGTGCGTGCAGATCCAAACGTCCAAGGGCGAGGTCATCGTCACAAACGACGGCGCGACCATCTTGAAGAGCATCCAGGCCTTACACCCGGCCTCTAAGATGGTGCATATCTCTTCGATCTTACGTAGACACTTCCTGACGCCCGTGACTGTCAGCTCGTCGATCTCTCCGCCGCACAAGACGTCGAAGCCGGTGACGGCACGACCTCCGTAGTCGTTCTGGCCGGCAGCTTCCTGGGTGCTGCAGAGAAGATGCTTGAGAAGGGCATCCACCCGACCATCATCGCCGAGTCGTTCTTGAAAGCGTCCGCAAAGGCCGTCGAGTTCTTGGAGGAGATGGCCACGCCGATCGACTTGAACGATATGCAGACTCTGACGCGCGTCGCTAGCACGTCTTTGAACTCCAAGGTATGCCTTATCATCGCGCACCACTCATGCCTATGCTAATGCTACTCAGATCGTCTCGCAATACTCGTCCACTCTCGCGCCCATCGCCGTCAAAGCCGTCACGCGCCTCGTCACGCCCACTTCGTCCAACGTCGACCTGCGCGACATCCGCATCGTGAAGAAGGTCGGCGGCACGATCGAAGACACCGAGCTCATCGACAACGGCGTCGTGCTCAACCAGAACGTCGTCACGTCCGCCGGCGGCCCCACAAGAATAGAAAAGGCCAAAATCGGCCTCATCCAGTTCCAGCTATCCGCGCCCAAGCCCGACGTAAGCCCCCCCCCCTCCCAACCAACTCCCCCGTCAACGTGTATTGTGTGTGATACTGACTAAGGAGGGATAGATGGACAACACGGTCGTGATCAACGACTACCGCCAGATGGACAAAGTGATCAAAGAGGGCCGCGCCTACCTCCTCAACATCTGCAAGAAGATCAAAAAGAGCGGCTGCAACGTGCTCCTCATCCAAAAGTCCATCCTGCGCGACGCCGTGGACGAAACATCTTTGAACTTCCTCAAGCGCCTCAACATCCTCGTCGTGAAGGACGTCGAGCGCGACGAGATCGAGTTTTTGAGCAAGAGTCTCGGGTGCAAGCCTGTCGCGGATATCGAGGCGTTCTCTGAGGATAAGCTCGGGTATGCGGATTTGGTCGAGGAGGACAGTCATATGGGCGGCGCGAAGGTTTGTAAGATCACCGGGCTGAAGGCGAAGGGACGGACGGTTAGTATTTTGGCGATGGGGAGCAATAATCTGGTGTTGGAGGAGTGCGAGCGGAGTATACACGACGCGCTGTGCGTCGTGCGGTGTCTCGTCAAGAAGCGGTAAGCGCTTCTCCCCCACCATCAGTCCCATTGACTCTCATTGCTCACGAACGCGGTCTTGTATAGGGCTCTCATCGGCGGCGGCGGCGCACCCGAGATCCACGTCTCGCGCATGCTCTCGCAGTACGCGCACTCGCTCAAGGGCATGGAAGCGTACTGCTTCGCAGCGTACGCCGACGCGCTCGAGGTCATCCCCACAACGCTCGCCGAGAACGCGGGACTGAACCCGATCTCGATCGTCACGGAGTTGCGCAACAGGCATTCGCTCGGCGAGCGCAACGCCGGGATCAACGTCAAGCGGGTGCGCTCTTCTTCCATGTGTGTTGTATGGGATGTATGAAATGCTGATGCGGATGTTGTAGGGCATGATCTCGAATATCTTGGAGGAGGACGTCGTGCAGCCGTTGTTAGTGTCGACGAGCGCAATCGAGCTGTCGACGGAGACTGTTACGCTGTTGTTGAAGATCGACGATTACGTGCAGACTCGATGATCGTAGCGCAACTAGATGTAGAATGCTATCACTGTACCATCTTGAGCTCTTTGCCTTCTTCAGGGACGGCTATTCAAGTCGGCGCGAGGGTGGAAAAATGATCTCTCTCGCCGCGTGTGGCGAGACTTCTTTGCCACCGGCCGTCATCATGCCCGCGAGAACACGAGAACACGGCATGCGGGGGCCCCATCATCGTGTAAAATGCTACCGTCTTCTTCCCATCACCACGACCGCCTCTTACTACGCAACCTCTGTACCATATACAGTAACACGACCGCACCTCGAGCGGGGCATGGGCCCCTCACGACGAGCGTTCCAGCCGAGATCTGGCGAACCCTTCAACATCGTCATGTCCATCCAGTACCGAGGGACCAAGAAGTTCGATTTCAAGCTGTCTTTCGACAGCACTGGGGACACGAAGAAGGCTATGACTACTCTGCGACTATTGCAGGATCTGAAGTCTCTGGGTCTGCCTGGTTTCGTGAGCCCCGATCGTGTTTGCGGGTCTTCGTATGGCCATCCGAACACGATCGAGATACTATTCCCAAATTGTGACGGCAGAGGGGTGCGTGTCGTTGGTCAGATGAACTGTGGTGGGTATGCCGGTGCTGAAGTCGAGGCTTTGGTAGGCTATTGAGCGCAAGTTCCGCTTGTTGGAGAAGCGTGTTGTCGATCATGCGGCTGAGATGGAAGCCATGCAGATGTAGGTTCGCAGATATGCATGTGTATGTTCTGCAGATCATACGAGCTCACTACGGGTTTTTTCACAGACGGTCGCTCTACGTGTGAGCTCATCATGACGTTCAGAAACAAGAGAGCATCGAGTGAATGAGCATACAGATACTTTCTCCCCAAAGAATACACAAGGCTAGGCGAGAGAGCCACCGCAAACTACGTCTTCTCGAGACCTCCCGACGGATGGAGACTCCCACCACCTCGCGCGCGATCCCCTCCCGGACGCGCGCGAACGCCACCTCGTGGGCCAAGGCGGAGGTCTCCGTCTGTACAGTCTGTACGAGACTCAGTGATAGGCGGCATTCGCGAGGTGCCACGCTCGGATTCGAGAGCTTCATCTTCGCGTCTACGATCTGCTGAACCCTCTGAGAGACCGTTGAACCATGATTCATCTGGAAACAGGGCAAGCTCGTCGCGGCTCCCACTAGACCAGAGTGCCGCGTCACCTCCAGTGAGTAACACAGACTCGGTCCAGGCAACTCAAACTCACAACGGTCCCATACCCAGATCTCACCAAGTGAACAACATCTCGATCCAAGTAACAACGACGAGCGCGCCTCGCTCCGCACGCAAATAATACAGAGCAAACTCCAACAAGCGCTCCAGCGCCAGCGCATACGCGAGCTTCAGAAAGAGCTGGCTGCAGAAAAGGACGCGCGACGAGATGCGGAGTCGCGGTTGGTACGGGCGCGAGCGAGGACAGAGGAGGAGAGGATGAAGGTTCGGGATGTTCGAAGAGAGTGTTCGGACCCGTTTATCACGCCTGCGTTGTTGGAGGCTTTCTGTGGTGTATCGAGTATAGCTGGAGGGACATTGTAGCCGTAGAACCCGCCCAAAGCCTCCAGTACGGACCCGCTACCTTTGCCCGAGGTCGGGACCAACAGCGTTCATATCGAATGCGTCGGTGACTTCACCGACATCTTCAAGGCGGCCAACCATTTAATATTCTCCTCCGTCCCCCGGCCCTCCTCCCAGTTTGGGCAGTGATGGTAGTGGTGGTGGTGGTCTAGGTGATGGTTGTTATTCCGCGTCACTGGCGACCATGTTGTGGCGACAGAGTCGTGAGAAACGCAATCACGGTCTCCGCGCACATGGCGGCTCCTTTCAACCGACCACCACCCACCGACCTGCTTGGCCGTGCCACCTGTCCTTTCCTTGACCGCCTTCCTCATAGCTAACACTACACACATGGTCAGATCTCGGGCTCGTAGGTCTGGGCCCAGGAAAGCTGCACCCTACGAGCCGAGACTGGGTGAACGCTTCAACATCATCATGTCGGTTCAATACCGAGGCTGGAAGGAAACGGAGTTTGACAAACTGGCTTTCTCTACTAAAGACTCCGTCAAACGCGCCATAAACACTCTCCAGCTGAATAAGAATCTGGCGCAACTTGGGCTTCCGGATGATGTTAGCCCTGAGCATGTATTCAGGAGTTCTTTTGGGTATCTAAATACGATAGAGGTGCTCTTTCCCACTTGCGATGGTAGAGGGGTGAGAAGACATTGTCATCTCTATATTGTCTTGCTTAACATGCGTGCAGGCTAGTGATCATTCATTTCGCATGCTCAACAATCGTCTACTGGTAGATGCGTCCGAGCTGGAAGACATGCAAATGTAGGTCCATTTCGCGGTGGCATCTGGTTTTATGTGGACTCATCATTCGCTCACCGAACAGCAACACACTATTCATGTACGTCTGAACTGCCTCCAACCATTGTTGCTGTGCTCATCCGGTGGCGTCTAGTTACTTTCTTCCAGATAATCGCACAAAGCTGGATTGGGAAACCCCCGCAAACTTCGTCTTCAAAAGGCCCTACGGAGGCTGGAAGCCACCACTTCGTCGAGCTGGCTCTCCTCACACGCGTGCACGATCGCCACCTCGTGGGCCGGCGCGAGCTGGATCGAGCTGGCGCCCTCGATTCCGGTCCCAATCATCATCGTCGTCCACGCGGGACTCTCCTTATGGCAGTTACACACCCCTTACCTCTGCACGGGCTTCATCGACAATTGCTTCGTCACGGCAGCCCTCTGCTGAACCTGTACAAAGGGTGACTGTCGAGGAAATCTTGAGGCCCTCCCGAACATCCCCATGTCCTCTACCGACTGACGAGACGCCAGAAGTAAGATCTGAGCCTATGACGAGATTGGTATCCAGTCCATCTTCTGTTCATCACTCACTCAAGTCGCCTTCAACATCGACTATACCCCTCGGTGACGCCTCACAAACGAGTTCCCATGTGTCGCCGCCTGTAGTCAGTGTCCTCCGCACTTTGCATTTGACATATCCTAACACATCGCATCAGGGTTCGCGGAAAGAAGACGCCGACCTACATCGGGACGAACGTGCATCTCTTCGCGCTCAACTAGAAGCAAACGAAGCTGAGAGAGAGCTTCAGCGTAAGCAAATACGCCAGTTGCAACAGGAGCTAGCGATAGAACGGGAAGCCCGAAGAGACGCCGAAGCACGGTTGGAGAAGGAACGAGCTCGATTAGAGGAAGAACGCCAAAGGATCCGGGATATCCAGATGGAGTGTCGAGAGCCGTTCGTTACACCCGCACTTCTAGATGCTTTCCAGCATGTGTCATCTATAGCTAGAGAGATATCGAACTGCTAGTTCGCTTTCGTCCCTGCCAGCGTTGTGAGAAGTTTGGTCTGAGGTTTTGCCGCCCGACAGCGCGTGTAGTCCCGTTTCCCATGATGTGCCTATAGCGCAACGACATGTCATGATGCGGATTAGCGCTCGTAAGGGCTGGGCGCCTATGTCGAGCGCCGCCTCGCTTCTTACCATCACTGCCTATCAGCCTTCCCGGCAGCAGCATGGGCAAGAAACCCGGTCCCTCGTACCAGCCCGAAACGGGCGTCAGTTTCAACATCATCATGTCTATACAGTACCGTGGCTGGAAGGAACGACGGTTCTCAAACTCGCTGTTCTCCAGTGACGCGGGCGTCGAGAGGGCTATGGAAGTGCTGGAGTTGCGAAGAGACCTCGCTTGCCTAGATCTTCCTGACGATGTCAATCCAAGAATGGTGTTCAGGTCGTCCTATGGCTACGCAAACACGATAGAGATCCTGTTTACCGGGTGCGAAGGCAAAGGTGTGAGTATCCGGATACTCCATGCGATCAAGTGTAGATTCTCAGAGGCAATCAGATCGTTGAACGCAAGTTTCGCTCGCTAAATCAACGACTCCAGGAGGATCCTATTGGACTTGAATCCATGCAGATGTGATTGATCACGCTATTATGCACTAAGAGGAAGAGCTGACGGGACTGTCCGTCTTTGAAAGACGCACACTATACGTGTACGTCGCTTCTCAACCCTGTACTTCGCTTGTCTGGCAATGAACACGGCGATCTGCAGGTACTTCCTCCCCAAACAGACCACAAGACTGCACGAAACTTCGGCTTCGACCTTTGTCTTCCGAAGGCCGCTGTCTGGCTGGACAGACCATCCTACGCCGAGACGACGCTCTCCCGGTAGACGTGCGCGAACACCACCTCGAGCCCGCCTACCCGCGCGCCGGGCTTCGTCCGCGTCACCGCTACACAGTAGTGGCGAGCCTTCGAAACTGGACAGCATGGTTCTTCAGCGTACGACCACATCTCCATCTCATGCATCCCTGGTCATGGGCGAAATGGTCAACACGATTGGTAGAGCTGAGAGGTCTTCGGCAGTATCAGGTCCTTCATTGCCCGATGGAGATCAGACTCGGATTGTGAGAGAGACTGGGGCGGATAGAGACGCTCCGGTTTTGATGGTGAGAGGATGATGAACACCTACTTGACACAACCTCATACTGTCGTCGTAGAAGCCAGAAATACCAGTCGTGAAGGGGCTGCAGGAGGATGAAGCTGCATCACTTCGTGCAAAGATCGAGCAATCCGAAGCCCTGCGACAGATACAGAGCCGGCAGATACACGAGTTGGAGGAAGAGCTGACGCTTGAACGCGAGGGACGGCGACACATCGAGACACGGTTGGAAGAGGAGCGCGTAAGGGTGGAGAGGGAGTGTACTAAGCTGCAGGAGCTCCGTCGGGAGGGTTGGGACCCGTACTTTGGTCCCGCTCTCCTGGATGCTTTCCAGGTGGTCTCTGATATGGCCCGAGAAGTAGTATAGGCATGCATTCCATGCCTTCGTGAACAGCCTAAGATTCGGGATGAGACGAGCGAAATATGGGCGTGCTCGCCCGTCAAGCACCCGAGCATGGCCGACACGCGAATCATCAGATCCGGCTTGATGCCGCGGGATCAACGTCCCGAGCTTGAACTCGAACTACCATCACACGGGCGTTCATGTCCACCGTTCCTCTCTACGAACCACGAAAACCTGGTGAAATCTTTCATGCGGTATGCTGCATACAATATAGCGGCGACAAAGCACATACAATGGTCGATTCCTGGAATCCGAAGGACCCGAATGTGAAGAGCCAACTTCGGGCCGATTTGAAGAACTTGACATTGCCTCTGATCAAAGCCGAGAACGTGCAGAAGTGCAAGAAACACCGGGGAAAAGGATTGGAACTCTGGTGGCGTGATCAGAAAGCCTCAGGTGTACGGATGCAGTACTCTTTCTACATATACCGCGCTGACCTGCGTCATGGGTGCAGCCTTTCCACAACACGATCGAAAAGGTATTCAACCGCCTATCCGCCGCCACAAGTTTGCCCGAGGGAATGTTAGTCGCCGCTTTGCAGGTTGCGAAAAGGCAATGTTTTGGCGCTGACTACGTGACAGTGCGAGATTACAGTTGTACGTGGTTGTACGATCTCTCGTTAGCGTGGCTCACATGACTTGTCCCATAGGTACTATCTCCCTCAGAAACACACAGTCTTGTATCCTAACTGGATTCCCCGATGGAATGTCGATAACCCTGCTTCATCTACCGCGCACTCAGGTCCGAAGTCACCGTATTTCTCAGGCCTGTGCTGATCGTCATATAGCGGCTCCTCCCGTAGCGTCAGGATCTTCGACAGGTACTGTTGCGAACAAGAGGCCGTCGACGCGTATTAATATGCCATCTGACGGTAGTACCTGCACTTTCGCAGAGTCATGCAGCGCCCGCCCTTCCTATAACGCCGCAGTCGGCATTCACCCGAGTTGGCGTATCGACGTCTACATCGACACATGCCTCTTCATTCGGCGCTTCTCACGAAAGATGGGGTCTCTCCCCCACACTTAACTCGAAGCCAGCCAGCGGCTGGGTTGATTTTTCCATTGCGCGGACGTCCGCGCCTTCCAGTGTATGGGGTCCACCAGATCTGCAAAGGCCCACGGTACCCATCTACAGACCTATCACTCCTCCCTACACAGCCGCCACTGCGGGCCCGCTTTTTCCCGCAGAAGAGGTAGACTCGCCAATCCGCACTGAGCCTGCTTCATCTCTTGCTTCTCATAGAAGTCCAGCCTCCACCCACCCTACCTCCCCGATCTCGGAAGGACCGGAAACATTGGCGTCTGTTTGCCTTGCAGAGTTCGCCGATCTCTTCTCCGGGTCGCTCGACCACGATGCCAGACGAAGGAATCTCACTCAAGTTACACAATCTCTATTCGATGCAGAACCACAGCATCGGCCTTCTGGTCCTTTTATCGCATTACGTGGTTGGTCATGCCCGAAAGTATGAAGCTGCTGAAGCTCAAGCACGCGTTCACTATAGATATACGCCGAGCAACCGTCATGGCCTTATGTGCTCGGGCTGAATGCGCATCTGAACTTGAGGTACGACTTTGCCTGCCTTCCTATTCGCCGCCAAAAACTTATGTTCCGTCTCATCAATCAGGTTCAACTTCAAGAGGCGATCGTGAAGAACCACGAGACAGCCGTGCAGCGCACGAGGGATATCGTAGCGGCCGAGTCACGCGCTCAGGACCTCGCAGTAACGGTCGCAGATCTGCGTTCGCGCTACGAAACACTATCTGGGGAGCGCGAAGAGACCAAGGCTGCTCTTGATAGATGCAGGGAAGAAAATGAGCATCTGTCTAGTCGTGTCGAGTCTCTCCAGAAAGACCTGGAGAAGGCTCAGTCCCAGCGCGCGACGTTTCAAACCGCTTGGAGCGCGATGAGGACGAAGGTCCAGGACGTAGAGTCAAAGCTCGCCGCCGCCGAAGATAAAGTCTCGAAACAGCAAGTCGCTCTCTCTGCGTTCACAGGACGTGGCGGACGTATTCAGGACGATTTTGCACGCTCAGAAGACGAACGTCGTCAAGAGCAGGGAGCTCATGCCAGGGAACGGGAGGGCTGGCAGGCTGAGAGGGCTCAGATGCGGGCCCAACTCGATGCACTGCAGGCGGAGAACGCAAGATCTTTTGTCACTCCCGCATTGATGGACGCCTTTCTCGGCGTCAATGACATGGTACGACTTGCGACGTCTTAACCAAGACTCGTCGACGCGCTTTTCTACCTCGCGACTCGGACGCTCGATGCTGCTTTCTGATAGCCCGATGTAAGTGCTGGCATCTCTCATGGCCGCTTAACTGGACTGCTCACTGACAGGCTCGTTGTAGGCTTCAACTTGTAAACTATATCTTGTGGCGTGGACCAAGGACCTACATTGTAGCTCGAAGATTGTTGTAAACTTGCTCTCTATTGTACTTGTCTCAGTCAGACCAAGCACTGGCAAGGCAGGACACCACTATCTGTGAGGTAACGGTTGTGGCGCAGTGAGTATCACCGTTGGCGTCGTGCGTACTCAAAGTCCAGTGTTTCAGGGCGGGATCGGTCAAGTTGGTCGGTACGTGGCCGGCACGCGACTGCCACGAGCTACGAGATCCGGTTCATCCGCGATGCCGAAGGGCACACAGTCTTGATCCCGGACTACTATCACCGCGCGGGTCCATGTCTGCCCTCCCTGTCTATGAGCCTCGCAGAAACGGCGAAATCTTCCACGTCATATGCTGCATTCAATACTGTGGCTCCAAAGCATTCACACTGGTCGAGTCCTGGAACCCGAATAACTTCAATGCCAGGAATCAGCTTCGCGACGATCTGCGCATACTAAAACTGCCCCTAATCAAAGCCGAGAACGTGCAAAGATGCCAGAACCACGGTTGCGGCTTGGAACTGTGCTGGCGTAATCAGAGATACGCAACTGTATGCGTGCAATGCTCTTGCCTGACGTTCAGCACTTATCACTGTTTCAGCCATTCCACAAGAAGCTGGAGAGCGCGTTCGCTCGGTTATCTAGCACCCCTAACTTGATCGTGCCCGCGGAAACGTCAGTCCCTCTTCGTAGCTCACAATATCGTCGTATACTCATGCTGACCCACTGTACAGCCTAAGCTTCCAGCTGTACGCGTCTATGTCAGCGCACGCAAATTCGCCATTCATGAGGTGTTCTTAGGTTCTACCTGCCTGTCAAACACGCGGCCCTTACCCCTTCATGGAACCCAAAATGGACTGTTCGCACTTCGCTCTTCGGGCAAGCCCGCCATCTGAGTCCCTCCTTCGAAGGAGAATCCCCCGCAGCGTCAGAATACGAAGCAGGTACAGTAGCGTGCGCGATGCTTTCGCCATATGATTACTGACAACTCGACGATAGAATCTATGTACGAAACGAGTCCCGTACCGGCCCTACCAATCACGCCGCAGTCGCCGTATATGCCAGCCACGGGGCCTCCCTCGACAGTCACGCACGCACCTCCACCTACCGGGTCCAACGCAGGCTGGAAATACACCAGTGGCTGGCCAGACTATACACCATCATCACCGTCGTGCGGATGGGGCGGAGGTTATGGGATCAAGCCCGCAATGTACACTGACCCCAGACTCGTCACATCTCCCTACGCGCCGGCTACTCCCATCACGAGGTCGCCTGTGAGCGAGGCGCGATCGTACACGAGCGAAGCGCAATCGCTCGTGAGCGAAGCACAATCAGCCGCGAGAGAATCGCAATCACCGGTGTATTCAGTAGTCCTTTCTGTCGCATCTCCACAGAGTCCAGCTTCTACCCGTTCCAGGTCGCCGATATCGGACACTTCGGAAACTCTAGCCTCCGTCTGCCTGTCCGAATTCATGTATGACTTTGCTACGGGAACCAACTACGAGACCAGGAGAAAGGCGTTCGAAGAAGCGACGGAGTCTCTCTTCGACGCAGAACCGCAACATCGGCCCTCTGGTCAAAATGTCCCCTTCATAGGTTCGTCGAGGCATCCGAGTCTCTACGAACCAACCCACTCAAATGAGCATGCTTATCAGATATGCGCCGGGCAGCGATCAAAGCCCTCTGTGCTCGGGCCGAATGTGCAACTGAACTTGAGGTGAGAACTTCTCGTGTGTTCATCATCCACGGCCAACAAAACTTTCGTAGGTTCAATTACAAGAGGCGATCGTGACAAGACGCGAAGCGGAGGTACTACATACTAGGGACGTCGTGGCGGCCAACACCCGGGCTCAGGAACTCGCTGTTGTGAGCTTGGAATTCAACAGACGCTACGATATCTTGGAGAACGAACACGAGCAGACGAAGACCGCGCTCGCTGAGCTCGAAGAGGAGAATGGGCGCCTGTCGGGCCAGGTCGAATCGCTCGAGCAAGACCTGTCCAAGACGCAAGCTCAGCGTGCGACCCTTCATGCCGCGTGGAAAACCAACAAAACGAAAGTCCAGGATCTAGCATCGCAGCTCGCCGCCGCCGAGGACAAGATCTCGAAGCAGCAAGTCGCACTCTCCGCAGCCACAGTGCGCAGCGGGCGCCTACAGAACGACCTGGCAAGCGCAGAAGAGGAGAGGCGGAAAGAGGAAGTCGTTTCTGCCCGGGAGCGAGAGCGTTGGCGGGCTGAGAAGGCTCAGATGTCCGCTGAGTTGCGGGCATTGCGGGCGGAGAGGGCTAGAACTGTCGTTGTCCCCGCTTTGATGGACGCGTTGCTCCAGATCAACGATCTGCTACGGGTGGGAACAGATTGATCGTCAATCCCTCACTTCAGGTGTGGGTATCGCCTTCCTCGTATGTTTGGAATATTGGCTGATTTGCACTACTCAGATTGTACATGTGCTTCATCTCTTCTACGTCAGGTGTATACATAGGTGTATTGTCTATTTTTCGGTAATTATCACTAATCTATAGCAACGGGTACGATATGATCTCATTTGTAGTAATCAGAGTCGCAGTATCCATCGAGAAAAAGTCTTGCGCGAAGGTCCATAGTCAGGCCGTATCCCGAAAAGTGTAGATGTCAAAGAACTACGAACGTCATGCAGTCGCATGTCCTTCGCCCGGCTTCATCGGATAGCTCGAGCTCGACGTCTCAAAGTCCTGCTCGGGACCGTGCGCAGAATGGGGCGGACGAACAGCAACGGTCTGCGCCTCCGACTCAATAAGGAGCCATCCAGGATGCAAGAATATGAGCAGCCACATCGCCGAGGCGATCATGATAGCGTCCCAAACAACTGCAGCGGCATCAGTCACATGAACGTGCAAATAGGCCTGCATATATGCGCACCAAATAACCATTGCGTCGACGCCACCCTCCCGTCCGGCCCTCCAGCAAGCTCAACAGCACGATAGACAGACCGAATGATGATGAGCACCGTCATACAGCCCTCACACGCCGTGAGCCACTTCACGCGTGTCGTGAACGCCGCGCGGTAGTACGCATCATCCGGCTTATCTGGAAAGGGAATGTCCTTGATGTAGCGGTAGAAGAACTCCAAACCGAGTACTGCGTAGACGATCAAGCTGACAACTTGGAAGATAACGCCTGCTAGAGCGATGTCGATGCCGATCTTGGCGAGGTTGGCATTGTGCGATGCGGAGAGGCCGCCGCCGTTTCCTTGAATGTTGAGGGACATGAGATCGCAGCCGACGAAAACGAGGCCGTCTGCGAGTACCGGCTCAATATATGCGCGCGACGAGGGTCACGAGTACGTACATAGCCGAGGACGAAGACGACTGTAGCAAGCGCCTAGTCGTTGCATGATGTGTTGAAGTAAGATGAAGTTGGCCGCAACCAGGAACGTAGGCGCAAAGAGCGTGAATAACGAGCTGCAGGAGCGAGTGAGTTTCAGCGAGTCAAGCCGTTGGCACTCAGACTCACTTCAATAGATACGGCGCCAGTGACTGAGAGTGCAGATCCAAAGCACCCAGCAAACGTCCTATCCATCCGATGACCTCCAGATAGCCGCAGATTGCAGCACTCCATACGAGGAAGCGCATGTTATACTTGAACCCAAGAAAAGTGTGGATGATGGCTCCCAAGCCAAAGAGAGCAAGAAAGAGGTATGAGAGCGCCGGTGTAGGGACGTAATGGAAGAGCGTCAACTGATCGTAGGACTTCGAGTCCGCTGAATGGCATTCGGTCAGACACGTCGTCCCTCGAACTGGTGCGACCACTCACACATGGCGAAGAAAAAGACGGCGAAGAGGGCGAGAGCATCGCGGTACCTCATCAAGCCTCTTATACTCACCCAAAGACGCGAAAAGCACAGTATGAGCCCGCTATTGAGAGAAGAGGATATGGCGAGCGGACAAAAGTCCGCTAAACGCTTCGTCATGAGCCATGACACATCGCGTGCGTGGCTCACTGCCGCCCACGAGGCTCTACAGCTGTTGCTTGGCTACACGATAGCAACTGAACATTGACGACGCTGCAACCAAGCATACGCCGAGTTCGATCTACCGCTCGACCTTGAGCTCAGGAGCCACCAATTTGGGTGACCACATGATGGGATGAAGCAAACCGCCTGTCCGCGCCGCCGAATCGAGCGCTGAACGTTTTCTGGCTCCCTCGAGCAACCCTCGAGCGATGGGACACTCCAGCGAAGCATATGAGCTTTCTTCATGCAGTCATTCGATGGATAGCCAGGCGAGTAGGCGGAGCTGTGAGCAATGCGCTAGTCTTCTGGGTCGTTCTGCGAACCAGGAGCAAACCAGGAGAGCTCTGCTCGCGCTATATTGCCCCGAAAGCAACGTACGTCGCGATCGCATACAGCAATGTCGTAGCCCTTTCAACACACTGAGAAAGCCTGGCGTTGGCCTTGCGCTCGGTTTCATCCCCGCGAGTCCCGGTCGTTAGGCGGTGGTGTGAAGTGGTGCCAGATTGTATGCGTGTGGAGTCGTAACCGAGCGACTGTCCCAGTACACCGACATTGTGTGCAAGGTAGACGAACACACTCGGACTCGTACAGACGTAGAAATATTGCGTCAAAGCGTATGATGATAAAGCAGCGCGTATGCGATATGAGAAGTACATAAGAGACAACATAGTGCAGCGTTGATGATGAGATGAGAGAGAGAAACATCCAGCCGGTCCAGGCCGGGTAACGACAAAAAATTATGGGCGATATGGTACGTGGATACGTGGAGAGATGGGGAGAAGATCGAGAGCAGCTGGAGCGGCTACGTGACGTAGATAGATCGTAAAGAGTATAGACCGAGAACTAATTGGAGGAATTTGGAGCAGGTTGAGATTGATGTGATGATGCGTTTGCAATAGACGAGCCGAGAGTGTTCGATGTTCGACGGACGGAGAGGCGGGGCACAGCGTGAGAGATAAGTACTAAGTACAGATGAATGACGTGCGTTTGGACAAGGTTCGATGGGAGCTGCGATGAGAAGAGAAGAACTGGACTGGTGCGGGGGCCGGGATGGAGAGCAAGTGACGAGAGCATGCGTAGCGTTGGAGAGGCGCAAGAGTAAAGACGCCCGAGGCCTGGATGGCAGGCCGAAAGCGGATAGGCAGGCCGCAGTCGAGCGCGGGCACCGGCGGCTCTCAGCCTGAGATGGATGAGATGAGATGGATTGGCCGGGGGTGCATGACGCATGACGCAGTGTGGGCGCCTGGCGTGGCGCGCGTGGCGCCGGCGAGGCAGGGGCACAGCCCAAAGCCGCTGATGGGAATTACATACGCCTACACGCCTCTACGGCGCGCACTGCGGCGTCCAAACCGGCATGAGTTCCCGAAACGTCGTGTCGCGGCCGGGCGTGTGTCGCGGTGGAGGCGTCCGCATGCTTGCGCGGGCGAGCTCGGCGATTCGCAGCGGCTCGAGTTCGGTGCGCGCTTCGGTGCTTAGCTTCCGCCGGCGTACGGGGCCCGGGCCGGAGGAGCGGTCTAGTGGAAGTGCAGACAGGTCTGCGATCGCCCACGGGTCCTGCGCGAGCGAGGGGTCGTCCAGCGTGGACGCCCACGCGAGGTCGTCGAATACGGAGGTGGCTGGGCGCGGGAAGACGAGAGGGGCGATGTTGCATGGGCGGCGCGTGGGGCGGGCGAGGCCGTGCCTCCTGCGGCGAGGCGAGCGCGGCGCGTTGAGGGTCGATGATTTCTTGATAGAGCTACACGGTGTAGGAGACTTGCAGAACTGTAAGGATGTCAGGAGATATGACAACGGGCGGAAGACTAGACGTACTAGTTTACGAGAGCGGTCGGGCAGAGCAATTGGGGATAGCAAGCGAGGATAGCTGATGGACTCGGGCTTGGGCTTCGTGGTAGAGTGCGACTGTTCCAATGTAAGTATTCAATGCAGGCGAACAGATGTGATGGCTCACGATGAAAGGATCGTCGTCCTCGATGAGCATGCGGGAGCTGGATGAGCTGGGCATGCCGTTGGGGAAGAGGGGCGCGTCGCGTTGAGCAGGGTCAACTATGACGAGGCGGGTAGGCTGAGGTGCGAATACTGTGTGCATGTTGAAAACAACGGGCGGAGGGCGCGGTGGTGTGGCCCGAATAAAAATCGAAGGAAGGGGGTTTATAAGTAAGACAGAGCGAGATCGTGGATTTGATCAGAGGCGATAGCCACGCAGCCCCAGCTGCCCCTTAGTGCTCCCTTCACACGCACAGTCCCGGGCGCTCGGCCTCGATTCTCCCTTCCCGCGATCTTGCCCGCGCTAGATCGGCGTCGGTCATGTCACACCCGTGCCACTCACTCAACGGATGAGTCGCGCAGGGCGTGCGCTACCTTTTCCGCCCTACGCTCCCGGTAGAGTCACTCTGCGTGAGCACAGGCAGTGCTCTCCATACCTTCACTCCCTCGCAATCGTCAGAGCAGAAGAATAACCGTTCCCATGTAATTGCAATAACGAACAAAAGCCCTGAAGCTCTCTGTCCCTCCGGCCGATCGCGACGGCAACGACATCGCGCCCGCGACAAAATCGCCCGCCCCTTGGCCGTCGCCAAAGCATCCAGATTGCCCCAGCGTCGCATCACAGATCCAGCCGTTCTTCCCCACTCGGACTCCCACCTTTAAGCGGTGCGCACAATGCGAGCCGCGAGGTCGGACGGCAGGACAATGCGCCGCGTGCAACGCGGGAAGTGCCGCACAACGCTTGCCTTGTCTTTGTGCTCTCGCGTTCCAGGGTCCTCATAGATCGCAAGACGCGCCAGAAGAGCCAGAAGTCGAACCGCAGCACTGAACGGCATTTGCAAAATAAACGAGGCTCGCGCATTTGATCGGTGTGCGCGCGGCATGTTCAACTTTGAGCTCGCGTGCCCTGGCGGGTGCATTATTTTTTTTTCGCCGAGACGCAAAGTTCCGCACCTGCCGTCAAAGGTTGTCGACGCGATCGTGTATTGCCGCGCGCCCTCGCACAAATTCGGGGCACGGCATGTTCGATATTCCGACCTTCGAATCTGGAAGAAAAAAGGGAAGGGGCAGTAAACGGACGATTCCGCATGCGGCGTTACTCTGCGCATGTGCGATGTACTCGGACTGCTCGGGTTGGGCGATGAAAGGCGCCTCTGAAGGGCAGCCTGCCCAGTTCGGCAGCGCAGAACATGCGGCTCACACGCGACAGAACGTCGTCGCGCCGCATCGTGATTCAGATTCGTGCAACAGTTTGCGCCGAAACGAGATCCTACACAAGGACCTAACAAGGGCCTCTAACATTCGGGGTACAAGGCGTGTACGTTCTCGGAGACGGTGATGTGCGTTGTCCAAGCAGTGCTGTTTGTCGCGACGAGTGGGAGATGAACAACAGTGTTGTATGAACAACGAACAGCGGATCGGGAGATGGGTCCATTGAGCGACAAGCCTGTTGGGCCGAAAAAGGTAAAAGGCGAGTCTATCCAGCGTTGACGCGTTGACGTGCGGCGCCGCATCATAGCACGCTGCTCGCACCGACGTCGTTTGAGGATCGCTACCGCACACGACAGCTGCGTGAACAATGGTACGAGGGTATTTTCCTGCATGGAAGGTCTCCATCCCATGCACTGACGCGATCCGCCCTCCGCTCGGACTGCTCGTTCGTTCGGTCTGATCATGATTCAACGACACGCACGCCTGCGTGCGTGTATGTGTCATTAGAACGCGCCCGATGCACGCGCAGACTAGCAGACCCGACTAGTATTGCTCCAGAGAACACAGAACACAGAACCTATCTCCCAAAACCCGCTATCGAGCCTAATCTCCCCTTCTTCCGAGGTCAGGCGTGACACCAGCCCACGCACGTCAGAAGCGCACCCCTTTCCAGCACCTGTGCGAGCAGCACGCATCACGATGCCAATCCAGCTAATCGCTATCTCCATCTTCCTCCACCTTCGATTGCGTGCATCAACGCGAGAAGCAGCGCGCCGGGCTCTTGCACGTTCCCACCGTCCGCCCGGGAAACGGGCCTACGCACCGTAAACGCGGACAGACAGACTGGGCGAGAAAGCTTAGCTTGAATGCGTGACATGCGGCTCGTAGATGCGAGACGAGCGTGCATGAGAACGCGAGGACGAGATATCAGCTCAGTGCCCGACCCCGAGCCGGCGGGCGTCGGTGGTCACAGCACAGCGCTCGGTGGGACGTGCGCGCTCTCCCGCGCGCGCATGCGTGATGGGCGTGGCTCCCGCGTGCGCAGACACAAGCCTCGGGAGAGCGTGACAGACCGAGGTTGCGCTTTGATGACCGGTCTGCAGACTCCCGCGCGGGCGTCGAGCGCCAGATACACCAGCTACAAGTGTCGTATCCCGTGCCGTTACATAGCTGCACACGTCCGGGTACGCAGGCTGTGCGTACGTGTTTTGTGCGGGAACGCGAGATAGAGATGGAGATAGAGCCTGGATGGATTGTCAGCGCGGTTCGTTTCGGAATCGTAGGTTCAAGTGTGAGGTCCGCCGATGAATACGGAGAGCAGGGCCGGGCATCCGAGACGAGACGAGAATAGCTGGGCGTTGGATGAGAGGGAGCGCCTGGTGGGTCAGCGGTATAGATAGGATGAGATGGTTAACATTGTAGTGGGAGGCAAGCGGGTTTTGTCGCGGCGACGATGTCGGAGCGCGATGGTGGGGAGTGTGGTTGGCGAGATGTGGCTCCGGGCCGGGGTCGGCGGACCGACTCGGCCACTGCCGCTTCCTACATTCGAGTATCGAGTGAAGCCGCTGTAGTGAAAGGTGAAACGCATGTGCACCAGTTTTTCGGGAAGCCCGAATTTTCTTTAAGTTACAAAAGTACATTCAAAGAGCACATTTAAATAGCTGGACGGGCGAGGGGCATGTCTACTGTACAGTATGTGATACTGGTGAGAATTCAAGGGTATAATAGCACATGATGATTTACTTTAGACAATAGCGACTCATATGCCCCATGGCTGAGTTGGTTACAGCGTCCGACTGTTAAGCAAGGCAATCGGAAGGTCGTGAGTTCGAGCCTCACTGGGGCAGTAGAACGTGTCTATAGATCCTTTTTGTCCTCATAGACGAACCTGACCAGTGACAACTAGCGACATAGCTCTCTACGTTAAACACAAATCAAAGAGCCGCCTAATGAAACCATTGTCTGCGTGATGCTATCTGATCTGTACCAAGAGGTACCGAGAAAAGCAAGAGTTGTCAAACATCTGAAATCATATCGAGGTTAGAGCCATTATCTTGATTGATTCTCCCTACGCTACGCCATCGCCCATATCCAGTACAAACGTGCTCCTCCCCCCTCTCGGTAGGACCTGTACAACTTCCGCCCCATGCGCCTGATACGTCTCGCAACTCGGCTTCCCCTGCGCATCTCCTTCAAGCGGCGCGACGCGCACGCGCGGAAGCGGTAACGCACCATGCCGCAGTGGCACTAGCGTCAGCGTCGCCTCGAACGCCGCGCCATCTTGCGCGACGAAGTCTCCCCGTACGCGCCCGGACACGAGCCAGTCGCGCGGGTGCTCTGCGACGTCGAAGCGTAGGCGATGTGTTGCTGGAGATGATGGGGATATTGGCGAGGATGATGTGTTCGACCAGCAGAGTGTGGTGTGTACCCGCAATAGTGCGCGGACGGGTTGGCCAGCGTATAGCGGTAGTGGCACCTCGCCTTTGGATGAGATGTCCGAGCTGATTTGAAGATCGAGGCGTGCGGCGGCAAGGATCTGTGAATGTGTGGCGGTCAATACCAAGGACCTACTGTGAAGAGGCTCGGGCACGCACGTTCATCTGAGGTACATCAACGGGCATCCTCAGCTCGCGCCACAGCCCACGATCCAGTGATGGCGTCCTGCTCTGTCGCAACGCCTACGGGTATCGCTTGGTCAATGTCAAAGCCATTGATTATAAGCGTAGTACGCACCTCAAGCACCGCGCCTATACCTTCCTCCTCTTCGTCGGCTTTTGTGACGCCCGGGACGTGTAGTTCGCCTGTCACAGTGTATGTGGCGACCCATGCCGGATCGCTCTCGAGCTTCTCAACCAATCTTGAGTGCACGTTGGCCCGATGTGGCGCATCGACGTGTTCCTCGATCGTATCCTCAAGCAAGGTTTCGACCTCTGTAGTGAGGACAACTTGTGAGTGCTTCCGCGCATGAATCCGCATTGATAAGACGGTAAAATGAGGCGACAAGGACGATGGCGGCGTAGAGGAGAGGTACGGAGGAGTGACGTACCATCGCGCAACATCCTATATCGTATACATAGCCTAAGCTCGCCCTCATCATGTGCTGCCCAAAAAAGCCAATTAGCTCGGCGGTCAACGGTTAACGTGCGATAATCAAGGCGGGCGTAAACCGTGTGAGCCCGCCCTGCGTAAAGCCAAAGACAGAAACGCACCTGGTGCATCTGCCCTGTCCAGTTGGAAGAGAGCGTTTGCTGGGCGCGCAGGGGTGATCGTCTGGCCAGGGATATAAGGTGGCGAGTTTGGTCAGAATGGAGCTGAGGAAGGTACGGAGTGAGGAGTACGCACTACTATGCCCCTTGACCGAGGGCGTGCACCGGGTACTGCGCGACCGTCTGCGCGTTGTAGGTCGGCGGAGACAAGCCTGATGAACTGCGAGGTTGTCGTCGAGAGTGTGAACTTCGTGAACAGTCTGATGGGACATCGAGCGAGGGATGAGCGAGAGGAATCATCGAACGAGGATGAGTGGCCAGGCGCACCGTGTTCCACGGAAGAAATCCTCGACGTTCACGCGGAGGGGCAGATTAGTGGGGATGCGCGTGCCAAGTGCGAGCGAGCGAGCTACGTCAGGGTGCGCAGCAGTGCTATATGAGACTGCGACATTGATATGCTGCCGAGCTCGTTCACTTTAGAACTCCAAACCAAAGATTGAATGAACATACGATGACTGGATGCTTCGCAGCTTCTGCGTGTGGTACGAGGATGTTAAGTACGGCCTCTTTGGGGACGTCGGCGAGTATGAGGCTGTCATCTGTCGTTTCGAGCGGAAGCGCCTTCGCTGTTTATCGTGGTATGAGTACGTTATACGCTACGAACTCTGTGCGCGCGTATGCGTACCTTCATCTTCGAACCTTGCGTTGCGGCAATGCAGCGCGACTCCGGTTGGGCTATTCAGAGTGATCGTGACCTTGGCGATGTCGTTGCGGCCAGACGTGAGCGTCAATAGCATGTCTGGCGGCTCGCCGATCGTAACTATGGAGTGAAGACATGAGTGGCGTGAATTGAGGGCAAATGTGTGAGGACATACTTATCCGCGGCCGCCGTACGCGAACGTCGAGTGCATGAGGATCGCGCTCTAGGTGTACAAGAACGGGCAGAGACCGCTGAACGCGACTTGAGGTCTTCGTCTTAGGGTCCGGTCGGTGATCATACACAAGATGCAGGCGCTCGAGCCGTATGTCCGTTGTGTCGAGGGTATATGCACCCCAGGATGATGTCTGATGTAACGCAACTTAGTCACGATAAGCGAAAGAGCCCGGCTGAACAAACCGCGCAAAAGAGAGACAATGCGTTGTGCCCAGGTGTCAGCTCATCAACAGCGGTACGGAATGCCAAATGCTGTGCATCGGGGCCGTTGAGTGATATAGTGATATCCGTGGTGGGCAGCGAGCAGGGCAAGTGATTCTCGACGACAACATCGAGGTAACACCCATCCTCGTCGTCTGCTAATCTTGACTTCAGGCTCTTCACCTGCACAACCAAGGCAGGGTGATCCGGCTGAGTGAGATCTGCAAGATGGACCAATGTCAGCCATACCCCGCATGCACCTGACAGAGGATATGCATACCGGATTCCAGCGCACCAACAGCCTCTCTAAAGCTATCAATGATCTTGCTGACATATGTGCGTGCATCCTCCTCCGTCATGAGAAGATCCTTCCCGAGGCCGCCGACGAACGCCTTGAGGAACGCCAAGGCAAGCCCTAACCATTGCGCATCCTTGGATACGGGAAGTTCGGTATGCAGCGAGAGCGCCTGTGCGAGCATGTACGCTTCCAGCGAGCGCCATCGGTAAGGCGCATAATGTGCGGGCAGTGACGAGTACGTCTGGAACGCAGGATCACGGAGTTCTCGATGTCTGCGCCATGTGTCAGCATCAATTGAGGATAGAACTTATAGGGTATGAGGACGTACACGTCGAGGGCAGCCAGACTCCCATGCAACTTCAACGCGAACTTCCTCCTTCCAGATCGCGCGTACAGGTCAATGGCCTTGTTCGTAAGCGCATTGTACAGCTCGTAGAAAGCCTCCTTGTCATGAAAACAGGCCAATAACGCCGGCTGAGAGATCGTCCTGCTCGCCCGCTTATCTCCGACATTAGGCTTCGGACGCTGGGGCGAGATGCTCATGGTGAATGGCGCGCGGGAGGGGAGGTGGCCTGCTGACACGCCCAGAATATCGAGTTGATGCCGCGCGAGCTCAATGAGTTCAGCTTTGGCTGAATTGAAGCTGTTCAGCGGAGCGCCGTCCAAACTCGCGTCAAGGCCAAGCTCCGAGCACCATAGATCGACCTGATCGACGACGCTCAATGCAGACGCGTACGTCCAGGCCTCGATGAAGTGCGCCGGCAAGATATTCTCCGCATCCCATAGCGTTCGTCCAAATTGGACGAGGAAACGGTTCGCGCGGGTGCAGATATCGGATAGCTTGCCAAGGCGAGCGAGAAGAGCGGCTTGTCGCGCGAGCATGTAGATGCGTAGGTCGAAGACGGAGACGGTGTTGGCGAGGATGAGGTCTGTATAGGACTTGCGTTCGAGGGAGAGGAGCGGGGATGCGTCGTCTCGGGGACCGGGGACAATGAGCATGCCGAACCAGGAGAGGTTCTTCTCGCGGAGGACGACTTGGAATGTGTTCTCGAGTTGTTGGTAGGCACGGAGGGCGTCGTCGACGAGTCCCATGCTCTCGTATGACAATGCAAGGCTTTCCTATAGTTCGCGTTGTGTGAGTGATGAACATATGGGCAGGTCAAGCAACCAAGCACCTTGAGTAGGAAGAAGCTACAGAAGTTCCAACCCGGCATCAAACGCTGGCTCTCCGAGCGCCGCACCTCATCTTCTCGTCCGGAGATGGCGACGTCAAACGAGCCCAGAACACCATCCTTGACCTTGGCGAGCAGTTCTGCCCATGCCGTCAAGTTCGTCGAAGCGATGGGCCAGGCAAGCGGTACAACTCTGTCAAGCGTCGTGAGCGATAGTGTACAGCATGTACATGTAGCGTAGAAGCGCACCTGTCTCGCTTGTCTGTGTTGAAGTCGGCCCGAAGCTTGTCTATAACAGTTCCACGATTGAAGAAGCCTTGCTGAGCGCCCTTCGTGTCGGCGCGCACGACGTGAACGATGAGCCAGTCTTGGTTCTTGCGGCTGATGGCTTGAGCGTGCCATTCCTTGAGCTGCTTGCGGACCGTGCCTTTATATGTCTCGGCATCCTGTAGATCCCTCTTCACTTAACATGCAGACATCTTCCATATAGGGACTATATGCACCTCGCAGGATACGAAATATATGTTTAAGAGTGGTCGAGCAAGTAGGTTCGCCGGAACCAACGACTGGGCTGGCTCGCGTATCGAGTCGAACGGCACAAGGTTCAATACGAGTTCATTGATCGTGCGCACTCCGCCATGGGTAGACTTCCAGTGTACGCCTCGCAGCGGAAGCTGAGACTGCAGGCCTGCCCGCAGTGCCTCCCACTGGGTCGCCAGAAACGGCGCCGGGGCGCTATATGTCACCAGCACAGCACTGGCGCTCGGAGAGCCGGTCATAGCGAAGATGGTATATCTAATCTACAGGGTTTCGTGCGGGGGTATACAGTGTTCCGATTTAGGACATCAATGAAGTGCCAGAAGTCGATGACGGAGGTCGTGGTAAGAAGCAGATCCGGAATAAGCGCGCGGGCCACAGCTGCTGCCCAACTTTTTTCTCGACCGCCATCTCCTCACGATGCCTTCGCCTGAAGAAGCCTCCACATCTACTGCACCGCCCCCGTCTTTCAAGGAGCTGGGCATCATTGACCCCTTACTTGAAGCTATCGCCACGCTGAAATATAAGGCGCCTACGGAGATTCAGGCGCAGGCTCTTCCTCACGCTCTCGAAGGCCGCGACATCATCGGTGTTGCATCTACTGGTAGCGGAAAGACTGCCGCATTCGCACTGCCAATACTCCAAAAACTATGGGAGGCACCTCAACGGCAACTCTTTGCCTGTGTCTTGGCACCCACACGCGAGCTCGCCTACCAAATATCCCAACAATTCGAGGCACTTGGCTCTAGTTTGGGCGTTCGCGCTGTGACACTCGTGGGCGGTATCAGCGAAACAGAGCAAGCCATTGCGCTCGCGAAAAAGCCGCACGTAGTCGTTGCTACCCCCGGACGATTGCATTGGCATCTAGAGAATACGAAGGGATTTAGTCTGAAGGCGCTGAAGTTTCTAGTGTTGGACGAGGCGGATAGGTTGCTGGATCTGGATTTTGGGCCGGTGATCGACAAGATCTTGAAGGCCATTCCGAGGGAGAGGACGACATATCTGTATTCGGCGACCATGACTACAAAAGTCGCGAAACTCCAGCGCGCAAGTTTGTCGAACCCAGTACGCGTCGAAGTAAACTCAAAGTATGTGTCTCTAACAAACACTCCATGGTTTTACACTGACGAGGCACAGATATTCCACTGTCTCGACATTGCTACAGTACTATCTGTTCATCCCACTTGTCCAAAAGGACGTTCATCTCGTCCACCTCTGCAATAACCTCGCCCAGAACTCAATAATGGTCTTCACCCGAACAGTCCATGACGCCCAACGCCTTTCCCTCATCCTCCGCACTCTCGGCTTCCCGGCAGTCCCCTTGCACGGCCAACTCTCCCAATCTCAGCGTCTCGGTGCACTCGCCAAGTTCAAAGCAGGAGGACGAAGTGTGCTGATCGCCACGGACGTCGCGTCGCGTGGACTGGACATCCCGTCCGTGGATGTTGTCGTGAACTTCGACATCCCGACACACTCGAAGGACTACATCCATCGAGTGGGACGGACGGCCAGGGCCGGCAGGGCCGGAAAGGCCATCACGCTCGTCACGCAGTATGACGTCGAGCTTATACAGCGTATCGAGGCGGTCATCGGGAAGAAGATGGACTTGTGGCCGGCGGATAAGGAGGAGGTTGCGTTGTTGCGCGAGCGAGTCGACGAGGCGTCACGGTTAGCTGCCGCAGAGCTTCGCGAGCAGCAGGCGCAAGGAGGCCGCGGCAAGAAGCGGAGGACGGGTGGCGGTGGCGGTGAGGATGACAAGGATCGCGATGATGATGAGGTTGAGGCGGGTATGCCCAGCGCGAAGAAGCGGAGAGGTGGGAAGAGGTAGAGTTCAAGACGAGAACATCACGTCCGAGCGCAGGATGTATTTCGTGCCTGCCTTCACTTCGGAGCCCTCGTGCAACATGCACTCATGTCCGTGTCTGCCGTGCAGTATCAGTGTTCTGTTCGCGTGCAATCATTGAATGTACTGTACTTACCGGTGTAAGAGTGCCGTTCCCCTCGTTAGCGGAGCTACTATAGGTGTCTTCTTCTTATCATTGTTGTAGAAGATCGTCTGTGAACGTGCATAAGCATTCCGCATTACTATACGCAACGATACATCGTACCTCTCCACCCTGCACACCGTCCTCCAACCCGCTCAAATATATCAGCAGCGTCCACTCGCTCCTCTCACCACTGATCGCGTCCCGGGTGGAATCGTCGTAGTGCTGACCGAAGTGTTGTCCGGGAACGTACTTGTACATCCTGATATTGGAATTGAGCGAGTGGGCCGCGCGGGCGGTGGCGCCGGGTTTGACTTCGGATGCGGGGTATGGGAAGTCGGGCATGTGTGGCGCGATGAGAGTGAAGAGGGTGGATGCGAAGGAGGGAGATTGGTAGGAGATCCGGTCTACAACAGGGTAAGATTCAGCTCATTCAGCTCATTGGTCCTGGGAGAACATACATCACGTACAGTTGTATCGCTCAGCTTCGCCTCGCTTCTTTGGAGGCGTGAGCTCGAGAGGCTGTTGTTCGATCAAGTTTACGAAGGCCTTGCATTCGGCGGGAGAGAACAAGTTCTGACGCGTGTACATGTCAACGCCGTGTATCTTTGACCCTGGTCAAGAGTACGCGCACGTCTATGAGCAAGATCTGATCCTCGAGTAGCGCTCTGCATGCCAAACCCTTCTTAGGAGAAAGCCTCGGCCAGTTGGGCCCAGCAGGCGCTGTAGCCTTGCTTGTGTTGCGGGTCGCAGGCGCAGTATCTGTCTTGGTCTTAGCACCTTTCTTGGCCATCGCGTCGATAGGTTCTGTTCAGTATTATGGTGATTGGCCGCAAGCGCACAGTGAAGGTGGAAGACAAGTTGATTGGCGCGCCACACGCGCGCCGCGCACCTCTTCCCTCAACCACCATGATCTTGCATAATTCGAATTCAGCTCTTGAGCGTTTGAGCCTCGCGACCTCACCCATATAGACACTCCTGACTACCCCGTCGCTCGGATGAACATGCCCTCGGGGTTTCATCTACTCGAAGACACCGCAGTACTACCCAGCTCAACGTTCCTCCGCGCCTGACCGGAGTGGCAATCCTTCCTATCACCTTTTACCCCGTTTACCCGCCGCTCTCCGGGGAGTATATTCTGCTTGCAAACGAAACGCACAATGTACAGTCGGCGATGTGATATTACCTCTCAACAAACGAGCAGCCCGGAGGAACATCTCCGACCTCCCCCGGCATCAGCATCGCGGATATGAGAAGCGACTGGAAGACTATATAAGTCAGGCCTTGGGACTCCCATGGGATCAAGAGATACACTCGCCCACAGCTCTATACGCCGCTCTTCCGTCGCCTCTTGATTGCCTAGTAAAACCCCCGCTTATCGATCCGCCATGTCTTTCGATGCAGATGTCCTCATCGTAAGTTCCTGGACCACAGCCGACCTCAATCTATGTGGCTGATCCATGATGCTCTAGGTCGGTGCTGGCCCCGTCGGCCTCGCTACTGCGCTTTCTCTCTCCCTGAACGGCGTCAAAGTGCGGGTGATAGAGAAGTTGCCCAAACTTGCAGTGGGACAGCGCGGCGCTGCTATCGCGGTGCGTTCGTCTGGCTCCATATACGCCCACACGTGCTTATGCCCATTGAATTTTATCTTAGCCGCGTACGATGGAAGCGTACCGCATGCTTGGCATCGTCGACGAAGTGAAAGCCGTCGGTGGACTTCTGATGCCTGTGCAAGCGCACGATCCCGAGGGGCGACCGACTGTTGTACATCCTCTGATGGACAACGGAAAGAAGACACCCGGAGCCCCTGAGGTATATTTCATTCCGCCTCACATCGAAGGCATGCGGCTTGACCGACCAATTTCAGCCAGAGTTCTGGTGTCTGGGTCAGGATAGGGCATGCTTCATTCTCAGCGAGCGTCTCAAACAACACTTTGGCGTTAGGATTGAGTTCTCCACTGAGTTGGTCGACCTTGAGCAAGATAGCACCGGTGTCGTGGCTACTGCAGACGTACAAGGCGTGAAAGAGACGATTCGGGCGAAGTACCTCGTTGGATCCGATGGTGGTAAAGGTATCACGAAAGCTACTCTGGGTCGTACGAAGTACTCATACATCTTGCGATCGTTTTAGGTATCACTCGCAAGCTATCTGGCGCTAAGATACTCAGCCAGTCGTCTCCGGAAGCGAGGATGCTCATCGGAGACGCAGAGATGAGTGGGCTCGATGGATCGGTCAGCTCACTTTATGTTTGTAACAACAGATTTACTCATTAGGCCATGCAGTACTTCAATCGGTTCGCTGATGAGAAAGGCAACATGTAAGTATCCGCTCTCTTATCAGAACAAGCCAGCGATTCATCGCAGACCCTAGGTTCTTTGCTCGCCCGGTGACTGAGAACCCCAAGCTGTGGACCATCGCCGCGTTCAGCGCAAGTCTAGACTTTGAAAGGGCTATAAACGATGTGGAGTACCTTGTCGACTGGATAAGAACGACTACGAAGCACGGTGATATTACCATCGGAGAGGTGCTGATGCTGTCCGAGTGGAGGCTCAATGTACGCATGTGTGAGAGCTTCCAGTATGGGAGGGTATTTCTAGTGGGAGGTGCGTCGTACAGCCTGCAGCTGTCCGCTTGTACTGATAGATCGCTGCAGATGCCGCTCATGTTCACAGCCCGGTCAGTTTGACGCTCACTCGCGTTTCACTTACAAGGGCTCATCACGACATCTCGTCAGACCGGCGGACAAGGCATGAACAGCGGCATATTGGACGCTATGAACCTAGGCTGGAAGCTCGCTCTCGTATGCAAAGGCCTCGCATCCCCCGATCTCCTTAAGACCTACGACGAAGAACGTGTGCCCGTGATCAGCGAGATGCTCAAGATCACCACGAAGCTCGCATCCGCGACATTCGTAGCGAAGCCAGAGAACGAAGTGTTCAATCGTCCAGCAAGTTTCGGTCAACTTGGCGTGCACTATCGCTGGAGCTCTATCGTATACGATGGTTTACGCGAGGGCGACTTGCAGGTCGAGAGCACAAATGTCACTCCAGCGAACACGTACGGGGAGGGTGATCAGGGACGCTTGCAGGCTGGTGATCGTGCACCCGATGCGCCCGGCCTTCTGTCACGAGACGGTGAAACAAGACTGTTTGACGTGTACAACGCGGCGCGGCATACTATTCTTGTTTTCGATCCATCTGCCGCAACGGCCGCCCGCACTGCTGTCGAGAAGTACCCGAAGGGCCATGTCGAAGTCTTCCAGATACTGCCTGCTGGTGCTGAGGTGCAGGCTGGTGCCTTTGTAGATGCTCAAGGACATGCAAGTCGCGAGTACGGGGTCAAGGCGGGTGCTGCAATCGCTGTCATTCGTCCGGATGGCGTAGTTGGCGCATTGCTCAAGGCCGAGGACAGTGTTGAGGCGTATCTCTCTCGGATTCTTCATGGCTGATGACAATCCGAAACCTACCACACGCTCTTAACTGCTTGTACTGATGCTGGTCGCTTTGTACATTCAATATTCATTGTCCCCTGGGCTTCTTCTTCTATTCATAAAAAACAGCTCTATGTGAGCCAGCCGGAAGCAAATGTGATAACGTCACTTTGCCGGAGTGGTTAACGGGATCGCCTGCTATTTATAGCATCTTAGCGGTTGTGCTTTGCACGCGAGTGTTCGAATCGCTCAGGTGACGACTTTTTGTTTCACTGTGCGAAGGTCGTTATACGTATGCAGCACCCTACCTTCTTACCTCTGCTGCGAAATACCACAGCCACTGTCACTTGCCTCTTCCTGGCAGCCGCCCGCTAGCATGGGTTCGGGATGGTCCACATGACCGTTCTCAGGACGAACAAGTTACTACGTATTCATTCCAAAGCAGCCCTAAATAAGATGGATGTATATTGTATAAAAGCTCGGAGGGTGTTTGTGTCGCACGTGTATCAAGCAGAAGCTCATGCAGCTTTGGTGCGCTTACATTCCTTCTTGTGACGCTTCCAATCGCTTCAATGATGTACAGTCAGATCATTTCGAGCATGCAGAAGTCGACGCGACTCACCCTTTTTGACATTTCTCGCTGCAATATGATACTTTGCCACAGCCAGTACATGCTCTGAGAGGTTCTGATGCAAGCTGGAAAGAGAAGACGCAGCCATCCCATGAGCAATGTTGTCTCACACCAGTATCCTGTCCCTTCTTTTCGGTGCTGCCTTGTAACCCTAACAAAGTCCCATGTTCTGTCCAGATGTCAATGATGGAGCCGTAGTCAGACACTGCTGGAACGCCCGCGCGACGGTTCTCCACGGCGCGTAAAGCAGATAGGCTTGGATGCCAGACTTCACTCGCCCATGATATCATCGATTGAACTAGTTGGATGGGTGATGCGTAGGCTTGATTCGTGCGTTCAGCTCGTGGAACGCGAGGAAGGTTGAAGATCAAGTCGTTGTGGTCACGTATGCATTGCCATAAGCGTTGAGAAGGATCTGGTGGGCCGTACACGTAAGCGCAATGTTGACGCAATCTATTGTACTCAACTCACCCTCACTCTGGTGATATACCATATCACCATTCATCTCTGCCGCCAGTCTCACGCCGCGAGCCAAGTGGTCCGTTACGTCTTGTCCACGAACACCTTCGGTGTAATCGGAACATTCCTTCGTACCCGGCGTTAGCCTTCCTTTGGACAGCAGACTATCACGGGCACGGGTATCAGAGGACGTCTCTGTGCGATGAAGAAGGAGGTGTACCCGAGAATGTCGAGAGCTATAGCCCAGTTCCTCAAGCGCGCTTCTGCATCAGGGTGAATTTTATCGTGCAGGCTGACGGCCCGACACACGCCCTCGAACAAGTGATGTTTGAGGATGAGGAGTTGGATAGACGGAGAGCAAGCGAGGCCCCAAAGGACGAGCAGGCATACATGAAGGGCGTCGATGTGCAAAGGTTGCGGTTGATTGAACGTCTTCTTGAATCTCAGTATGAGTTTCTCGATTCCGACGTGCGACAGTATATGTTGATGCGCCAGTTCATCTCCCTCGGCGACGGCGTCCTCGTACTTTTTGAACATGCGCGACACCATCACCGGCATACTGAAGCAACGCAGGCTGAACATGACTGTTGCTGGGCTGTCGTCCTGATCTGAGAGTGTGTAGAGCAGCAAGCCGGTATAGTGCATATACGAGCCCAATATCGGGGGTTCTATCCTCTTGACACTGATCCGGTAGGTTGTTAGAAGGCTCGTTAAGAGAAGTGTTACAGAGACCGTACGTTAGATAGCAAACCGAGAAGCGATAGTGAAGTTCGATGAGTGGGATGATGAGCTTCGCTTTGTAGGCCGGCGAAGTAAGTCTTTTGAGTTCATCTTGCCTATTCCATACACTGATCCAGAGTGTATTGGTTCGCGCCAATAGCGGATTTGCCACGCGTGGGCTGTCTTCGACTTCTTCGCAATATGCAGCAAAGGCTAAGAGAACGGCCGAGATAAGGTCCTATCAAAGTAGGACCTTAGGACGCGATATGGCAGTTGGCAAGATAAGAACGTACCAATGGTCGGCTGAAGAAGTTGGGACTGGAGACGGCATCGGCATAGATATCTAGTAAACCGGATGACAGCACAGAAGCCCATGTTTGTCTCCCCAATAGGTCCTCGACAGGCACTTGATTGGCGCGGACCAGGTCACGGAATTGGACCGCAAGCTCAAGAGCAGTGTAGGTTCCTCCACCAGATGCCGTTCCGAGAAGCAGGTTGCGAAAGAGAGCGACAGTAGCAGCAGGCCGGGCTCGAATATCCCTGATGAATTGCGATGACATGGCGCGCTGCAGACTGAAGGACGTCGTGGTTGAACGTAACAATGCACGGGGCGGGCCGCTTTAAGACTTGCATCGGCAATTGCCGCGCACAAGCCGGCGCTCGATCTGGTCCTCTGAAGCAATTTGCTTGACAGATCCCCGTATTGTATGTCCAAAAAAAGAGCACGGGTGCTATTAGGTACAGACGACACAAAGACAGCGCGGTGTCTACCCATGACCTCTAGACATGGCTGACGCAACTCTTCTCCGCCTCTTTACCCGATCTGCCAACGATACATCGCTTTCAAGCAACGCAATCGCTGCATTTGTGTTTGTCTCCTCGACGAGCTCCGTGCTTACTTCACTTCGTACGCGCTTTCTCTTCTGCACGGTAGAAGTCGATACAGGCAGAGGTGGACTCGGCAGAGCATCCTCTTCGCCTCCCAGGGATACTGTGCTGGCCGTACGCGCGATCCTGACGGGTGTCGGGGAGGGTGTCGTTAGGCCATACGATGCGAAAGACTTCAGATCCGCCGTGAACAACACCGAATGCGCCCATCCGGCATACTCTCCCCACACGCCAACAAGTTTTGCAGCAATTTCATCGTACATTTTGGGCGACAAAGCCTGTTTAGCTGCCAACGACCCCTTCGCACCGTAATGCTTGATGGCTATTTGATGTACATGCGTGTCGACGGGGATAACCTCGCGCTTGTCGAGACTCATGAGCAGTACACAGTCTGCGACTTTGCGGCCGACGCCCATGAATTGTAGGAGTTCAGTGCGGGCATCGTCCGTAGGGAGAGTTCGGAGGGTCTCCAGCCAGACTTCTGCAGGCTCGCGGGTACCGGTGCTGCTGGATGGCGTGCAAGAGTGGGCATCGTCGAGCATGCGAGCCGTCTTCTGAATGTAGTCGGCCCGGTATCCGAAACCGAGGGAGCGCATAGCCGAAGTCGCGTCCGGTTGCGCTAGACGAGACGGCGATGGGAATGGGTAAAACGTCTCCATTTCTGGCGATACCTCTGGGGTTGGACCGGGAGTGGGTGGTGCTTGTACGCCGACAGGTGTGGGAAGAGGCAAACTGAGAAGAGGTTTAGAGAAATGCGTGCACAGCCCCTTGACCATCTTGGTTATGCGGCCGATGTTATTATTGGACGAGCAAATGAAACTGGGGGCTGGTCAGTGCGTGGGGAGATGGAATCCGTGTATGGCACATACGAGACAAGATTCTCCCAAGGGTCTTGTCGTAGCATACGAATGCCTTCAAAACGCTCCCGCAAGCGCGCAAAGACTGGGTCTCGCGCGGACCAGTCCGAGTATAAGTCCAAAAGGTCGACGTCCAACTGAAAGTAGTCTCTGAGCCACGCGAGGGTTTCCGCTTCTTTCTCCTTTGCGGCCGTGGCATCAGCTACAGAGGTAGGCAGTACATGTTTCCAGTAGAGTGTATCCGGTGTCTGCCGCAGGCATACAACACGGTCGCGTAGGCAGAGGCGGTACTCGTGGGAGGGCGCCTCAGGATCCGGTGTTGGTGAGAATACGAGAGGGTGAATAGACCACCGGAAAGACTGTCCGCATTTGAGTACCGCTGCAAGCGATAGTTGAGCTAAAGGAAGGGGTAGCGCGTGAAAGCCTGGCGCCATGTCAACGCCCATGGTGGTGGTGCAACTCAAGAAGCGCGTCCATGTTTCAGTCTTCAATTGACGCGTCGAACCTCGTGAGCGCGTCTGTAGCTGGGTTTGTGACAACATCAGGCTTACACGACATTCGTATTTGCACATTAAGATGGAAAGAATGGTAGAACATTGTACGAGAAGTAGTGTAGAGAGTACAATGTCCGGTGCGAGAAGCATCAAATAAGTTATACGAGTAGCCCCCTCGCTCTAAGCGTATCTTACACTCGTCTCAACGTCGTAAAGGTATGTCTACACACGTCGCGGAGGCACGCTGAGCGGAGTAGGGAAATCGTACTACTCGCTTAGAAGTGCTCCTTTGCGAACGTGAAGTTGACATTATCGTTGTTGTTCTCCTTGCACACCTCCTTGAGCACGCGCGCGATGGGCGTCGGCCCGCAGAAGTACGTGCCGACGGTCGTCTTCACGCCGGAGCCAGCACCAGGGAGGTACTGGCCGGCCTCAATGCTCATGCGGAGGCGGCTGTAGATGTTCTTGAAGTCGGGGCGACCAAAGAGCGTGCGGGTGCGGAGGAGCGTAAGCGGGTCGTAAGCCGCACCAGCGTCGTTGACAGCGATGTTCCACATCATGTCCTCGTCGATCTTCTGCGTCAAGTAGATGTTGATGCGCAAGAAGTTCGGGTCCGTCTGCGCCGCCTCGACCTCCTGCAGCAAGCTCTGGAACCAACCGAACGACGGAGCGTCACGGCAGATCCAGAAGAACTCGACACGGCGGAGGTTGCCCAGGTTCCCACTGCGCTGGCGGTACCAGATGTGCTTGAGAATCGAGGCGAAGGGAGTGACACCGATACCGGCACCGACGAGCACAGCGACCTCGGCGTTGAACACATCCTCCGCCGGAGCACCGTAGGGGCCGTCGATGCGGACCATGGGCATCGTGCGGTTGGTCGTGGCGGGGTCGAGCTCGACGAAGTCACCACGGGTGGGTGCAGCCGAGGCAGGGTCCGTCTCGTCCTTGATGTCGCCGTTCTTCTCGTCGTCCTTGACCTCGCCCTTCATCGCGGCCTTGGTAAGCGCTGCGACGACGGACGGGCCGGCGCCGACACGCTCGCCGAGGGCCTGCGTCCAGTCACCAACCTGACGAATGTGCACCGAAACGTAAGGGTCCTCGGGCGCAGACGTGATGGTAAACTGCGTGATGTGTTAGGGCACGGCATATCGAGGGAAAGCGATTGGGCTTACGGGGTGCCACTGGAGCTGCGAAACCTCGGGCACCTGGATGAAGAGCCACTGCCCAGCAACGTACTTGAAGCTGGGCTTGACAATGCGCAGTTCCATGGCACCTGAGAGAAGGATCAGCGGATATTCACTTGTTTCACTGAATTTGGCCTACCGCTGGGGTGGACGAGAAGCTTGGACAGACGCGTCGGGCGGCGGGCACGGTACTCGCGGAAGACACGCTCGCCGAAGTAGATGACACCGGGCCAGATGATGAAACGCCACGACTCGTATCCAAGGCAGTGCTCGGTCGAGTAGTACGGGAAGCTGGCGGTGTAGTCGGGGTTGACCGAGTCACGAACGAAGCATCCGGTAGCGTGCGTGTAAAGGCCGACGAAGAAGAAGAACGCAAGGTGGTGCGTGTACCAGAAGGCCTCGAAGCACTGGTGGCGGACCTTGTGGTAGGCGGTCGTGTACATGCAAAGCATGATGAAGAGCATGAAGTGACCGGTGATACCGCCGGGCTGTGTGTAGTGGATATCGAGGGCGAGCTCCTCACGGACCTGAGTGCGCTCGACATTGATGAAGTTGACGTAGTGGGCCGTGGTGTGGACGGTCGCCCAGAACGCCATGGAGTATGCGACCTGGCGATGGAACCAGATGTTCTCATCTGCCGGGAAGAGCGCTGTCACACGGGGACGAATGATGCGGATGATGTTGCGGAGCTGGAGGCGCCGGGTCAGTCTCAAAGTGACAGATCACCAGAACGGATTCCGTACCATGGGCAGGAGGATCAGACCACCATCGTAGGCCAGGCAAAGACCGGCACCACGAGACGTCCACACGGAATAAGTCAGTCCGTTCAAGGCAGCGAGGTGCTGGTTCGTCTCTTGCAGGTACCAACCCAGAGCGAACCACATGAGATGGGTGCCATAGAAGAGGAAGTTGAAGATCTGCGAATCGTCAGCGTATGCTCTCCATCAATACCCTGTAGCTACTCACAGCACGCCTCGGTTGGAGGAATTCGCGCCTGAACCAATCTTCCACAGACACCATTGTTTAGTCGCGTATAATCTAGTCGTTAAAGAGGCGTGGCAAAAAGGTCTGGCCCGCAGACGAGAGAAGAGTAAACGCGTAAAGAAAAGGGGGCTTGAAGAAGAAGAGAAAAGAGGCTGGCGAGAAGCGAAAGGTGAAAGACGGGTCCATCAACCCACGCCGAGGGTCTTTATATACTGCCTTGGCTGTGGTGATGAAGCACAGCCCGGTACCTCTGCGCCGAACAGTGTTACGCCGACATCCGCTTTGATCTCGTCTTCTGCTATTTTTGATTCGCCCGTAGCGCCTGCTTACAACACCCTGAAAACCTTCAGAATACGTGCAATCCCTACTGGACAAACGGATATAGGTTTGTGCATTATCTGGGGCTGTATGCACGAGATGATGGCGGCGGAGAAGTGGCAGATCATCGGCACGCGGAAGTCAACGGGCGCGTCGATGGCAAGATCGCAGCTGTGCACGTAACACAGTTGAGCGACATGGGAAGCCTGTTTGTGTAAGGGGCCGTAACAATACTCGGAGCAGCCATTCATAGACCGGCGCTTACAGAAAAGCTATGTCTCTCGCAGATGTGCAGGAGCGCCGCGCAAGACGCACACGTCAATCGGCATGGCCCTGACGGTAATGACCCCGAAAGGCGGTACGAAGTCTCGACTTCCGAGCTTCTTTCTGGCTTGACGTCGACGCCCATGGCGGACGACACCTTCCTTCCCCGCATCCAGTCTGTCTTCTACGCCGTATTCGATGTGCGCCAGGGCCCAAAGATCGTCTATCAAGTTCCCGAGGGCCTGATCGCAACGGCACCTGGCCCAACATCCGCATCAAGTTCGAACTCTGGCTCATACGCATCTTCGCCTGTCCCAACAGCGCCACATTCCGAAGTCAGCTCGCGCGCTTCGAGCATCTCTGTCGCCGTCGTCTCTCCTACAACACCTTCTATCCCTTCTCGACCGGACTCGCGCTTCAAGTTCTCTCCTCGGCGCGCTCCTTCGGCTTCACTGGGCAGGACGCTATTCAACTTTGACGACATCAGCAAGTATATTATACCTGCCAGTCCACTCTGCGGGAGACTTGTGATATGCAATGTGAAGCAGAGTAAGATCATTGGCTTCCCGTCTGAGCTGAGCGGCAACTACGAGCGCAACTACTTTCGATTCAACGTTTGCTTCGTATTCGATCGAGCCGCCGACTTGAGCTGCTATGAGCCCATCGTACGCAAAGTCTCACGCGTGCTGGCTACCTGTGAGGTCCGTACGATAGCTCTCCGAGTTGATCCATCATTGACATCGCAAATAGAACGAATCGAGCTTTCTCTCCAACCCGGAAACATCACCAAACGTCTACGCCGTCCTAGAGCAACTCTACGAAGACCTGAACAGCTACGCCGAGACCTCCATTCCAATCGACGACTTCAACAGCATCGAGCTCAAGCTCTTCCCTTTCTTCCCCAACCCGCCCCCCGTCACAGATTGGATGGTCCCGCTTGCACTAATCGACCTCAACCGCGTCGTCGAACCCAATTGGGATTTGACAATGGTCAAAGTGTGCAGCTTCATCGACGGCACAAACCACGTCAGCCGGATCGCGCATCTCGCGCATTGCGATGTCGACCTTACGCGGCAGGCGATCGCGCATTTACTGTACGTTCTTCGCATTGGTGTTGGTTTGGGAGTAGGATTACGGAGCGTCACATGTTGTAGATACTACCAAGTGATAATGACAATCGATATATTCCAATACTCGAACATGTACACCTTGCGAAAGAGCGTGCAATGGCTCGCCGATGAATCCCACGTCAAAGACGAGTGCGGTGCATATGTCGTCAGAGAGGGTAAGCTGTGACCTGCATACGGCGCAGCTACGACGCTGAGGACTTGCAGGTCGCGCAATTCCTGATTGGCCAAAGCTCTTGCATCTGTATTCGCGCTTGAGGGCAGGGAAGACTGTCTTCGAATGGATGCAGGATTACAATGTGCGAGGTCTGGGTATCGACGCGCGACGATTCACCAGCTTTGGGGTGATCAAGGCAAGCTCGCTCGATTCATACAATGCCTTGTTTACAAGCTCATCATCTTCAACAGGGCTTCCTACGACGTGTACATCGCTGGCCCGTACTCCTCGACGACGGCCCATCCACCACCCAACCCCAAACAGCAACCCCACCTACCACTGGCCGCAGACGCTCAATGAGCATACCCACGCCCAACATATCGGTAACGACATCGACACCCACCGCAAGCCCTCTCGTCACCCAAACACCAACCCGTCTTCCTCTCCGCCACGTCCGGCGCCCATCAGACGCCACCGTCCCACTCGCGTCCGTGAGCGCAACATCCGCGTCGGCATCGCCCGTGGAAACGCGTATGCCGCCGTTGCCGGCTACTCCGAGTGCAGCGGAGGTTTCGCTTGGAAGACAGCTCGGCCAGCGAAGAGTGACGCCGACTACGCCTCCGCGTAAAGGCCGCGAGTCGCAAGGCCGGCGTAATACGCTGACCAGCGGCGACCCGGTTCGCCCACGTCCATCACGCTCGCCGAGTAATCCTGCACCGGTACCTCAACCGCTCTTTCCGCCTGCACTCCCGGCATTGCTGGACGGCGAGCACCATACAGACGAGCTATGCACGCTGTTCAGCGTAGGATGGCCGACGCTCGAGAGGTGGCTCGCGTTGATTGGCGGGGGTAAGGGAGAGGGAGATCTCGGGAAGGTGTTGATAATATATAGGTGATGGAGAGGGGGCGGCGCAGAGGGATGGACAAGGTGAGATGATTAGGCGATGGAACGGTTGGTATTGATGTAGCCTGTCCCGTAGCAGACGTAGGTCAGGTCTGGGGAGGTACCGGACTTATCCGCCGGCGAAATCTTGAACGAGGTGCCGAATGCGTCGCGAATGTCGCGCAAGAGCTGTATACTATACGACGAGTGATCAGGATTCTGTGAACATGGGACGAGAATCTGGACACATACGTTCGTTCGGTGGGCTCGCTCATGCGAATGCGTCCAACGTCCTCGCTACCCAGCACCATCAGGATGAGAACAAGAGATTGATGCCGCCTGTCGACACATCCGCCGTTGCGGATCTCGCTGAGCAGTGAATGAGAGGCCTCGAGGGCAACATCCTCAGGCGCGACACCAGGTTTGGAGACGGCTTCTGAGCAGTGCAATGCGCCTGTAGTTGACTCTGCGAGCAGGCTGAGCGCATAGCCTGGCGATCTGAGAAGGGCGAAGTCAGCAGCAGGCCTCCTCTATGAGGCCATCGTGATGACGCACTTTCCACTATCCTCGCCCTTGTACACGTCCGAATACAGGTAGATGTCAGGAATGTATCGGTTCACCACGGAACGACAAGCTTCGATCATGCGGTTTGAGAATTGAGGACTGACGCGCACTGCGTGCCTGCAAGTAGAGTTGAGAACGCATACATGCGGGACGTTTGGGGAGACGTACGCAATGCCACGGATGCGTTTGATCTTGCCAGGGTCGACAAAGTTGATAGTCTTGACCTGCTTGACGATGGGGCAGAGGAACTGTACTTCTCCGCCTCCGAGAGGAGCTGCACCGCGCTTCTTGATCTAAAGAGAGTGTCAATCAGACTGTGGTTAAGCACGCGTTGAAAGTGAACGTACGCGAAGCTCGAGGCCATCAGATACACCAAAGAGTTGCAGATGAGGTAGGGTCACGGTGCGAATCAGGTCAGCCTATACAACGTCAGTGGCATTGCTCTTTCAAGGGTATTCTATGACAGACGAACCGACAGGTCTCTGTCATCCGTGGTGATACCGCGCAGAGTCAGACTCAAAGGCTTCTTGGCAAACGGTGCAAGCATAACCGCTGGCTCAAGAAAGTAGCCTATAGACCGGGATAGAGGGCAGTCATGCGTGATTGGTCCACCTGAGATGATGCCTGGCTTGACAAGGATTGCGGTACCTACACCAGTTCAGCGTATGTACGAATGCAGGTAATAGTAAGAGCAAACCAGTTAGCGAGATCTCTATGATAGTTCCATTCGTAACCTTCTCAACAAGCCTTAACAAGCTGATCTCATAGTCTAAGAATGAGGGCTTTAGTTCGAAGTCTCCGAGCGGCGAAGAAGTATGCACACCTCGTAAACCAGGGTTTTTGTCGTCGGGTCGTATTTTATCTATCTTGAGTGCCTTCCCACTAAGTATAGATAGTACCAATCGATGCCTTAGGTACTGGTGGCCGCTGTAGTGCAGCAACGAGGAGGGAACGGCTGTCATGGCTGAAAGCAAGAAAGACGCGTCTCGCAGAAAAATGTGGCGCGTCTCTCACGGGAGCGCGGTTCGGAAACGCGCGCCCAAGTCGAGGCGCGCGTAAGCAACGACGCGACTCTGACCACACACCACCATCCAACATGGCTTCCACTGCTAACGGCCACGCAGACGTCACCGACTGGGACGACAGGTACTACCATGTAGACCAAGTACTCGACCGACCCGGTCCGCGGACGGACCCCGATCAGTTCAGCCCCGGTGAAGCTGTGAGTGGCCCGATCAGTGTGGGGAACGCGTGTTTATATATTATCACAGGTGAAGAGTTTTCTGCGGGACCAGTGCAAGATTCTGGTCATTGGTGCTGGTGGTCTTGGATGCGAGATCTTGGCGGACCTCGCGTTGTCGGGTTTCAAGGATATTCATGTCATCGACATGGACACGATCGACATTAGTAACTTGAACCGACAGTTCTTGTTCAGGTATGCACCTTCTGTTCCATCTTCAGGGTCAATATATTTATACGATCCCAGGCCAAAGGATGTTGGAAAGCCCAAGGCCACAGTAGCGGCCGAGTTCATCATGAAGCGTGTACCAGGCGTGAAGGTCACGCCGTAAGTGCATGCTTACTGACGATAGCCTGGGCGCGCTGACACTCATGTGCAGGTTCTACGGAAAGATCCAGGACAAAGACGACGACTTCTACATGCAATTCAACCTCGTCATCTGTGGCCTCGACTCCGTGGAGGCGCGTCGGTGGATGAACGCAACACTCGTGAACCTGGTCGATCCCGAGAATCCGGAGAGCTTGAAGCCGCTTATTGATGGTGGAACCGAAGGTGCGCCACACTCATACCGCGTTCGGGGAATACATTTTCTAATTCAGTGCCACAGGCTTCAAGGGCCAGGCTCGCGTGATCCTGCCCACGATCACGTCGTGCTATGAATGTTCCTTAGACATGTTGAACAAGCCTACCGCCTTCCCCATCTGCACCATCGCCAACACACCCCGGTTACCAGAGCATTGCATAGAGTGGGCTTCAGTACTAGAATGGCCACGCGTACACGGCGGTAAGCGCCTTCAGTCGCGTGAGCGCTATCGGATGCTCATATATGACCTCAGAAAAGAAGATGGACACGGATGACCCCGACCACATATCTTGGTTGTACGACGTCGCCTTGAAGCGCGCTAAGGAGTTCAATATCGAGGGTGTGACTTGGTCGCTCACGCAGGGTGTCGTGAAGAACATCATCCCCGCCATTGCCTCCACGAACGCCATCATCGCAGCCTCATGCTGCAACGAAGCCTTCAAGATCGCCACATCTTCCGCCGCCTATCTCAACAACTACTTCATGCTCATCGGCACCGAAGGCGTCTACTCTTACACCTTCGAGCACGAGCGTCGTCTGAACTGCCCAGTATGCGGTGGCGAATCGGTTGATGTGCCCGTACCGAAGGATTGGACCGTCGAGCGCTTGATCGAGATGCTTACGGAGAAGCAAGATATCCAGATCAAGAAGCCGTCGCTGTCAACGCCCACGGGGCAGATCTATTTCCAGGCGCCGCCACAGCTCGAACAGGCTACACGGCCAAACTTGGAGAAGCCGCTCATTGAGCTTGTACCGGAGGGTGGGGAAGTCACAGTCACTGCTACGACGCTGCCGTTCAGCTTGTCGCTCCGTATCACGTACACATAGTTGTCAACTCGCTATCCATAGATGCTGTCCACCTCGCTGTATATAATAAACTCTTGTACACCAACGTCATGACACGAACCATTCATCTTGCGCGCCTGTCAGTCATCCTTGCGGAGATGCGAACTCGATGGATCCATCTTAGGAGCTGGAGTACTCAATCGAGCGATGTCTGGCGACCAGCATCAAGAGCTGTGGCCCTGCGGCGTTCGCCGGTGCTGACGCACTTGATTGTGGTCCGTTCGTCCGACGCGCCTTGACGCGCTCACTTCCGTCCGTGATGATCTCAGTGCGTGCACTTCAGTCATCAGCTGTCCACAAACTGTGAAAGCTTACTACACACACTCAGGCATTCTTCATATTCAACCAGAAGGGCGAAGTGCGTGGGCGACGCAATATCTCGTGTACGGGGAAGGAGTGAACTGATGTGCGCCAGGTGCTCATCTCTAGATTATTCCGCCCAGACGTACGGTGCGTGGCGACATTCTCATGCTAGTATGTTGCATACTCATGACTCGAATGACATAGACGGTCTATATCCGATGTATTCCGCATCCAGGTGATCTCGAGTAGCGAGGTCAGGTCACCCATTATCACCCTCGGCTCGACCAGCTTCTTCCATGTCCGCGTCAACAACCTCTACTTTGTCGCAGTTACCAAGTGCGTAGATTGTACCCCCGATATTCTGGCAGATATTCAACGGACGCTACAGGAATAATGCAAACGCTGCACTTGTATTCGAGTTTTGCTACCGCTTGAACGCCATCTGCAAGGCGTACTTCGGTAAGGTCGATGAGGAGTCCGTGAAGAACAACTTCGTGGTGATATACGAGCTCATTGATGGTGTGCATCATATCCATTCTATGTATGGCTTTGACTGACGGTACACTGAAGAGATCGTGGACTTTGGCTATCCGCAGAATAGCGAAATTGACACGCTGAAGTCGTACATCACAACGGAAAGCATCGTTTCTTCAGTCATTGCAACGGTATGTATCCGCTCGCTTCGACAGTCGGCGCTAGATCTAAGACTTCTTCAATAGGAAGAGAGCTCGCGGATCACATCACAGGCTACTGGCGCGACGAGTTGGAGGAGGGGGGACGTCAAGTACAAAAAGAACGAGGCGTTTGTTGACGTTGTGGAGACGGTAAATCTTAGCATGAGCGCAAAAGGTGCGCTCCTCGGCGTCTTCCACAATACGATCCTATCCTCACACCTTCGCCAGGAACTGTACTCCGCGCGGATGTCGATGGGCACATCCAAATGCGCGCATACTTGACTGGGACGCCCGAATGCAAGTTCGGCTTGAACGACAAGCTCGTTATTGACAAGAGCGAGAAGGGCGCCATCGACGCTGTAGAGCTCGATGATTGTCGCTTCCATCAATGTGTACGGTTGAACGAATTCGACTCTACACGGACGATCAGTTTCATCCCACCAGATGGCGAGTTTGAGTTGATGACGTACGTTCCTCTTCGTGTACGCATGCGGTTTATATGTGCTCACTGGACTCGGGTGTTCAGATACCGGTCAACAACGAACGTCAAGTTGCCCTTGAAGGTTATCCCTACCGTGACTGAAGTCGGCAAGACTCAAGTCACGTATGTCATCGCCGTCAAGACGAACTTCGGCAACAAGCTCTCCGCGACAAATGTCGTACTACGGATACCCACGCCTCTGAATACCACCTCCGTCGACTGCAAGGTCGCGAACGGCAAGGCGAAGTACGCACCGTCAGAGAACGTCATCATCTGGAAGTGCGTCTTTCCCAGCCTGTAGAGTCGACCCCACTGCGGTGATGCTCATATGCGACGGAACAGATTACCGCGCATACAAGGAGGTCAAGAAGTGACTTTGCACGCCACAGCCGACCTCACGCAAACGACGCATCGCACAGCATGGGCACGACCGCCCATCGATGTCGACTTCCAAGTGTTGATGTTCACAGCGTCGGGCTTGATAGTGCGCTTCCTGAAAGTGTTCGAAAAGAGCAATTACCACAGTGTGAAATGGGTGCGATATTTGACCAAAGCTAGTGGATCGTATCAGATCAGGGTGTGTTTGCCGTTACTTTGCGTATCCTGTCGCAGTACTGATTGGAGGCCTTATTGTCCACAGTTCTGAGCCCCTGCTTTCTTGGATACACTCATTCTCGCACACGTGCGTGCTGTAGTATTAGTTTCATCGTGGACGCTTCTCCCGATTCCTCTGAGCCTCCGCAAGATCGCATCTATACCCCATATTGCTCGATCATAATGGACCAGCAGACCTTCTTTGCGATGTTCGGACAGCGCTCGATCGGTGAAGTTACGGTATGGCGGCCTTGGTATTCCGCCTAGTGAACGATAGCGGTTTTTCCGTCTGGCCAGTGCCACTGTTTGAAGGCGTACGAGTGCGCTGAGGTAAGGAATAAACGTCAGCGCTGAACTCCTGCAGCACTGCCTGGATATGCTAGCTCTTCGGATGTTGCACAGCGCGGTAGCTTTTCTTCGCATATTGATTGCAACCTTGCTACTCGAGGGCCGTTTATCGACTGTTTGCACGAGCCTTTCAGTGCGCTTATTGCCTGATGACATGTAGGCTTGCCTCCCTTCACCAATGGATGCGATCGGCATCACTCCAAGTAAGTGCTCAGTACTATCAGCCTTAAGGTGGACTCTAACTCATTCCCAGCACGCTACTACGTACGATCATGCAATGTGCCACAGCTGTGCAGATAGGAGGTCTTTGAACGGCGGCAACCGAAATATGCAACTGCGGAACATGGATGTGTCATTCCGCATCACGAAGCGGCAGACGGAGAAAAACGCCGCTTGGCACATCTCCTCTACACAACGGTTCGCGCGCCATGAGCGCTTTTTTCAACAAGAGGTATAAGAGGCCCGAAGCAATGTGGCACATCAACATCAACCTTTCACACACTCTCTCCAACGAACGGTAAGCTCGGTGGTATCTTATCTGCTTCTCGTCGATTTCTGAACGCCTTTCAGCAACGATGTCAGACGTTTCGGACCGCGACCAGAAGTTCTTCTTCCACTATACGCCTGTTGAGGGGTTGTCGTACCTCTTCATTGTGCTATTTGGTCTGGCAGCCATCATCCACACATATCTCGGCTTCAGGTTCCGCAGGCGGTATCTCGTGTGGAGTGCCGCCATCTGCGGATACATGGAGGTCATCGGTTGGATTGGCCGTCTTTTAGCAGCTGTGAATCCAGACTCTTCTTCATTGATACCCTATCTCCTTAAGTGAATGCTCCATTTGGACTCTGGTGGACTGCGCTGACCTGTCATCCCAGCTCGCTATTCACCTTATTCGCACCCACGCTGCTATTAGCCGCCAACTTCATGCTTCTGCGGGATATCATGCAACGTTTAGGCGCTTGCTATAGCCGCCTCAACCCACGTATATGTGCGTATACCGGCGCTGACTTTGTATCACGGTGATACTGATACGCTCGCAGATGGAAAGGTCTTCGTCACCTGCGACGCCGTATCGCTCTTCATCCAGTGCAGCGGTGGAGGCCTCTCAGCCGTCCAGAACCAGAACACGGTCAAGATCGGTGGCGACATCTCCCTCGTCGGCATCGTCTTCCAGCTCTTCGGGCTGCTCGTCTACATCCTCCTCGGCATCGAGTACTTCTATCGCTACTTCAAGGACGTGCCGTTGAAGAACAAGCCGGCCGAGATGTACTACCGCGCGGATTTCACCCCTCGAGTGCGGTGGCTCACTCTCAGTGTGGCTTCAATGACGCTGCTTATCTTCATTCGGTCGGTATACCGCGCTATCGAGTTAGCTGGAGGATATGACGGGAAAGTAGCTGCGACGCAGTGGCTATTCGGTACGTGTGCATACTCTGGAGTCTGATGCACGCCACTGACATCTTGCCAGTTGTCTTTGACGCCGTCATGATCGCCCTTGCCATCTGGGTGCTCATCTTCTTGCATCCTGGCTGGCTGTTGATCGAGTCGGAGGCGCAGAACGTTGCTGTTCGCCCGAGGTACTCTGGAGAGCAGAGTGCTGCATATGATCCCAACGCCGACTCGAGCTACTCGCTCAAACCCCTCAAAGGGCAAGAGCGCGTCTGAGCTGGCCGTTCTTCCCTTCCCATACATTGTGTGATACCTACATTAGCGGTTTCCGCGGACATTAGTATATCTAGAATGTTTATACGATCTAGTGACAATCGACTAGCCAATGTGCTGAAGGTCTTGGGACAAGTGGCCATGACCCTGCGATTAAAACGGAGCGGCCTGTAAGATACCGTTGAATCTGTCACACCGAAATTTAAAAAGGATAAAGTCAGACCACGTAGCTGCCCCAGTGAGGCTCGAACTCACGACCTTCCGATTGCAGTACTTAACAGTCGGACGCTGTAACCAACTCAGCCATGGGGCATATGAGTGTTGACGTACTTTCAGTAAATATAATCTATTGTACCATCGTGGTCATACACTGCATCGGTTGTCCTCTTTTTACTGCCCACCCGCACCCCATGAGATAGCTTTTGGGGCTCCTTTTTATGATGAGGCACCGTAACAAGCGTTTCGCAGGGTATGAACGCCAGTCGCTATTGCTGGGCCAGCTCTTGCGAAATAATGATCTCAGTATCTCCCATTTACCCATAATCTTGACTCGTGCGGAACGGCCTCCCCAGACTTGTCTTCCGGTGTCATCTCCTTCTTTACCGTCATGTCCACGTCCACCCGCGCGATCAACTTTGGCGCAGGACCCTCGGCGCTACCGGCGTCTGTGCTCGAGGAAGTCTCCGCCGCGCTCTTTGACTTTGCGGGGACAGGCATCGGGATCGCCGAGATCTCTCATCGCTCGAAAGAGTTCACTGCCTGCCTCAAATCGCTCGAGTCGCACATCCGCACCCAGCTCAAGGTTCCGCCCACGCACTCGGTGCTCTTCACCCAGGGTGGTGGCTCGCTCCAGTTCTCGGCCGTCGTCCTGAACATGCTCGCGCGCCATCGTCTGCTGCACCCCGAACTCACTGAGGAGCAGCGAACACTTGACTATGTTCTCACTGGCTCCTGGAGCAAGAAGGCCAGCGAAGAAGCCAAGCGTCTCGGTGGAGGAGCGGTCCACATTGCTCTCGACGCGCGCAGCTACTCGAAAGACGGCAAGAGCTTCGACAACATCCCACCCCACGCCGAATACGCGTTCAGCGCAGACCCAGCCTTGATCTACTACTGCGAAAACGAGACTGTCGACGGCGTTCAGTTCTCTAATGACCCTCAAGCATCGACGTTCTTCCCGTACGAGCTCCTCCGCCAACGCGCAAATGGCGCACTTCTCCCGCTCGTGGGCGATTACAGCTCGAGCTTCATGAGCCGGCATATCCCGCATCTTGCCGACCATGCTGTTGTGTTCGCCGGTGCACAGAAGAACATTGGGCCGGCCGGGTTGACAATCTTGATCGTGCGCCAGGATTGTATCGTCGATGTTGATGCGGCGGCTGCGTTAGGCGCGGCACCCGTTCCGTTGACGCTGAGTTACAAGACGTTGGCCGACAGCGGAAGCTTGTACAACACACCCAGTGTGTTGCCGGTATACGTGGCCGAGCGTGTGCTCGCGCGGGCGGAGAAGCTCGGTGGTCTGGAGTATCTCGAGAAGATGAACAAGCTGAAGGCGGAGAAGGTGTATGCCGCTGTGAGGAAGGGAGAAGAGAAGGGCGTGTTCCAGAGTCGAGTGCAGCAGGGTGCGGGAAGCTGGATGAATGTTTGCTTCATCGTGCTGGGCGAGGGTGCGGAGGCGCGGTTCATCGCTGACGCAGAAAAGGAGGGCATGAAGGCACTCAAGGGACATCGTTCGGTTGGAGGTACGTTCTTCCTAGTTACGGTAGCAGGCGAACAGGAGGCTGATGCTACCCAGGTATTCGTGTGTCATTGTATAACGCCATCGAGGAGTCAGAGGTCGATAAGTTCGTGGCATTTGCTGAAAAGTTCATCGAGGAAGAGTCTGGCAAGACAGCCTCCGCATAGGGATGGTGCCAAAGTGAACCTGGAAAATGTACAATGCTGTACCACTACGTTAGCTACCATACTACCGATTCAACACCGGTGCATATTGCTTGTGTGCCTGGTTGTGGCACCTGTTTGCCATTTCGGGTACTGAATGACACAATGATGTCTCACACGTGTCGCCAGCGAGCAACATTGAAGCGCATGAGGGCGGCTTGCCTCTGTTCTTCGACTTACCTCTATGCCTTGATGCAATCTCCGCATCGGAAGCCGTGTATACATCGATATGAACATGACCTCGCAAACAAATAGGATGCGCCTTTCACTGGACCAACTCGTCGGTCCGCCAACATGAACCGTCATCCCTTGCAGGACGCACCCTCACGGGGCGTGCAGCTGCCTCGCGGATAACGCCGTGTCGGCATACAATGTGGTCCAGTACAAACGGACGATCAGCTTTCTCAATGTCTATATGCCTCACACTGTTTGACGAGGGACCCACAAGGTACAACTCCGACGCTTCGACCAGGCACGAGGGCGTGACGAACCGTTCGGCCAGGGATGTCCAATATACATGGGTAGCCTCTGGCTACGAACTCGTTCAAGGATGGAGCGGCTTCAGCTCCATGTACTTGCCTGTCACCGTTTTTTTGCCACTGGACGACTGTTCGTGTCACGACGCAGCCCTCGAAAAGACCGCCCGAGCTCGCTTGATGCGAAGTCGGAACTACGAGGTAAGCGGCCAACTAGCGTCTCCAGCATCATTGCTTAGCGCTCTCAGATACTGGTCTGGCATACGATACGATTACCACTGTCTCTCCTTGAAAGCTTCCCAGTCCCAGCTTTCCCCCGCTTCTCGCCCGACTACCGGCTGCTTTTCCTCTGACCCATCCACTTCATCAAAAGATATACTCGATAAGGCAACAGCCCGCCGCGCTAGGTCTTGGCCTATACCAGATCTGTCGTTTGAACACCGTCCCAAGGGACACAGGCTATTGTTTGGCCAGGAGTGCGCGGCTCGCCCGACTTGCGGGCGACAGAAACTCGTTGGCCAAGCCGACCCCGCTCGACGGTAGCGACTTGATCATGCGTCCCCTCGCGACCTACTGCTGCACCCCAGATCCGGCATATCGATGTACTTCGGCAGTTAGCGGTGTGGTTCACCGCTGCGCTCTTTTGTCGGAGCGTGGGAGGAGTTCGCGATGCAAGGGCCGCCGTGCGGGCCCGGACGACGCCTTGTTCCCGACTTTCACCACCCACCCATCTCAACTCCCTTTCAGCAGCTCGGCGCCTCGCGAACTTCGCCATCTGCCGCGCTTGAACGCCCACAACAATCGTCTTTCATATACGTAGAAGATCTAAGCATCATGGGTTCTGTTGTTCCCGCGGATGTATTCCACCGAGAGTGCCGCAGGTAAGATCGCCACCCTCGGTGGCGCACATTCTTCTTACTCACTATCCCCCTCTTTCCTCACAGACCAGATGGGCCTTACAACAGGCTCAACTTTGCTCTCATGAATAACTTCAACCTAGCGCCTATCAGCCAATGCGCATTCCTGTATGTTGGCGGGGACATGTGGCCGAGAGCGATGCCGAACGACCCTATGCCGTTCATCTTCACTGGCATTCTCCCCGAACCCTTCGAGCAGGAGTTCGAGCGGAAAGAGCGCGAGGCTCGCGAACCGTAAGTACATCACTGCTCGGTGGCGCAATCAAATGATAATCAACGAGAACTACAGTGCGGTGGCTCCTGCTGTCACCCCCAGCCTTCCGGACAGCGAACAGGAGCCTCAGCAGACGGATGCGGGATTTCTTTTCCCCATCCACAAACCGGCGTCTCCTGACGCCTCGCCGTTGAGCATCGATTCAGCGTTGCCGCCGCTCACAACTGATGTGACCTCCTCGAGCGAGGACGAAAGGCTCTCTCCGCGTGATGCTACCAAGTCCTCCGCCCTCCTTGCTACCATGCTTTACTCCAAGGACCTCAAGCGTCACCACGAGCTAGAAGACCAGGACTCCGAGGTATGTGTATGCCTATCCTCCTCAACCTCAAGTAGGTGCTGATTCTCATCCCCCGCAGAGCTCGTCGGCGGCGTCGAGCACCTCCAAGCGTCCGCGTCTCTCGACTTACATATCTCTAGTCCGGGCTGCAGAGAAGAAGACCTTACCGTCTTCCGCGCATCACGTCCGCTACCGCTCGCCCAAGGCCCGCTATGGGTTCCTCACGGATTCGTCGAGCAGCAAGTCTCGCTCAACGAGCTACCGAAGCAACTCGGTAAGTCATGATTGACGAAGGTATATCTTCGTAGATATATTCTTATAGTTCTCACAGAGCGCCACCAAGCCGACCTCATTCGCCGCATCGCTCAAGCGTTCCCGCGATGACTCTTCCGACGCCGAAACCAGCACATCGACTGCAAGCGTCTCAGCTCCTGCGAAGCGTCGCCGAGTTGAGATGGACGCGCGTGTGATCCTGCCGATGGTGAGTCGGCACGTTCTACTCATATACTTGCTTTACTAACTGGGTGTGCAGCCTACGCACGCCGTCACTCGCCACGACAAAGTCACCAATTGGTTGACCCATGGCACTCTGGCCGCACCCGCACCCGAAGAGACCGCTCCCAACCTCACATCTGATGTGACAGAGTCAGGCTACGACGTCGACGCCGAGTCCGACGACGAGTTGCACATCGAGGCCCCGCGCTTTGTGTCAATGAAGGGCCGCACTGTGGCTGAGCGTTTCCAGGCGCCCCGCAAGGTCCACTACGCTGGATCAGATGCCGCCGAGGATGATGAGCCAGTCCCGATGTGGAAGGTGGCCGAGGTCCTCCGCTACGCCGTTCCTAATCCTGGCAACTGGGCGTGATTGGACAACGCCACACCGCTCAACTTGCTTGAGCCTCGCCTCAGTCATTAGTTTTCATCTCCACAACTCTCTGACTCGTCTCTCTACGCTCCTCCGTTTTGTGTCTCCCTGGATCGCGTCCTAAACTCGCATAAACCCCGCTTTGGTCTTTGCTCTTCCCGTGTTCTCTGTCGATGAGGGGTGTCGTTTCACGTCTTGGAATCGTGCCACGTCCAGGCGTATTCCAGCCGTTCCCCTCGAGACACCGCTTTCTTCCTCTTCTTTACCTCTCCTGCCACCTCGTCCGCTCTATCTCTGCTGTTTTTTCTCTCATAGTTTCGGTGCTTGTGTCCTCCTCCCCTGTGTATATCATCAGTGTACCCCCAGTCTCCCCCCCCGGCTCGCAATCCTGTCTGTCTCGTCCTCAGAATCGTGTTCAAGTTTCGTATTTCTGTCAGTCGTGTATAATACTGCGTTTGTGTAGTCGAAGCGTGCGCTCGACCGAATTCATCTGCTCAAGATCGGCCTTGTTGCCGCAACATACACCCGTCGTGATTCTCGTCTCCAACACGAATGATTGAGTGTGACTAGTACAAGATACGGATACAAGAAGCGCGACTTTCAGCTACCGGCATATACATCATCAACTCTCAAACCTTCACCTCGTGTATCGTCCCGTGCAACGTATCGTAGATCCAACCACTAATGTCGGCGTCCTGTTTAACATACGGGCTCTTCTTCAGGTATTCGACGTCGTCTTGTACGCTCTTCTCGAGACCCTGCGTGATAGGCATGAAGTTGATATGCGCGACGCTCAACCCTCCCAGGCCTTCTCTAACTTCTTCTCTGACTTTGTCCTCGCTATCTGCCTTGGTGAAGCCACAGTCGGTGTGGTGTACGACCATGACCTCCTGCGTGCCGAGGACTTGCTCGCTCGCGATGAGACTGCGCAGGGCGTCGGGTGCGCGCCCGCCGCCAACGCGGATGATGTGCGCTTCGCCGAGCTCTAGACCGAACATGCTGAAGACGTCGAGGCGGGCATCCATACAGGTTATGATGGCGATTTTGGCGGTAGGTGGCGGGCCCGGGTTCGGGTGCAGTGAGGAGGCGCTCTGCACGGTACGCGCATGGTCCTCATTACAGTGCTTGGCGTAGTCTTCAGCACGAGTCATAGTAAGGCGATAAGACAGATCGAGGTGGTAGTCGGGTATTGACGGCACTCATCGAGAGGAAACCAGATTTAAATAACGTCCATAGCTGGAGTCGATCCGGAGGCACGTCAGACATGAACGCATCGTCCCATACGTGAACACCTATAAGCTATACATGGAATGGTGACGCTACGTCTACTCCCATGGTACATAGAGGAGGCTGTTAGCCTTTTCTGCTAGTGCACCGAGTGACCGTGGCGGTTAGAGGACGGTAACGCCGCAGCGGCGCGGCGTCGGTCGGAGTTAACCAGCTTGCCTCCGACTACCATCATCAACCCACGGCTGAAAATGGCTATCTATAATCCGCCTTGTCTCGTTCATGCTACGAAGCAGTCTGGACCCGAGTTCAGACTCGCAAACGAACATGAGGCTTGTGTATGCGATTGGGCGTCAAACGGTCCAGCATCAAGGCCACTGCCTATTCACGTTGTCTTGCCTGTCCTGCGGTGATCCTCTGTATGAAACCATGGCTACTGGCTCGATGAACTATACCCAACAAGTATAGAAAGCTTTTGGATCGGGACGACACGTACGAAGGTTTGATCGGGGTCGTGCTGTCATAGCGAGATCGCAAGGTGACGATGGGAAGGGCTCCCGTAGTGGCTGTGTTGACCTTCAATGCACAAATTGGAGGAAGTTCATGCCATCGATTATCAAACAGAACATATGGCGGCAATTTCGGGAACTTCCCGTGCTAGCGATGGCTATGCAAGACTAACAATACCCTGCTGAATCGGGTCTAGTTCGGCTTCCGGTTTTCATTGAGCATGGTCGAATACCTTGTACGGTAAGTCGTCGCCGCCTTCGGCAACGATCCGAGCTATGTGCGGGGCACGCATGCGGCAAACATAGATCTGCTGTCTGGTGCGATGATACCACTGCCGTAGCCAGCGCACGGCCATCGAAGCCCTTGCTCCGAAGGAGTACAAAGTTACTTCTCGACTGAGGACATAGCTTTTGGTCTCTTCCTTCCACTTTCACTGACTATACCTTGCTTTTTACGCGGTCTCTTGAGTTCTTCTCCCTTTCCCCGTCATCCAGATGGACTGGTTGCCTTTATTCGCGAAAGTACGTCGACTCATCTCACGAGAGAGGCGCAACTACTGACAGTACTTATAGCAGCGACCCTCACGCCCGCGATACTATGAGCTCCTCCCCTCTGCGTCCCCGAAGGCACTCTTGCGCTGCCGAATTGTGACCTTCCTAATCTGCTGTGCCCTACTCGCCTTTCTGCTATTCTCGACCTCCTTGGGTGCACATATGCCGGCGAAATACACCTCTATCGACCAAGCCACATACGAAACTTGCACGGTGGACGAGAGCGTTGTGAGCGGTGGATACTTGCGGCCTCATACGGGCGAATATGTCGCGCCACACGAAGACGAGTGGACATGGGAACGAGTACGGACGATGGTCGAGGAGACGAGCGGTTTCTATGTGCGCGATTGGCCATTGCAGCTGGGTTGGAATAATGTACGTACCATCTCCGCCTTCGCCTCACTACCCCCACCATGCCGGTACTGCATCGGGTATTCTTCGATGGCGTGCTTTTTTTAACGGGCAGAACACCCCGTGGGCGCCGGAGCGAACGTGTATGGGCGCTCTAGAGGCGGGCGATGCCTCAAATGCTGTACTCGTTTCTTGTTGAGAAAATAGGGCTCACATGCTCATCATTACGCTCCAGATGCGCTATATCATTGAAGCCGGACTATTGCACGCGTCGTTGTTGAATCGTACCCTTGTCATCCCCTCGTTTGTCTACGCCCGCTCTTGTCTGTATGACTTGTAAGCCCGCCTTCAGAACACTCAGACAGGTTAGTGCTGATGATGACCCGAGCGACGTATGCTCTGTCTTCGCACAGAAGTTCCACCGCGGGGACGAGATCGGGATGGGCGATTTCAAGTATCTTTCTGACGCCGAACAGATCGCCTGGCGCCTACCCATCTCGCTTATGTTGGATCTCCCGCGCATTCGCCGCGCACACTCCGTCATCACCGTATCCGAATACCTCCGCTTACAAGAGCTGAATCCCAAGCTCGAGCTTGGTAATGGGTCGTGGAGTGCGACACTCTACCACGAGGGTCCACAGAAACCGACGCTTCGCAGTCTCACAACGTCTGATTGGGACGAGGGCTTCGTGCGCGTCGACCGTGAATACGACTTACCGAAGCCGAAAGACGTAGGCGGTGCGATTGATGTGGCGTTGCGCGGACAACTGCACGAGCACGGCACGATTGAGATCGGCCATGCCCAGAATGTCATGCACGACCAGGCTCATGCGCAATGGGAAAGCATCGCAGAGCTTGAGCAACTATTGCACAACGCCGGTTGGGGCGTACTGCACACCTTCCGAGGCAGCTTCGTCGAGATGTTCAAAGCCGTCACGGACTGGGAGACGGAAGTCGCACCTCTGGAGAGTATGCGCGGACTCGTGGACGGGCTTGGGATGGAGCCAGCCAACGTGGTGCATGTTCAGGGAGAGACCCATTGGAACCGGAAGGCAGGCCAATTGCGGTTCACGACGGGGGAGGCTCGCACACAATTCGCTGGGCTTGTGTTGCATGGTGTACACCGTAGGCACCAACGTTCCTCGCATTGACACGGCGCTAATCGCGTTTCGGTAGCGATCCCGGCTGTCCGCGCTTTAGGTGAATGCTTTTCGAAGCGCATGCTTGATCTCAACAATGGGCGCCAGTACTTGGCGGCTCATATGCGCCGAGGGGATTTCTCGGTGCTCAAGTATGCGGCGGAGAGGACTATTCAAGACCACACCGCGCGCATCAAGGACCGGCTTCACAATGGTTTGACGTCGCTACGCGAATGGGCACATTCTGGATGGAGGCCTGTCGACGTACCTGGTATCGCGCTAGACAACTTCGGCAAGAACGCACAGCCACCTCTCGAAAATGATGCCTTCTTCCTGGCTACAGACACAACGGACGTGATGGAACTCGAATATGTGCATCGAGAAGGCGCTATTCTCCTCGCAGATCTAATGCAGGCTGAGGACGAGCGATTGCTCGGGTGGCCTGCACTCTTTGGAGACGTACGCGCTCAAGTCGAGCAGGAGGTAGCTGCTCATGCGGCGTTCTTCTATGGACATAGCATGAGCTCTGTCGCAGGTGGCATTGCTAATCTTCGCGGGGCGAGGGGAAAGGATCCAAGGACTTGTTATGTTGATTGACCATAATGCTATTACAAAATTAATATAATCCTCCAAATAAACCTATTGCAGCTGCCAAAGTCCATAAGTTAGGCATCATGATGTGCACGCGGTATTTCAGTCCAAGTCGACGTCCGACCCTGCACTCGTTTCTTGAATGACCTCTCGTTCGTGTAGACCTAACGAAGTGCTACTGGGTCGCCTAGCACCCGACAGCGTACTGGGTCTCCGCGCAGGTGATCCTGGCGCGGCGCTGAACGTTGATGAAGAACGCATGCCGAGGCCGAGCATGTACATCCCACTCGTTGTACGCTGACGGGGAGCAGGACTGGCGCGTGCCGCAGGCAGACCAGGGACATGTTCGGGCATCGGCACCCGAAGGTCGAGTCCCATAGCGGTGAATGGATTTACACTCGCATTGGCTTGAAGGGCAGCGGTGGCACCAAGACGCGGCGAAGACGGTGGGCGTCGAAGGCGTGGCGTCGTCATGATGGCGCCGAACGAAGGCGGAGCAGGGCTGGACGAGCGAGAAGGCGTAAAGAGTCCGGCAGCGAGGGATGACCAAGATCGATCACCGTTCTCTTCGGGCGGCGGCGGCGGCAGCGGCGTAGAAGGAGGGGGCGGCGTAGGGCTGACCGCTAACTCGTGTACAGCGCGCTTGAGAGCGGCGACATCGTGTTGCAGATCAGTAAGCTTCTTCTCAAAGCGCGCCTGCGAACGTGACACAGACACGTCAGTACCATCAACAAACTCGCGGGCGGCCTTCTCGGCTTCAGCAGCGTCGGCTTGTGAAGTCAGAGCACCGCGGACGGACAGAAGTGTCACAAAGCCTCGAGCCATGCGCTCCTCATCGGCGACGCGGATTTCTAACTCCACGCGTGCGTCTTCGCCGAAGTCATCGAGTCGAGCCGCAGCAGCCTGAAGAAGAGAGCGTGCTTGTGAGGTTGGCATAGAGGCAAGTGTACTGGCAACATCCTTGAGGGTGAGATGGCAGTCACGCAGGGCACGCTGTATGGAGTTGTATCGAGCTGCAGTAGAGGACAGCGCCGCTAGCAACGGGTCTGCCGGGGCTGATTCTGGGTCGCGCGAGACTTTCGAGGGGGTTGCTATAGGTTGTTCGAGACTTGGGGACGAAGACTTCACGAGCTTGGGCGGAGGCGTCTTTGGAGGCGATGACCCGCGTTGCGAGGGACCGTCTGAAAGTGAAGGCAGTTGTACTGCTGAGGGGTATTCCGCAGAGTCTGCAGCCGATGAGGTCGTCTGTACAGAGACGTCTGAAGTGAGCGATGTGGCGGAGGTAGGTGTCGCAGGATCCACCATAAACGAAGGGGGGTTTTGTAGTACGCGAGGAGAGGGGTGATGCAAGGCAGTGGCAGGCGTAGAAATCGGGGAAAAACTCTTTGCGATGTTGTCGAGCTGGAGCGGTACAGGACGCTTCTCCGAAGGAGGTTGCTCATCGCGGGATGCTGAAGGTGCCACAGGTGACGTCGTTACAACAGAGCTCGATGGTGATTTGATGCCAACAGTTGCAGGTGTTTCCAAAGGTGTATCCGGCAATGGTCGTTGCAAGTCACTGACGGTTGTAGCCAAGGGTGCAACAACGACCTCTCCGTTTTCGTCGATCCCCGCTCGGGAGAGCATACGTTCGAGACGCATGCGTTTCTCCGTCTCGTTCTGTAATTCTTCGACCAGGGTCTTCACCGCGTCTTGCGCGGCGAGGATGCGCGCTACGCCACCCAGTCCGTCTTCGCCAGGAGGACGCGAAACCTCATCGTCCCCATCCACTAGAGCGACTAGTTGCTCCGCATCGTCGACGATATTTATGAACCCATCACGCAGAAGGTCTATTCCGCCATTCTCGACATCTGCTCGCTCGTATGTCTCGCGTGCGCGGCGAGCCCAACGACGAACCGCCTCGGCCAGCCCATCCTCTCGAGCTACAACAGCGAGACGCAGGGCTATCTCCCGGCGACGACCGTATGACTCGCGCGCGAGCTGCTCGGTCAATTCATCCAGTGCATCCCGAAGGCGGTCGAATTGACGCTGCTGAGATGCCACCGATGCCTGAAGTGCTGCAAGCTGCTGATCCCGGGTGGCCAGAGTCGCCCCATGTCGCGCCTTCAGGTTGTCGATCGCGGTCTGCAGGGTATCTATCGTGGACTGAGAGAACTTCCTAGTCATTATGAGCAATTGAACGCCGGCATCCGTTTCGCACAGCTTACATGTACCGTGAGACCATCTTGGCCGCCGTGGAGTCATCGATATTGAGCTTCTCTAGTTCAGTGCGGGCGCGCGCCAGCTCATTGCGACCATGGTCGGCGACTTTCCGCTCCACGTCGCGCTCACGCTCAATGACCTCAAGCTGAGCGTGTAGACGTGCAATCTCTGCTTCAAGAGCCTCGCTCTCCGCCGTGAACTCTGTCACTAGTTTGTGAACACTCCCTCTTCCATCCTGAAGCACCTCTGATAAATTGCTGGCGAGCGAAAGGCTGCGCCCGTGACCATTCGCTTCGGGAGGTGGGGACGTGGGCCCTTGTTTGCGTTCTAGAGATCGCACAAGGTTCGCATACTCGCGTACGACGCGATCCGTCATATCCCTCTCCTCCTCAACCGCACGAACGCGTCGTTTGAGGTCGCGTTCCCTGGCCATGCCCTCCTCCTGTTGAGCCCGCGTATGAGCGGCAAGTGCGTACGCGCTCTCGACTGCATGTTTGCCCTTTGCCACCTCCGCCAAAGCACCCGCGAGTTCATTTGTCCGTGAGAGTAGGGTATCTTCCGTCGCTGTGAGTTTGTCGTTCAAACGGCGTAATGCAAGCGTTAGTTCGGGAACTTGAAGCGCGGCAGAGCTCGGCGTTATATCCGGATGCGAACGTAGCACAGCAAGCTCTTCTCGTATTTGGGCATTCTCGCGTTCTAATGCATGCGCGCGCTCCAGAGCTAGAGAACTCTCCAGCGAGTGCCGCTGAAGCTTGAGGGCGGAAGAGTGAGCCTCATGCTATGTAAGGCGTGGGTCCTACAGTATAAGCGAGGTACTATGAACGGGCGTACGAAGTAGGCACCTGAAAGCGATGTACCGCTTGCCGGAGAGAGGCAAGCTCGAGAGCGAGAGGATGATCGTCGTTTATCAGAAGTTCTGTAGAGGGTCCCATGCGTGTGGCCGAGCGTGCAGCTGAGGCCCTGATCGGCCTTCAGAGGGAGTAATTCGGATTATCAAAGGAGGCACTGTAGACAACGACTGTATCCTCTAGAGCAGCCAAAGGACTAGCTCGAGTCTCTCTCGACCAATTCAGATGAGAGCAGGAAGTAAGCAAGCGGACTGCGGCGCTGCGAAGTAGATGGCTTCGCGAGACGCGGACACGTTCAAGTTCACAGGAGATCATTCCGCGATCAACTTGTCGGAACCGACGCGCTGACTTGAAAGTCATCACTTGCCCAATACCTCCATCTACTCTTCTACCTCTCAACATGGCTACAGTTGCTTCTCAGCCTCGCTCGCAGAACGGCGCCCAGGGTACTCGTGGCAGGCGAATGAACCGTCCCCGTGGAGGCGGCAGGGGCAAGCCTCACACTGCTCAGCCCGCCGCTGCACCGGCATCTGCCCCTGTAGCTGAGGCGCCCAAAGTCGAAGAAGCCGCGGAAACGGCTGAGTCTGTAGACGAAGAGATGATATGCTGGATCTGTGCCGAGCAGGTCAAATATTTCGCCGTCTCAGAGTGTAATCACCGAACCTGCCATGTCTGCGCTCTCCGTCTGCGTGCTTTGTACAAGAAGATGGAGTGTACTTTCTGCAAGGTGCGATCCTGACATGGTCTTCGCGTCTTAACTGCTCACAGCTAGTATAGGAGACACAAGGGGTTGCGATCTTCACTACATCTCCTGACAAGTCCTTCTCCGACTACGGCCCTACCGACATTCCGCATAAGGATGGGAAGCTCAATATCTTCTTCGAGACGCAGGAAATGATGGAAGACTCCCTCGTGCTTCTTCGTTTCAATTGCCCTGACAGGACGTGCGAATATATCGCCACCGGCTGGAACGATCTGAAATTGCATGCTCGCGGTCAGCATGGCAAGCTCATGTGGTAAGTCGCATACCAATCGGGGAACGGTCATCTTGTCTTATTGCATATGTCTTCTAGCGATATCTGTATCGGAAACAAGAAGGTCTTCTCGCATGAGCATGTTCTGTATGCCCCAAATGTTCTCGCGATGCACATGCCGTCTATTCCTCATCGTCGAGGAGAGAAGCCCCTGCCAAAGGAGCAAATCGAAGGCGGTGTGCACCCCATCTGCGAGTTTGACAGGACATGCTTCTTCGGCGATGATGAACTGTACGCCCACATGCGCGAGCGCCACGAGGAATGTTTCATCTGTAAACGCAATGAGGTCCGCGACCAGTACTTCCGGAACTACGAGGCCTTGGTCGGTGTCCTTTTTCCAATCTTGAATACCTCAATGGCTGAAGGACCCCACAGGAAAAGCATTTCGATAACGCTCATCATCCATGTCCAAACTCCTCGTGTCAGCAACGCAAATTCGTTGTCTTTGGTACTCTGCTCGATCTCAAAGCGCACATGGTGGATGAGCATGGTGCCGAGATGTCCACTCGTGACCGTAAAGACGCACAACGCGTGAATATTGAGTTTCAACAAACGAATGGAGGCGGTGGGAGGCGAAGAGGGGGGCAAGGTGGCGGAGGTGGTCAAGAGCGAGAACCGCCGCCTCATCAGGGAGGTGGTGCCGGCCCCTCGTCTGGAGGAGGCGGCCGCTCGCGCCGAGAACGGTTCGGAGGGCACCTTACCACAGAGGGAGCATCTGCACCCAATTCTGCGGGTCCGAGCAGGAGGCAGTCACCGTCACCGCCGCCGGCCGATATGGATCCGGTCACCGCTCAGTACGCCTTAAACCTCTATGCACTAGTTCATAGCACTGATGATGATAACAGGCGTCATGCCGACCTATATGCTCGTTTACGAGCTCTCGCACCAAACCCGACGAATGCCGTAGCCTCGCTCAAGCTGTCTTTGCGCTCATATACCGCTTCCGAGATGGGACCTCGCGATCTTATCTCGAACATCTGGAATATCTTAGATCGTGATCTCGATAACACCGCTAGCGTGGTCAACCTCGTCATTGATCTTCTCGAGGGTGATGATAAGAAGAGTGTGTTGCTAGGCGCCTGGAATGGCTTCAAGCTCGAGGTAAGCTTCGCGACTTCGGCCTCCGGCGATGATCTCATATGTATCGCAGCAACGGCGGCAGTTCCCCGACCTGGTGCCAACTTCTATAGGCGAGGAATGGGCCGGGATCGCGGGTGGGCGCATGCTCGCTCGACCCGCGCCCAGCGCACCGTCGCGCTCGCAGACGACGGCCGTCTGGGATCGTGTGGCGCAGGCCGCATCAAGCACGACACCTCGCCCGGCACCGCGGTACGTTCCAGGAGCTGCGCCGCCGCGACCACAACGGACAGCACCACCGGCTTCGACTGCTCCCGCATTCCCCGCTCTCGTTCCTAGTCGCACGCCAGCACCTCAAACCGCTGCTCACCGCCAGGCAAACCGTTCAACGACTGCATGGTCCGCCTCTGCATCTGGTGCAGCACCTCCACCTGCGCCACGCGCCCCGCCTCCGCCCTCTTCAGTCAATCGCAATGTTCCACGGGGGCCACCACCTAAGTTGTCAAATAGCGCGTTCCCAGAGTTGCCTACTGGCGCGCCGTCGCGCCGTCCGGCGCCAGCTGCAGGCAACAATGGTTCGTTGCAGAAGATTCTGGGTAGTTCGGCTCCTTCTCAGTCGGCTTGGACGCCTGGTGGCGGTGCTTCGGCGTCGAATGCTCCTCCTGAAGCACCTGCACCTGCGCCGGAGGGAGGCAAGGGGAAGAAGGGGAAGGGGAAAGGAAAACAGACGCTGTTCACGCTCGGGTCGTTCCCAACCTAGTAGTAGTCGAGTAACGCGGACATCTACCCCATACGGATATATTAGTACCGTCTGGTATAAGATGTATAACTGGGGCCTTGTATCATGTCTAATGATCATGTACTAGCAACAACTCACAAGCGCTGATGAGCATGGGAATTCTGGGGAGTTCGGCATTGACCGAGAAGAAGCGCCGTCAAATCCCAAGTGTCCGTTGAGTAGTTCCAGACCATGACGACCATGAGCGGACTATGCGCTGTCGGTATCGCCAGCCGGAGCCTTGATGCTGCATAGTGCACGCCAATATGTATCTCACGTCTTTGACTCTTTTGCCTTGCCTAAGTTCACACACTTGAAGTCATGTCGAAGACGCCACGTCATGTCTACGGTCTTTTGTCAAAGATACTGGAATTCACACCCAGCTATCTGCCAGCACGTAGGCGCCCCTCCTCCAGTTCTACTGTATGAAGTGGGGTTTGCTGTACGAAGGCCCCCTGCGGGTCTACAAAAATTGACATAGTCACTGTATGTGATGATATTCGCTCGCGTAATTCGCATCCTCAGCTGATACTCCATACCTAGCTGCCTGCAGCACACCCTGCTAGCCGCGGTAGCGTTAACGGTCCTACACGAGTCGCTGTAGTTCGGCTGCAAATTTCCTGATGCGACAATGGATCGTCGGCGCTTGAATTACCAAGATCTGCTGCACGACGGTACACGCTGCATGCCCTTGGACCTTCATGAGACCGTCTTTGTGCTCCTCTAAAGGCTAAGGAGGCGCCGGCATGCAAGCAGGTGTACGCATCTATCCTTACCGGATACTAGGATAGATGTACTCGTGAGTATCTTCCGTTACCTGTCACCGATCCCTTTCTCTATTCTGACTACTCCTATTTAGAGATGCTTCTATCAGACCCTGCAAATCCCGTCCTACTCATGTTTACCATGAACAGCGACGTCGCTCTCCGCGTGGCCTCTCGAGATCTTTACTGGCGAGTCGTGGCAGATCTCGCGTCCCGAAACACATCCGAAAGACCCAGATAATCGTACGACAGCGACCGTACTCGCTTGCTGTCCCCTGGTCCGTGCAGCGTGCTCAATGCGTGTCTACACAACGTAAGCTGACCGGCAAGCTCAGCGCTCCGTGTGGGGTACGCCAGCGCCGCCAGTCGCGCGTCGGAGTCTTTCTCTGCACGCTGGCTGCACCGCCTTTTCAATGGCCAGAAGCAACAGGACCTCTAGAAGACTTGTTTTTCCGCTCGATCTGCGAGTGCACGCAGTTACCATCCGGCTCTGCCGCTCGGCACCGCGCCTGCTGCAGCTTTAGCGTTTCCTCAACAATTTGCGGCGCAAGCTGGGCGGTCGGCTTTAGGCCGAGTTACTGCGGCCGTGGGCTTCTTCAGTGTCTCCTATCAACCTGTTTGGGACGATACAGTCGTGTTGGACGGTGATCAAGCGTCGTATGCCGCGTAGAAGGTGCGCCCGACTGCAAGCAATCGAGTGTTCGCCTATGTTATTGACATGCCCGTGACTAGACTTGATCCTTCCTTCCAACTTGCGTTCTCAATGCCCTTCGGTCAGAAGACTATACTCCCGGTCTTCATGGCACCCCAACATCCTCGACACAAACGACTATTGTTCGCCACGCGACGCCATCAACCGGCTCGCTCACCAAGAAGTATGAGACGCTGAGCCTACATGCCGGTCATTCCTATAGCCCTTTGATTGGTGGACTGCGTTCTAGGGTCCCCACGGTACCTTCTAGTGCGTGTTAAACATGCAGCCTAGACGTTCACACGGTCCAGAATCAGTATCGACTGGCGAGCGCTCGAGCATCTTGAGGTTCTCGAAGCCCGTTCCCGGTCCCTGGCTACACCCTACAGCGTCCCGATAAGGCATGCCCTCTGCCATTCAGGGCACGGTCTCTGTGCTCTCAAGATCGAAGGACGTGGCCGCGACATGGCCTCGAATGAACTGCTGACAGGATCGTCGAGACGTGGCCGTTCAGATTGGCCGTACTTTCCCATGAACCAGAGTTGTACAAGCCACTCAACATGTCAAGATCAAAAGGGCTTCTTTGGACGTTCAGCGCGAGGACGGCTCGCCGCAGACGAGCGTCTCGACTTACGCGACAGTATGCTGCGGCCCACACCCCCCACTCCACTCAAGTTGCAGGGCAGTCATATACCGCTCTGTTCTGTATACAGGCGGCGAACGTCAAGGGTCAAGGAGGCTCTGGTACTACGACGCCCCAGGCTTTCATTCGATCAAAGCGGTCTTTACCGACTCACACTCCGTCAACGTTGTATACAGGCCACCGCCCTCATTTCCTCCTTCCATTCTCATCTCCTATACATAGCTCAAGCAGTTCAAATACGTATGTATGTGACATCGCGTGGTTGTGTAGGTCCAAATCAAATCGATACTTGCGGACGATCATTGTCGTGGCAAAGTGTGACACCGACAACTTCCATTTTGCGTGCCGACATCGCGTCAACTTTGTACGGCCATGTTCGCCACAAGTCTGCGCGAACGCAAAGTTTTTCTGGCAAATAATCTTCTCTTCGTACTGTTTCGCCGGCTGTTGCGACTACGCCCTTTCGCGTAGCGTTAGGCTGATCGGTTTGCGTCAAGCCCCGTACCAAGCACAGTTTTTCGCGCCATCGAAGCTCCTTCCCGACGCGCCGAACACCATCCCGCCTGCCTATGTGGTTCCCGTCGCTTCTCTGTAGAGAACGTATCACGCGTACCGCCCACTCGTCCGGAGCGAAGATGGCGCTAGGGATGTCTCGCGGCTGCCCGTATGCGTCCGCTCGACGTATCGCAGCCCGCTTATCGGCCCGACTCGGCGCGCGCCCGCGGGATAATCGAGTCGCTTCGTCCGCCTGCGCCAGCTGTCGTCACTGGTTGTCTTTCTAGCTTTCGCTCGAACTTCTTGCTCCCTCTATGAACTCTAGAGAGATCGAAAATTGTGCTCTAAGCAGTTTGTTCTGTCATTCTCCGCCCGAGTCGGTGTCACGTACTGCGGTAAGCGCGATTTTCGAGAAGCGTCGGGCTTGGTTCGGGTAAGCCGGAGGCGCCCGTTTCGCCCGAGTACAGCCCGACGCTCACGGTCACCACGTCGATGAAGGGATTTGGTGCCACGGAAATCCTGATGAACTGTTTTGTTGATTCTGAGTTTGTGATGGCATTCCATTGCCTGAAAATGTCAACCGAATTATATCGCAAATCCGTACGTCAGGGCCAAAAGGGCACGATTTTTCTTAGGATTTTCCAAACGATAAAGGCTTATCAACTTTAGAATCAAGTCGGGATTTTATTCCCCTTTGTGGCCGAGCAAATGCCATCATCCACGTAGTGGGTCGCACGCGGCATGCGACGTGGTTGACCATTTCCTCATTGGTGACTGGTGGCTCAAGCTCTACAACTATCAGTAGGCCTTCATCTTCGATGTGACCTACGTCGTAGTGAACCGTGTTTGTGGATTCTTGAGACTGAATGAGGCTTAGAGACTTCCTTGTCTGAGCTTGGCCTCGACCAAGCCCAAGATCTCCGAGAGCTCAGTGCCGCGTCGAGCTTAGCCACCCCCAATGGCATTCGGTCTCCTCGGACTGGAACGTACGCCACTATGCTCAATGGCTCATGCATATGTAGCGTCATAGATGCAGCTCGATAATCTATCTCACTCATCTGTTAATGAATGTCTAGAGGTCCGGAGCTCAATCCTTCTTCGCACCGCTTGAACAGGCTCGATGACTGAGCCACCTTCGTCATAGACGCCGTATCTCTCTCTCTCGTGTATTCGATGCGAGCTCGTGAATGTCCTATGCAGCTACGCTCATGATACTGGTCGTGTGCGTAGTACAGGGCACACGGCAGCCGGAGTGCGTACGCGTCGACGTCACAGGTTCGAGTTTGTGTCTCGCGCTTGCGGAACCGTGTTCGTGGTTGGAGTTGCGTCGTGCCGGTCATCGCGCGTGCGTGTACAGATTGAACGGAGAAAGTGCTGGAGGATACCCCGCGCGCTGACGCGTACCGGCTACAACTGGATGCACAGGCACATAGTCGTGCGATACGGGTATCCATACCCTGTGCGCGCAGTGCATGGTCACAGTCACAGGGCCGGCTGTGAGGCCCACTCACGCCGAGTACTTGCCCCGATGGATCCCCGCACAGCAACAATACTAGTGGGTCGATGTGGGTGCGGCTCACCGGCACCGTATACCGTTTGCGGCGCATATGCAGGAGTGGCACTGCTCAAGTGGCATCGCGGTGTCACACAAAGGGCGTTGGGTGGCATAGTATGGTCATTCTTCTTCAGATCGTAGGATCGTAGGCGTAATCGTACACTCCGGCTGTTGTATGTGGGGGCAGGGGTATACGGGTAAATCGAAAGCAGACGTGCGAAAGCGGGTCGTGAATCGTGTGGATAGTGAAAGAAATGATGGGGATGTGTGCAATCCGTACCGTACGAAGTGTGAAAGATGTGTGTAGCTACGAGAAAATGTGGGAGGAACGCGTTGTGAGTATGTATGTACAGATGGGCACGATAATAGAATGTCAAAGTGTGTAAAGCGACGATGGAGAGAACGAAAGCAAGTGGCAATGAATCCAAATCACGCGGAAAGGGGTCATGAGCAGCAAGAGCAGGCACCGGCATGTAGCAGTCACGGGTCCAAAGCCCGGCGTAGAATGTCGATAGACGGGTCGCGAGCACGGAGGCGGGGAGGCGGGAGGCAATCAGCGGCCATCGGTGGCCATCCTGTAAAGGCAATCACGCATAATACGGAGTGTCCCGTCTGGTACGGGAGTCCGGGTCGCGCGGCGGGCTGTGTCCGCCAGGACGAGGCATGTCGTCGGGCGCGGTCTATGGCACAGAATATGTGCAGGGGTGGTGTATGGGTGGGTAGCTTGACGCGGGGCTCAGGTACCAAGCTTGCGCTTTATGCGGCGTTGTGTTCGGAACACCGCGAAGCGAAGGCTAAGCGATACGGATTGCCACTTGCGACGCAATTGCTGGCCGCACGTAGGACTACAATCAATCGTTAGAACATTGTCGGCAAACATTTGATAGTGGCTATGACTCACGTCCACTCGGTATGGCTCTGCGACGGAACGTATGGGTCTTCGTCGGAGGGGGTGATTGGCGACGGCGAATCAAGCGCAAACGCCCAGGGGTGTTCCTCGTACTCCGGAGCGAGCTCAGGCTCGGGCTCAGGCTCAGTTACGAATGTCGAGCGCCGAGGACTCAAAGTGCGCAGCTTGCGCTTCCGCGGTTCGGGTGCGGTGGCGTGCGAAGTGTAGGTGGTTGGCTTGTAGTGCGCGTACTCGGCGTCGTACCGCGCACGGCGACGCTCGCGCGCGCTCATTGGCCGCGACTTGCTCTGCGCAAGCAGCGCAGCGTCGTCCTCGTCGCGGTCGAACCCACTCTCCCACGCTGGTCGCCGCGTGGCTGGTGCGGCCAGGATGGGGAAGTCGCGGTAGTCAGGATCGTGCATCTCGCCGTCATCGTCGATGTAGGCGTGCACGCTGTCCGGCGAAGAGCTCGTAGATGAGTACGAGTTCGGGAGGTAGGATGGGTCCATGAGCCGCGCCAGGTCGGCGCGGGGCAGAGACGATGAGCGGCGGCGGGAGTGCTTAGCCATTGCGCCGGCGGTGGCGGCAGACCCAGAAGAGGCTGAATGGCTTGTTGCCAGCATTGTTAATGGCTATATACCGAGGGATACAGCACAAAGGGGCTAGGAATACACAAAGGCGGGGGCGGATTCGAAGGCAGGGGCCTGATTTGAACCACACGCCTATATACGAAAGCCCGATGATCTCGTTTTCAACTTATGCACGCGACGTGACATCTGTCACCCGAATCTCACCCGGAGATTTCTTCCCTGATCTCGCAAACGCACGGCCCGAGTCGCGCCAATCCCGGCCACGAGCCAGAAAAACGTTCCGTTTTCCTCCCGGTCACTGCCATTCGCCATCCCTCACCCACACACCCCACCCGCCTGAGCTCTTTGGAAAGAACATACGATTCCCCCGATGTCTTCGCGTATGCGTATACGCGCCTTCCTCGGTAATCCATCCCATGTGTGCGGAAAGCCCTCGCGCAAGGGCGTACGCGTGCTCGACTAGCCACGCACTGAACTTTCTGAATCCGGCTGCCGTCGGCGCTGCGCGCGTGTCTTCGAGAGAGAGGTGCGGCGGCCACTCACGGTCTGCAACTTGGCCGCGGCCTGTCTATCATCACCACCGGCACTTGCTAGCGCTCTGCTGTCGGCTGCAGACGTCCGAATTCCACCGTTGCTCAGCACATCGACCTTACTTCTCTATTGATCTACTGCATTCGTAGCTTCCAATCGCCATCGGCACAGAGTGGCGAGCGAGGCTGACGCATGCTGATCAGCGCGTCCGCTTTCTGACTCAGCGCGCCCTCCCGCCCACCTCGTCCCGTCTTCCAGATCTTGCTAGTGTTCTAATGCATCGTCACGCATCTACATGGAGATGTTGGACCTGCGAACGGCAGATCATCGTCGATAGCGCAAATGACCGGGCGCCTGCCGGTCTTCCAACCGGGCGTCTGCCTCACTGATGCTTCTCTCGGAATGCAGTTGAACAGCGCCTTTGCTGCACGGAAGACAAACCTCCGGCTTGAATCCGTGCACTCCGGACCACTCACAGTTCGTCATTGTACCGGCTTTCAAGCTTCAAACTTCTACCTTCGACTTGGCCGACGGATTTCAGTGCCGATCTTTTCTGTTTACTATCTATCTGAATGAAAGGGACAATCTAATCGCGTCGACAGATTTGGGTTTGGGGATAATCGCAAACCTGATCTTCCACGCAGTGACACCGGGGACCGCCGTCTACTCAAGGTTCACATGGTGGACACGTCCTACCGCCAGCTCTCCTCGGATCCAACTCTTCCTCTCGTCTTCCTCGGCATCCATCGACATCGTCCATCTGCGTCCATCGTCTTTCCAGATGGACCTTCATGGACGTGCGCGCCCCTCCGAGAAGCCCATCCGATAATCGACCACATCTCATCCATCGCTCACAGCCCGTATACGCGTCCACTCTCACAATAGCCTGCGATGAGGTATCCGGCCCCGGGAGCGCGCGTTCGTCGGCTATCGTGACTGGGATCGGACTCGTGCCCAGTCCATCTACACTATCGGTGCCACTGCGCTACAATCCGGCTCGCCTCTTGCTTTCATCTACACCTTTTGGGACCAGAATGGTACCTTCTCCGCATGTAATATTCCTTTGAACCTGAAGAACACGTTCTGGTCCGGTGACCCCGGTCCTTTCATGTGCGGGGTGCAACTGCAACAGGCTGTTCGGTATCCACACCCACTGTGATTATAGCGCAGGGCTCTGTCCTTTCAGCTTAGCTGACCGGCCACCGCACCACGCCACTGAGAATGCACAGCGTGAGCCGCAGCGCAGCGGTCGATATCTCAGAAAGGGGCGGAAAACGAAGGCTTGCGTGTCACACCGGCCGTGACGGACCACACGGGTCCATCGGTGGTGATCCCTGCGTGCCACACTGCGCGAAAGGCCACGCACGGCGGATCGCGTTGAGAATCAACTACTCAAGGGGCAAGCCAAGTAGGCTGGACGTTCTCGAAGAACCATCGAGGCTCGTAGTTCAACGGCTGGTGAGAAATCATCCGGGGGCGTGCGCCGCACGCGGCCCTCATGCCGATGCAACTCTCACCACGCGTCTGTTCAGCCCGACGCGCGGGCGCGGCGTCTGTAAGCTCGTGCGGGATGATGGCTCATTGTACGCGGTGAACATTGATAGCTATAGGAGCTGAAATAGCACATCGACCTTTCACCGAGGCGCAAAGCGCGTTATCGCGGCGGATCAGACGCGCGAGCACGAGGCTTGAGAGCTTTCTCTTACATTTGAATGGAAGAGTGTACTTAGTACGACTAGCCGAGCGTCAATGATCATTTGAGAGACGCTGTCAGAAACAATCTCATTCAACGTCGCTAGGAAAGCGCATACATGCATGATCAATACTGTACTCCGACGCCACAACCCCGCACGGGCGCTCTGTCGAGCGCGAAATGCAGTTACGGTCAGGTTTGTACGATCAACCCCGCACCCGACCCTCACGAGCGCGTACGTTTCCGTGCGTTAAGCCGGTCATCCCTATCAAGGTTCGGCGCGTCTGCCCTGCTGTTCAGTGACAATTGACAGCTGCAACTCCGCGGGAGTATAGGCATTTTAGCAAAGGCTGTGCGCGTAGAAGAAGCCCCTCTCGATGTTCGCGCCAAACTGCCAGAGCTACAGAAGCTCTTCTTGAAGTGCGTTTACGTCGATCAGCCACGCAGTGAACACGCATTGAAGGAAGATCAAGAAACGAAGAAGAGGTGTAGTGAAGTCAGGTAAGCAAAAGGGACGACCCTTGCGCAAGGGTGAACAGAAAGAATCCAGTATGTCGTACGAGAGCGTGCAGCGCCCATGCTCGTGGAACGCACGCGGTGAGCAGCGTCTCTGTAGATGGCAAGAGAACGCTCGACGTAGAAAGCTGCGCGAGGAGCGAGGGGGGCCCGCTAGGGTCACGCGCAGCGCCCGACGAGCATCGAGCATCAGAGGCGGGCCTGCAGGCAAGATAATAACGCTCTATATGGATCGTCAACTCAACGGGCGCGCTGCGTGTCGGGAAGCGAGGCGCGTCGTGAGGCCGACGATCCCAGGCCAACCATCAGATTCGGCGCGCCTTCGGGCGGCACCGCGACGACGATGGCGGCGATGTTCGGGCGGCGATGTGCCGTAGGATCAGTCGGGATGTCCGGGATTTGCAGATGCGCGCGGATGGTCGCGACGATCCTGGCCGTCGTGAGGGCGCGCGGTCGCTGGGAGACCATAGGGCATCAAACGTTGCAGTCGCTTCAGGCGGGCGTCCGAAGGGGTGTCATGTGTTGCGTCGTACCATCGCAGGAAAAGGCAGGAGTGGCTCTATTGGGATGTAGGCTGTGCACTACACCTTCTGTCAAGGACGCCGAGAGCAAGAGCAGCAGGTCCACAGACGATCGTGAGCAAACTCTTCAAGACCAGCAAGCCAGCACGTTCAAGGGTTCTCACTCGGACACCTCCTAGAATGGACCGGCCGTCGCTAGGAAAACGCCACCAGATCAAAAGGTGGACAAACGCATACTCGAGGAGGCCAGGAGGTAAGGAGAGGTGTGAAAGAGGAGCGCGGAGAGAGCCGCAATTAGGCTCGTGAGCGCCGGCGGCGGCGTCTCGTACGACGGTGGCGTTAACTGCAGGATGCATGCAGGCAAACTATAATGACCGAGGTCTCGACCTGTGCAAAACAAGTAAAGTTGTTTAGTACGGGTGTTGTCACGGTGGGGTACATTTGCCATAGACAGATAGGATAGCCCCTACAACACGGCAGAGGGGCTGAGTCCGCTATACACGTCAAGTCGTGTATTAGGGTCGATGAGCATGCCTAATCGTGGGCGATGCGTCGACCTATCTGCAAGCGCAAGAAACAGATGCAGTACGATGGAACAGTGTTCATGATACTGAGCAACGAAGGCAGAGATCTCTGCCAGTTGAAGGAGGTGCCTTTGAGACTGGTCCAGAGCGACGTCATCTCCGCGCGGCCATTGCCGCCGATCGCATCGTGGCCACAGATGCCCAGATCTGGCGGATAGATTGACTGTCCAGATAGAGCCCGATGTGGCCTAAGATGCCGAGACCGGGAAAGTTTGCCTGCCGCAGGCAACTTGGAAGCGCCTGTGACAAACCAAACAGACGCTCATTGTGACAGGCTGGGAAGTCTGGCCGTTCTCACCAAAGTGGGTAAGCTTTAGGTCTGTGTAGAGCGTCTGCGTAAGCCCACGCAAGCCCGGTAACCCACCGGAAGTTAGCCCGGTCTGAGGTGGGCACACCTGGGAACCAACCGGCGGTCTGCGGACTGAGCCTTCCGAATCGTCACGATTCGTGAACTATCTGAGCGAATGGTACGGGGAGAGCTCCTTCGGTCGGAACATACGCGCAAGAGGCGTTATCTGCGCGTCTGCTGACTGTCATAATCGCATCGCAGGGCAGTGGGTCGATGCCGAGTTGACTCGGCGTGACGAGGAGGTGTGCGGAGGAAGGCCGAAGAGGACGGGCTCTCACAGTATCCGCGCGCGCAAAGCGTGTCAGCCCTGATGTCGACGACTATGGGCGCCAGGCTATCCTGCCGTCTCGGCGGGCGGCTAGACGCCCGGATGCTGTCATAATCGTATGAGTGGCGGCTGAGCTAACTTTCTCAGAGTATTGAGCATGATGAAAGACAGACGTCGAGATGGTGCCACATAGACGCCCATCATTGGGAAGCCAAGCTATATTTGATAAGAACGATGACTGGCGACTATGTGCGTATCCAGAGTAGATGTGGCGTTATGACATGGACAGAAGGTTCAGGCTCGAGGCAGTACATATCCGAATTTGAAGGGCATACACGCGGGAGACAAGGACTTCCAAGAGAGAAGAGCGGGAGCGTGTTTACAACGAGAAAGATGAAGACGCAAGGCTGTCCATCGAAGCGTAGAGCTGGACATCTTCTTGGGATCTGGTACGATCCAGTACGCCCGCGCAGTAGTCTGCGATTGTGACGAGTCACAAACGATGAATAGACCCAGGGAAACCGCTTCCAACGTAGGGTTTAAGGTTTCGATAATCGTCCAAAAATCAAATCGCCAGACTGAACGGAGGAGGCCCAAGGCCATAGGGGTAGGGGATCGTTCGGATCGCAGGGTGATCGGTGGGCAAGTCTTGGTAGCTTCTCGGCGGTATCGGCGGCGGGGGTTTGATGGTACGCGATTTGGTCGGTGGTGGCAGAGGAGCGCGGGTGGGAGGGTGCGCGGGCCACCGGGCTCGCGAGGTGACGAGGATAGAGCTAGATTCCGGCGGCGGTGGAGTGGACGAGCGCATAGTCGGGAGCCTTTGTCTGGGCGGGGTTCTGGGTAGGCGTGGTGCAGGTGGCTCAGTAACTCCGGCAGATGAAGAGGTCTTGCTATTAGAACGCGAACGTTCACGCGTCATGTCGAGTGCATTGGGAGTAGATCGCCGGTGTATACGAGCGAGAGCAACGAAAGTGCCAGCGCTTGCGAGCTTGCTGGTTGGCGACGCGACTTCATCGTAGTATATCTCGGGGTCGATGCTGTCCAGGAATGCTCGCCTCCTGTCGGGTTCGTCTCGGAAGAAACTGAGAGCGCGATCCCGCCTGGTGGGTAAGTTGCTGTAATCGCGGAGAGGTCGACCAAGCGCCAAGTTCTCCTTCGTATGCAAGGCTTGAGCATGAATGACGCGAGCTTGTGGAACGGCCAAAGAATGGCGTCGGGTCGAGAGCGCTGTAGAGGGTTGATCAACGGCAGAACTCTTCAACACACACTTTGGCCATACCTATCGGGTGAACTTCCTTCATTCGGGGCGACGGTACAAGCGGATTGTGCGGAACGCCGTATCTCGTTTGGGACACACTGGGGGCGGGCATGCTGACTCGGCGCTCGGCTTTGGTGACAGGTGCAGGTCGGTTAACCAATTTGGGACCAGGCGGAACGTTATCGCCGAGTACGCTTCGCGCACGAGAAGCAGCCGTACTCTGAGAGAAAGACGAGTTCCGAGGGATGACAGATGAGCTTCTTCTGTGAGTGCAACCCATCGTCGTTGCAGCAGATGTCGACCTCACGGAACTAGAGCGGGACAAGGTGGTGGCTACTCCAGAGGAAGGCCGACTATAACCAGTTTCGGAGACGAAGGACGGAGCGCGAGGGAAGGTCATGTTGAGGACGAATGGCCGTGCGCACGCTTTCGCGATGCCAGGAGAGGGTGCATTATATGCGCTCAAGGTCAGTCAGGCTGGCCAATGTCTTGGACCGAGACTGGTAGTACCCTCTCTGGCTGATCACAGACTGGTCTGACCTACCTCGGGTACAGTCAATATCGTACACTGTGGACAGTCGGGGGTGCGGGCAATGAAATGTGGGCAATGAAATCATGAAGCTCATGGCGGTTGCTCTTCGGTTGAGTTGAGCTGGAGACGCGTTCAGGTCAAGACGCGTCGCGTGGGAATTACATACGACACGAGCTTACGCGTCGCGTCGCGCGTTCGACGCGACGCGCGCGGTCTCCTCATTGACAAACACTTCCACTACCACTGCCCATACACCATGCCTCCGAAAGCGTATGTCAGAATCAATGATATGGCGGTAAAACCAAGCTAACTCGGCTCATATAGTGACTGGGAGAAGTGTATGCATTATTCGTGTAGTCGTTTAGACTTGATTTGCTTACTACGAACGTAGACGAGAAGAAGGTGGACGAGAAAGAGGAGAAGATTATTCGTAAGCCAATACATACATGTGCTGTGCTGAGAGTATTAATGACAGTATAGCTCTCGATGATAGCGACATTCAGATCCTGAAGACCTATGTGCGCATCCCCTGCATTGCGCAACGATGAACCACTAACATAATCTACAGGGCCAAGGGCCATACGCTGGGAAGTTGAAGAAGATTGAGAAAGACCTGGGCGAGATTCAGAAGCGGATAGACGAGAAACTTGGTGCGTGCTTACATATTATCCACCATATTAAACTAATCAACATTCAGGCGTAAAGGAGTCTGACACTGGTCTCGCATCACCCAACCTATGGGATCTACCCGCTGACCGCCAAAGAATGGGCGAAGAACACCCGCTTCAGGTCGCACGCTGCACCAAGATTATCCCCGTCGACGAGAAGCTGGCAGAAGCCGCGCGTTCAGTAAACGCACAAGGCGCACAGGGTGGACAGAAGGGTGCCGACGAGCAGACGAAGTATGTCATCAACATCAAGCAGATTGCCAAGTTCGTCGTGGGTTTGGGTGAGAGGGTGGCGCCGACGGATATCGAGGAGGGTATGCGTGTTGGGTACGTTCCTGAGTTCTGCTGCGAACTTAGACGAGCATGCTCATCGTTGGAACAGTGTCGACCGCACGAAATACCAGATCCAGATCCCATTACCGCCGAAGATTGATGCGTCGGTTACCATGATGCAGGTCGAGGAGAAGCCGGATGTGACGTACTCTGACGTCGGTGGTTGCAAGGAGCAGATTGAGAAGTTGCGGGAGGTCGTGGAGACGCCATTGCTCTCGGTTTGTCCACATCATATGCTCGCAATGCACCGCAACTTAACCACGATTGGATAGCCTGAACGTTACGTCGGCCTTGGTATCGACCCACCGAAAGGCGTCCTCCTCTTCGGGCCTCCAGGAACCGGAAAGACCCTCTGTGCCCGCGCCGTTGCAAACCGAACAGACGCCACCTTCATCCGTGTCATTGGATCCGAGCTGGTGCAGAAATACGTCGGTGAAGGTGCACGTATGGTCCGCGAGCTGTTCGAGATGGCACGGTCAAAGAAAGCTTGTATTATCTTCTTCGACGAAGTTGACGCTATCGGAGGAGCTCGTTTCGACGATGGTGCTGGTGGCGATAACGAGGTGCAACGTACGATGCTGGAACTCATCAACCAACTTGACGGTTTTGACCCACGAGGGAACATCAAGGTGCTCATGGCCACTAACCGACCCGACACGCTCGACCCTGCTCTGCTTCGTCCAGGTCGTCTGGACCGTCGTGTGGAGTTCAACTTGCCAGATGCTGACGGTCGCGCACATATTCTTCGCATCCACGCGAGGAGTATGAGCGTCGAGCGCGATATCCGTTTCGACCTTATCGCACGGTTATGTCCGAATACGACTGGTGCAGAGCTGCGTTCTGTGGCTACGGAGGCTGGCATGTTCGCCATTCGTGCAAGGAGGAAGGTCGCGACTGAGAGGGATTTCTTGGACGCTGTGGAGAAGGTCGTGAGGCAAGGGAGCAAGTTCTCTTCTACGTATGTCCCCCTTTCACCTCGTTCGCTACGTGGACACTTGCTCACGCAGCTTCTCATAGGTCGCTCTACCAGGTGTATAACTAGATATCATATTGTAGCATTGTTTTCGGACATATTCCATCATCTCATTCATCACGCCTGTTATCGTGCCTGCTCTGGGGTACGGCAGAGGGGGAATCAGCGAGACCTGACGAACGGAACAGAGGCCCCCGTTCACGTGCAAACGATGCCAAGATGTCATGACGAACGCAGTAGTCGTAGCAGAGCGGCCTATCCTACGTAGTGCGACAGGCGACGATCACAGGAACTGACACTACAAGCTATCCCACAACCGTTTCCTCAAAGAGCGCGGCCCCTTCGCCTCCTGCTCTTGAATGAATCGCTCCTCTTCTTCGTCGATATCGCGAAGGCCAGTGATGAGATCAACCTTATCCGCGGGTATCATCTTCGTTTTGTAATATAGCTTGTATCCCGCCCAGAAGATGAAGAATACTGGCAACCCGATGTACTATGCCAGAGTATCAGCAACGTATAAAAATGACATTTTTATAGAAGGCGTACCGCGGTTACGAAGCCGCTCGTCGAGAACGGTATGAACGTATCGAATCCTATGGCAGAGCACCGCGGTCAGAGGAGTTTGAGGACCACGAGGATACACATTCGTACCCTTGAAGAAGGTTATGATAGCCGTCACGATCAGAGCGAACCAGGAGCCGAAAGGCTGCAACGGCGCCTTGTATGGCAGACTGTCACGAGACATTCCCTGCACCTTCAGAGCCTTCATGAAGCGACTGTTCGGGATGTAGCGTCAGTACAGGTATGGATACTTCGATCACTTGCGCACTAACATGTGGGAATAGCTGATGCACATCCAGCTGATTGCGCCAAAGATCGATATGAGGTTGACGCTGCCGGAATCCGTCAAACCACGTTTACACCGACGAGGATACAGTGCTCTGGGAGCTTACAAGTAGCCGAAGACTACAGACAATCAGCATCTTGAAGTGAGATCATAGCATGTGAAGTTGCTAACCTTTCGCTGAAGAGTCGGTCACGTTCAAGAAGGTCAGACCGCAGAAAGCCGTGCACAGGATAAGCGACGGCCAAGGCACACCCTGACGATTCACGCGCTTGAATATGGCCGGAGCTTTGCCCTCGAGTGCAAGTCCGTATAGAGTGCGGGATCCGATGTACAAGTCAGAGCATCCTGCGCTCAGGACGAAGATGAGAATGCAGGCGTTGATGATGTGGTTGAGGACTCTGATCCCAACGAGAGAAGTGGCTGACATAGGGGTAGACGATCAGGCTCCTTAACTTTCGCATGAGGAGATGCCGAATACATACCCACAACGAAGGGAGACGCGGCTGCGCCAGTCTGAGAGCTGTTCGCTACGAACAAGTCGTGCGCAGTGCGTGGTACGATCATTCCAAGAATGAATACGCCACCGATGTAGAAGACGACAATACGCCAGAAAGTCCTGTATGCGTATCGTCAACATTCACGTAGATTCAACAGAGCACTCGGGATACGCACCTCCGGATGGCAACGGGGATACTCTTCCTCGGGTTCTGCGCTTCGCCAACCGTCACGCCGATGAGCTCCGCCCCGATATAAGCGAATAGTGCATTGACAAGCACCGACCAGAAGCCAAGAAATATGCTCAAATGTGAGTTGTGCACTTGATCTTCAAGATAAGATCCCATAGGACCATTCGGCGCCTTCCAATACCGGAAGCCGATGCGGTCGTGCTTCGGATTGCCTGGATCGACGTTTCAGGAGATGCGCTTCAGCTCTAATAGACACGCGGACACACCTCCAAGGTCAATGACCAGACCCATGATAAGCAAACCCACGAGCGTGATGACCTTGAACGAGCTGAACCAGAACTCGAACTCTCCGTAGAAGCGCACGCCCATCAAGTTGACCCCGAAAATGAACACGATGAAGATGACCATGAAAACGGCGATATGAACTTTCCTGGTCCAGTACTGTATGACTGCGCCGGCCGCGTTGATCGTACTCGGGGTAGTAACCAGGTACTTTCTACATACACGGTAAATACTTCGAGCGACAAGCGAATGAAACGAGATCACTGACATCAGGTAGTTCCATCCAAGCGCGAACCCAAAGGCCGGATCCACAAAGCGCGTCCCGTACCCAGTAAAGCCCCTCTTGTGCGGCAGATATGCCGACATCTCGGCCAAAGCCGTAAGAACGAGGTAGCATACGAACCCAACGAAAGAGTATCCAAGGAGTATCCCGAGCGGACCACCTTGAACGAGCGCGGTCCCAGAGCCAATGATCAGACCCGTGCCAATCGCGCCGCCCAGCTGAGATGAAAAGGTCGTGTCAGTACGCGACTCGGCGTAATCAAGACCAAAGCGACCATTGGGACGTACGGCGATCATCGAGATTTGACGCGCTTGCAAGCCGCGATGCAGCGTCTTCCCGACCTCCTCGTTCTCCCCAATAGACCTCGCATCTCCAGCACGGTCGAAACCCTTCTCGCTGAGCGAGACAGAGGATCCCTTCTCAGGCGTCGAAGCAGCCATCGTGGTCAGACCTTTTCGTGAGGGGGGTATCCGGGGACGTCGGGCTTCAACACGAGCTGGCTATATAGGCAGCTCATTCCTCAGCGAAGACGTTCTCCAGTCGCAATAATAATGAGCCCGATCCCTTCTTCTTCTGGCTGTGTCGGATGTCGCGCGGAATACGGCGTCTATGATGGGATTGGAGAAGGTATACACGACCCCGCTTCTCGGTCAGGACGCAACGCGGTCAGGTCTTCTGAAGCCCGTGGGGAACGTAATGGCGTGTGCTAGACCACCGCAGCTGCTTGACAGACGAGCGGGAGAGACTCATGTGCAAGTAATATGCCAATCCTCCTATTGGTCATGGTCTGCCGACCCGGGATGGAGAGGCTGCTGGTGCGCCTGGACCGTGGCATTCTGACCTTGAACATCGAGGATTAAGACGGTGAACGTTGCTGAGAACGGCGGTACGCGAGCGACAGTACGAGATCTTCCTGTGCCTCAGGCCTGAGAGTACACCACGGTAGATAGGCTAAATATCTGATGGTGGTGGTGAGGAGCAGAACACGTCTAACGCGGACCCATGCGCGTTCACAGACCGCATCAGTTATACACACTGCCGTCAAGGCACGCTCATGTCCGAAGCTTGCCCGAGACCTGACCTACATACACGAATCAAAAAGGGATCATGTACATGTATCTTGCGGACGGAGTGAAGTATATCATTCATATCATGATGATCATAATGCAGCTCGGCCAACTCGGGCGACCGGTTCGGAAAAAGAATGCGTATGCAAATCAAACCAATACTCGTACAGAAAACAACTTGCCCGTCGCCCGACCGTACCTCCTACCGCTTCTTCCCACCCCCAGCCTTCTTCCCCTTCCCCTTCGGAGCCGCAACCGGTGTAGCGCTCTCGCTCGCCCTCCCATCGTCTGCTGCCGGCGTGCTCGTCGAAGCTCGTCTCGCACTGGCAGGCTTGACGTCCGGCAGAGGCTCG